AGGAGGCCTCTCTCTCCCACAGACCACCCTCCTCCCCCAGGGTGGTCTGTTTGCGAGTCTCGACGTCCCCGCGTTCCCCAGGGACAGCCCAAAGCCACCGCCGGTGCAGTGCGCGAGACGCTGACTCTGTGAGCGGAGCAGTCCTGGAAGGGGCGAGGAGGCATCGTTCCTCCCCGACGCCGTTTCTCCCACACCGCTCCGCTGGCTATAATTGAGAATGTTTTGATTAATCCAATGGGATCGTCCGTGCGTGAATGGTCTATCAAGAATGATCAGACGCTTATGAGAGCTAACGTGGGAACACGGTGGGGGGGGGGGACAGAGACAGCCACTCGAGTGGAGGGCACACACCGAGCGGCAGAATTCGCACGGTTCATCTTGGCGATGAAAACCCGCAGCTCATTCCGGCTTCCCCCTGGCTGCTTCCCGCTGCCAACGAAGTTACGCCCCCTGCACAATGCAACAATCTCCGCGCCGTTCATTAACATCGTCGAGACTTGGTCAATCCACTGCTGACTGAAGACCTCCCCAAAGCCCCCGCAATCTTTCCCACGTCTTCCATGACGTCTGGCCAGTGTGGAAGAGTAGGCCAAATATAATCTCGGTGGTGGTGGTGGGGGGGGGTAGTGACTCGGCCGAGCAGGGGCACACTTTTACCTTGTCGCGTGCTTTTGTTTTGCCCAACTGCCGCTTTTGGATGAAGCGCCAACGCACGGCCATTATCATTGCCATCGTCAGACGGTGAGGGTCACGGTGAGACAATCAGGGGGGGGGGTGGGGATTGACGCCGTGGCGCTGCGCCCTGAGGCTGTCCCATCCATTGTGCACGAGCGCCCCGAGTCAGCAGCAAGATGAGGAAGTGCTCGACCCGACCTCTCGCGCGCGAGTGTCCGACTCGGCCCAGTAAAGCGCGGTCGCCCCAGCGGTCGCATCAAGGACACAATCCCCCGCCTCGCCCAGAACGCAGTCAGTTCACGTTGGGAATTTGCAAGTACAGGCGCGCCACTTGGGAGGAGTGATTGGACATTGCGCTGTAGCGGTCAGTCAGTCGCACGTTCGGGTGACCGGGTGTTTCAGCCGCGAAATGATCAACAGGACCCGGAGCTAACAGAGAGGGAGGGCTCATGCCTATACACACATCTGGCAGTTCCCCAGAATTGGTTCAATCAATCTAGACTGCTGATGAGAATGAATGTCGATTCCAGTCCTTGTTTATTAACTTCTACAAGTTCACTAGCATCGGACCAAACCGATCCAGAGTTTTTCTTGCGTTAAATCAAAGCTGATGAGAATTATCTACTCACAAAAGGCCATGTAGCTGTTGGGATGTGTAAAAAAAACCTGTATAGTTTACGCAAGGCCGTAGCCATGGAGTTAACATTGGGGGGACTAAACCTTCCAGGGTGTCCTGGAGGTTCGCAACCCAGAAAAATATCTAAATTTGAAAACTCATTTCCTGCCTAAAATATAAAAAAAATCACTAACATGTGGGATAGACGTTTTATTTATTATTCACAATGTCTACTAGTGTATTGTATTACATTGCTCTGTTTTTTACTTTTTTACCATTTCTTGTTTCATTGTATGTAATGTTTGAGATTAGGGATTAATAAAGTACAACCATAACGACAATCATATAAACAAAAATCTATACATTGATTTATATGAAGACAAGTCCAGATATTGTGGCCAAGGTTTAGCAAAATTGTTGTTTTTATTTACATAGCACAGCAAATATTTTTTTATAGCAATATATTGGGGGGGACATTTTGAGCATATTTGAATATTGGGGGGGATGTGTATATTGGGGGGGATGTGTCCCCCCCAATATATATTATAATTACGGCCTTGAGTTTATGTAAAGGGCCAGATATGCGAATACGCCGTCTTGTCTGCTTATTCATTTTAAACAGAAGATGTAAGGATGAAATACTCATCCATATCCATTGCTTCTGTAACGTGTTCCGACGCACGCGTGTGCTCTGGTTTTATTGCATCATCATGCACATTACCTGCTGTCTGCTATGACATGATTCGGAAACATGGACATTACCACAGAAATGGAAATTGCACAAATAATAGGGAGTGTGCAACAACTGCAAAGCATGTAAGATAGCCACTGATGAGTGAAAGCCGAGGATGACACTGAGAGACAGAAAGAGGAACGCAGATTAGAGAGAATACGCAGGTGCTGGGAGGATTATTACATCACCGGATTGTGAGCGATGGCTACGGCTTGCCGAGGCCTTCATCCGGCAGTAGATCGACCATTACCGATTATGATAATTTTAGTATGTCCGCCGTTTGGGGTGCAGTGTGTAAACATTGGCTGCAGTGGTTCGTCAGGTGTGGGTGTCTGCTGCTGAGCGACAGGGCAAACGTGTGCCTGCTTTCATATACTGTACACGCCGACAGCCCTTCGACAATCCACTGTCGGTCATGGGGGCTGTTTGACCACACTTCATCAGTACGCTGGTCAGTGTTGGGTTGGTGAAGGCAGGGCGCATAGAAGTACGGTACAGCTATGGGGTTTCCTGCACTGCCCCCTGCTGTGCACGATGGAGCCGCGCAGTCACCGAGCCACTGGGCACTGCTGAGAGAGGCCTCGCGATCGCCTCCTGCGGCATGTCGCCGGGTGCTTTGGCCTCTCTTAAAATAAATATTTGGTGTTCATATCAGTGCATTAAAATGTCAATTTAACTCACCTCGGCAGATATGCAATACAAAATAATTTAAATATATATCGATGAAATTATTTTAAAAATAACATCATAATATATACTTATTTGTTTTCCGAAAAGCAAAAAAAAAATCAATAATGCTGATCGGCTCATCGCTCACGATGATAAATAAGGGCCGAAGGAGCTTGCCACGGACGCAGAAATGACACGCGCGGTAACGAGGCCGTTATAATTATTTGATTTCACCTGGGCTAATGGGCGAGTCTCGTCTCCTACAGGTGAGGGGTGTGCGCGCGTGTGGTTGTGCTCGCAGGTTTCCCGAGCTAATGGTGCGTGACCGGCGCATAAATAGCCAATCTGAAGTCATTAATGAACCCCGTGCAAAGCAAACAGAGCAGCGAAAAATTGGCAGACTAATTAGCCGTCCTCCCTATTACCACCCCCTAATTGCTTGTTTGGAAAGTTTTTAGAGATTTCTTGTTTTTAAAGGGAATCTTGGTGGTGCCCTTTGAGCGCTCGTTTCAAGGTCCCTCGTTGCCCGCCGACGACGAAGATTCTTTGAACTTGAGGACGTTCGTCTCGGGAGCGGTTTCGCCCATTCACCTTCACGAGCCGCTCACGACACACACAGCCCGCTTTGCCCATCCACTGCTGGATGAGGGCCTCCCGCACGCCTCAATGGCCGTGAGGGATATTTTGGCCATACTTCACCACCGCTAGGCTGGTGAAGCTAACTCTGGGATGGGAGTAGAACACGTTGGGGTTTGCTGCACTGCTCTGCACTGTCCACAATGCCTACTGCACCCGACTTGTGGGCACCCGTCCGAGCACAATCCAGGCTCAACCCCGCTGAACTTCCGAGATCTGATTCCCTGCCTGCGTCGTCCAAAAAGTGTGCGAGTTCATCATTGCCGTGTCGAGATAAAGGCGCGGCCCTGAAATTGCCCGCTCACGCAACTGCTGGCAGAAGGGCTTCCACTAGAAGGAACTCTGGAGAAGCCCTCTATAGAGGGTAGTTTCGGCCTACTCTTCCACGCTGGCCAGACTTAGTGGAAGAGTTGGTAGTAGCCACACTTCACCCCACCGCTCGCGACCCGCCGATCGACTGCGCTTGTAACCCATTTCATGCTGCACGGCTGGGTGGACAGTGGCGATGTGGGGGTTTAGAAAAACGTGGCGAGCGGTGTGTCCGCCCTCCAGGTGCTTGAAGGTGGACACAACAATAAAGCACACGGAGCGGGTAACCTTCACTCGCCCTCGGCCAGTGGGCCAACCAAACCAAAACAGGAAAGCCGTGTGCGTAGGCACGGATGCTGTAACGCTTCACAGCACGCGTCTGTCCCCAGAGTATTTAACGAGCGATCGTAACGGGAGCGGTCGGCTCACAGGAGGCAAGACTGCCGCCCAGAGGCCGCGGCGAGACGAGGGGGCTCCGGTAGTCTCTGCCGGGAAGGGCGCGGGTACCGCAGCGATCAATTTGGCCGTTCTCCTCTTGGGTCAGTCGCTAACATCAACACAACTTGACTCGAAAGTTCCGTTCATATTGGATCATCTGAACGAGAGTTATGTCGTAACCTCCACCGTCCCCCGTAAAACACACGCACAGACGGACGGAGCCAATGCATAAAAGCTTTCTACTTTTAGCCATCACGTGACCCATTATACGACTATCCTATGACCCGTGGAGTCAACGCGGTGCGTCCCACCAAGCGTGACCTCCTCCGCCATGGGGGTCACGGGGGGCTTTATAGCTTGCCACCGCAGAGATGGTCGGGCCCATTACCGGAGCGCTCTTAAATTACGATTCCGTTAAGAGGTTAACACATCAGCGACGTTACAGCTCTTTGCTTAAGAGTTGTCGCTAAGCATCAATGTCAATGAATGCAGCAGGTTTACTCGCAAGGAGCCGTGACGAATGGCTTAATAGAGCGTTGGTGAACAGTTCACAACAGCAGGAGGACTGCCCCCTCTAGTGGACTTCAATACCGGCCAAGCTCACAATCTCGCAATGCCGAACACGCCAGTGTCGCACTGCAGGTGTTCGCGGATATGCTGCTATACAGCTCTCCGATTTGTTTTCGGGTTGTACCGCGTATTGTACACAACGATTGTCTACGTTTCACACCACGTCCTGGGATCTTCATCAGATATTCAGTTCCTGCAGAAGTTCATCCGCAATGCGCAGCGAAACGTCGGACTTGGTTCACGCGATACAACCCGATAACTGATCGGAGGGCTGCTTCCCAGTCCTGTGTATCGTCTCATCGGCAGCCCTCGTGCACGCAACACAAGCACAGCAAGCAACGCGACAATATCTGCTTACGTGACAATGTGTATGATCTTTTATTACTCATTAATTATTCGTGAATCAATGTTTATGAGAGACACTCGTAAAGGTGCAGCCCTGAAATGAATTGCCCACGCCACTCCTGTGAGAAGGCCCTCCAATATAGGAAGCTCTAGAAGAGACGCTCCAGAGGGTAGGTTGGCCTACTCTTCCACTACCCGTGACCTGCCGGTCAACGTGTGGTGTGCTCATACTGCTGAGTGGACAGAGTTTAGGTTACTAGATGTCTATAATCCTTTATCACGAATCATTTCTTAAAGAGACGTGAATGGACACATGGTGGGTGAGAGGTTGTAATTGTGCATTCTGATTTAAGAAAATGTGCTACTTAAGGACAGGTTCAGCTTAGCGGCGTTTATAATTCGCTTCGATTAATGTCCGCACTATACAGAGCGGGCACGTGCTTCAACATTTTCGAATTTCCTCCTCTCTTCGGAGTAAATCGTCCGACTCTATGGGCGAGGTCGCGCGGGAGAGCAAGGCGCGTGGTGGCCGCGCAGAGCCGAAAACACGGCGCTGCTTGCCACGCTCAGCACCAGACCCGGCAGTGCGTGGACTTCGTCGTCAGCCAGGAGTTTCTCCACAGCTTCGAGGACCTCCTGGCGGTCCTCCTTCCTGCACACGACGTCACGAAACATCTTGTCCAAGAGGCCACCTGCGAAGCGTCAAGGCAGGGATTAGCCTCTGTTTTCGTGCACGCCACTCACACGGGAGCATCTCAACACACGAGTGAGTGGAGTTGGCCAAAGATTTTGAGCAATTGTTGGCATCCGGTCTGGCTGCTTTCCACTTGACTGTGGTTTCCCATGCCTCCGTGAAGAATACCTGCACATTACAAACTCTATAGAGTTTTGAGATGCAATTGGCACTAATATCGGGGGGGGGGGGGTTATTTGCATTGGGAGGAAACCAGAAAACCCAGAGTAAAGCCATGCAGAACAGGGGGAGACCATACAACCTCCACACAGAGAGACGCGTGAGTCTCCACAGTAGAATTATCCCCCATTGCCAGGAAGGATTACGGTAATTTCACGCAATTGAACACAGTAGAATTCTCTCTCACCCATGGTTATGAAGTATTATTACCCGGTCATTCGATGCTTATGCAATCTAAAACGCCACCACCAGGTTGTGGCGTTGGTTTGCATGGGGTATTGGTGTGGCGTCCCACCTAAAATAACTTAAACATGTTGATATTCTTTCTAGATTTGAAGCTTCCGTGACTGCAAGGATTCATACTCTTTGGTTTTATTCGGTAAAATCACGTAGATGAAATAAAACAAAATAAAAGAAAATAATTAAATCACGACGTTTCGGAGGCAATACAAGCTTCCGTCTTCAGGTGGAAAAGTCAACGCAGAATATCTGTATTAGGAGCACAGTTCAGAGACGATCTTGGATTATATACAGGTTAAGGGAGGGGGGAGGAGTCAGTAAGGGGGCGTGGGTGGGTGGGAGGGCTGGGCTAAGCAGCCTTTTGATAGAATGCTGCGGGTAACACCCACTTCTCAAAGCTCACATCAAAGGGCCCCCTGATGTGGGCTCACATCAAAGGGTCCCCAGGTGCGAGCTCACATCAAAGGTGTGGGCTCACATCGAGGGGCCCTTTGATGTGAGCTCGCACCGGGGGACCCTTTGATGTGAGCCCACATCGGGGGGCCCTTTGATGTGAGCTTTAAGAAGTGGGTGTTACCCGCAGCATTCTATCAAAAGGCTGCTTAGCCCAGCCCTCCCACCCACCCACGCCCCCTTACTGACTCCTCCCCCCTCCCTTAACCTGTATATAATCCAAGGTCGTCTCTGAACTATGCTCCTAACATAGATATTCTGCGTTGACTTTTCCACCTGAAGACGGAAGCTTGTGTTGCCTCAGAAACGTCGTAATTTAATTATTTTCTTTTATTTTATTTTATCTACGTGACTTTACCGAATAAAGCCAAAAGAGTATGTTGATATTCAGGTAAAGAAAAATGTGAAAAGGGCCACACTTTTCCTTTTTACACTTTTAAACAAGTAGCTAATTATCGAATTTTCTGAAGGATTTTTGGCGTCAAGAATCAAGCCTGATAGAATTGAGTAAATAAGAATTAGAATATGGAGCGCTTGGTCTGACCTCCCCAGTGTTCTGCATTCATTGATCGATTCACACCATTCACAAGTCGAGCCAACCGTTGACAATAGTCGGCAACAGGGGCACCCGAATTCCACTGGCGGCTCATAGCAAGCTGCCATTCCAAGGTAATGTATATAGGATGAGCCCTGTACTGCTCGCTCTCAACTGACTAGCTGGTTTTACCAACCAGCAGCCAGTATAATAATAATAATTTACTCATCCAGGAAAGCCACACTGAGTTGTATGACTCTCATTCAAGAGGGTCCTGCTGCATTGGGTTTTCTGTTTTAGATGTTTTCAGCAAATGTATGATGAGTGTTATTATAAATGTGGGAGGAAATCGGAGCACCCGGAGAAAACCCACGTGCACGAGGGGGAAAATCACTATCCCCGTACGGATGGACACAGATGGCGATTAGTGCACTTGTTGTATCGCCTTCTCCTGACGGGCCAGCATATGGCTCCTCCACGACGCCCACGGGAAGGGAGTTTCACGAGGTCTGCGAGATCCCCCAAACCCCCACCTCCACAACACCGGATTACGGGCCACGTGCAGCACAGCCACGATCAGCGCCCAGCATGCATACCGCAGCTGGGCCCGGCCGTGTCACCGACCGGGCTACGCCGTCGGCAGTCCGACGTACCGACAAGGTCGTTCGCCCACCGAAGTCGACTGAAGGCCTGCAGGGCCCGGTTGGCCTGGGGGCTGAGGTCAGCCACATCGGGGGGAGAGTCACCGACTCGGAGGACCCGGGGGGGCAGCAGCATCTGAAAGCGGCGAGTCGCCTCCTGGTTTGTCGGGAATTGCAGTGCTGCCACGAACACCACCATGGCGGCCCAGTCCTGGCCAAACGTGGCCTCCGGTCCTGGCAGGAAGGCCAGCCTGAAAGCAGATTTGTTCATAAAACAACATTCGACAAATGTCATATTTCAGATCCCAGTTGCCACTGCTGTTAGCCATGGCCAGGAATCGAACAAGCTGCCAGGTCCATGGTGCAGTGCGCCAACCACTGCACACAACACACCCCACACATATGCGCAAAACACACCTGTAGGGCAGGAAGCGGCCCTGGGTGGTGCAGTGGGTAGCACATCGTGCTATGAACCAAGCGACCTGAGTTCGATTTTAGATCATGGCTAAGACCAGTGTCAAGTGATATTTGAACCGGGTCTCCCACCCCTACACCAACCTGACAAGCGTGGTTAGGTATGGTCCAACAACCTCAATGAACGACATGGTGCGGGGAGGTCGTTATCCAGCAGTGGAGTGGCATTGGTTGTGAATAACCCACTCTCCAAAACAAGTTAATTGCCACTGTGACGACCAATGCGAGAGCCACAATTCGTCAATGCGTGAAAACGGGTAAATGTAATCTCTCACAAACACCTTGAGGAAAACCGTGGGAGAGCTTCCTCCAGCGATGCCTGGTGGGCGCTCCAGAGATAGCGCAGCATCTCCTCCTCCTTCGCGTTGGTCCGGTCGGCCTTGTCGGATCTGTTCACGTACTGGGGCGGAAGGTTCACAGGCGGCCCGTGAACAACGCCGCCGCTGCTGCTGCTGCTCGGTGCAGGCCGCCCAGACGCGGTGAGGCCGGGGTGGGGGAGGGCTGGCGGCTCATCAGGACCAACGCCCAGCCCAGGAATAGGGCCTCCCCGTAGTCACCACGCTGTGCGCGAGGCGTTCGTGACTTTTTAAAGAATGTTTTTAAATTCAAAACGCGCGGTTTTTTTCACCTTTAGGGAGAGAGACAGAGAGTGATTCAAAGGCGTGGGAAACCACAGAAAAGTGACCGGCACCAACAATTACCCGAGCTCTGCGGTCCAATATTGCGATATTTGGTCAACTCCATGTGGGAGGGAACCGGAGTACACGGAGAAAGATCCACGTGACCACGGGGAGAACATGGGAAGTCCAAATACACATGCGTCAAGGTTGGAGTCGAACCTCCAATCTCCTGGGTTCCAGGCAAGGGAGATAAGATATTCGTCACTGTGGCACCCCCCTCAATCCCGATGAAGATTGAACACAGATGCAAATGAATCCACTTGCTGTACTGCCATCATACTCTGGCAAACCAAGAAAGGACAAACCAATGTACGTGATTACACATCTAAATTTTAAGCTTTCGTGACTGCAGGAATCCATACTGTTTGGTTCTTTCGGTGAAGTCAAATAGGTAGAAAAATAAAATAAAAAATAATATATCACGACGTTTCGCTCGCAACACAAGCGGTCGTTCTCAGACGGAAAAAAATAATCCAGCAGTGGGACTGCTGAATCAGGAAGAACACAACGAGAGAGCAGCTACAACAACAACAAGAGGCGTTACAACAACAAGGAGGTTATAGATGTGGCGAAGGACAAGCAGGCGGGATCTGAGCTGGAAAGGAATTCCATCCCCGCACGCAAAGCCCGTCAGTTGTGTTATGGGGGAGATTAGGGAGATTAGGAAGCTCATTTCAGGGTGATGATGACGGTGTCACGGTGATGATGACGGTGTCAGGGTGATGATGACGGTGTCACGGTGATGATGACGGGGCCACGGTGATGATGACGGTGTCACGGTGATGATGACGGTGTCACGGTGATGATGACGCTGTGTCACGGTGATGATGACGGTGTCACGGTGATGGTGACGGTGTCACGGTGATGATGACGGTGTCACAGTGATGGTGACGGTGTCACGGTGATGATGACGGTGTCACGGTGATGATGACGGTGCCGCAGAGATAGCGGCGGTGATCACCTCAAAGAAGTCCTTCCAGGCGGCCATGGCAGCCGGGGCAGCCAGGGAGCAGGAGGCTGCGCTGGTGCAGTATTCCTCGGGCCACTCGCTCGCTTGGGCCACCCTGAGCCGCGCCGCTCGCCCCTCCCCAAAGAGGCCGGCGTCCGCCGCAGCGAGGTAGGGAAGCACGGATAGGTAATAGTTCATACCTAGCGTCGTCACAAGCCATGGTCAGTCCACTGCTGGATGAAGGCCTCATTAAGCCTCCGACACATCTCACGACCCTGCGATGTACTAATTATAGCCCGTGCACAACAATGGTCATTTAGCTGACAAAACCAGCGACGGGAACATCTGCCAGTTGCAGTTGTTTTAGCCACGATGCCGCGTCACCGCTCCCCACATACATTCACGCACACACATGGCGATTCAAAGCGCACGCATGCACTTTTAATTTCCGAGAGAATGTACACAAACGACGCATGTGTGTTTTTGAAATCCTCCAGTCAATAAGTAACTAAAAATAAGCGGTGTCATCACACGCACAGTGCGTTTATTGGCAAGGACGAAATCACTGAGAATGCGATGATCTCATCAGATGTCGGAAGCTCAGCAGCATTGAGCCTGGCAAGTGCTTGCGGGGTTCGGCTGTGGGCAACAGAGGGCAGAGCAGCGGAATCTGCATGTCATGCGCCATGCTCCCTGCCTTCACCAACCTGCACTGACCCGCGGCGGTGAAGTATAGTCAAATAACCCCCACAGCATGGGGGGGGGGGGGTGGCAATCCAGCAGTGGGCTGTACCTGTGCGAAAAGACAAAGATCTCCCGTGTAGCCTTAACAGACTGTAGGGGCAAGTGCTGTTAGCGAGTAGCACCTATAAGGGCCGGCACGGCACACGAGGAGGTGGGTGGCCAACACCACGCCCGGCCGTCTTTGTCTCCCTAGTGGCGATGTTTACACATCGCACCAGGTACTCATTTGAGGCTCAGTCGACGTAGGGGAGGCCCAGGATGGGTTCAGCTAATCGTCACTGGTCATAATAAGACTAGTTAGAGAATCAATAGGACTTGAGAATTCAAATAATTGCAACCTCTGTGATAGCTACAGACTCAGCGCAGCCTGGAAGCGTATTATTAAGTAATATTCAACACATTTTGCAATTCCTTACAGGTGAGTCACATGCTAAGTGGCTGATTACTTATCTATTACATAATTGCATTCACCCCGACCCCCACCTCGGATCTCAATACCTGATGGAGTTCAACAACGATGACGTCATCCTGCACTATTTAAGACCGGAAGCACGTGGATGGCTTCACTAGTCTGGCAAATCGCCTGAAGATGCTGGATGTAATTCCCAGCGAAACGGCATGCTACTCAAATTATAAATGTTGTTGCTCGACTCTTCAACACACCTGTGGCCTAAAGTAGTCAACTATTTTGTCTTTTGTCAACGTGACACATTTTTTACTGATTGGCCGTGTCGAGTGGTGGAGTGTTGCGACACATTTAGAAATAACGCGATCTAACCCAAAAACCTTTATTATGAATAATACTGGTCGCGAAAGCCTGCTACGTATTCTTAGCTCTTTCGGTAAAGTCACGTTGAAGGGAAACAATAAAATAATAAAATATATATACAACAATAAAAATTATCACGACGTTTCGACCATAACACAAACGGTCGTCATCAGGTGTGTCGGTTTGCATACATTTATTTTTAAACGGTGTATTTATTTATTTATAAATCAATTTATTTATAAGTATATTTATTTATAAATAAATAAATTTATGCAAGTCTATCCATAAACAAATTTATTTATTTATAAATCGATTTATTTATATTTATAAATAAATTTATTTATAAATATAGATACACCGTTTAAAAATAAATAAATTTATGCAAACCGACACACCTGATGACGACCGTTTGTGTTATGGTCGAAACGTCGTGAGAATTTTTATTGTTTTATATATATATTTTATTATTTTATTGTTTTCCTTCAACGTGACTTTACCGAAAGAGCTAAGAATATGAATTACTGCAGTCACGAAAGCTTTAAATCAAAATTTAGCCTGCTACGTGTTAAACTGAATCGTCACTGGTGTTGGTGGCCGTGAGTGAGAATCGAATCCGGGTCGCCAGATTCGTAGCGCAGCGCGCTACCGCTCCCCACACACACAACAACAACAACAACCGCCATTCGCCACGAAGTAGCGGTGACGTCACCACGACGCTTGTGCCAGGCTATGTGCACCCTGAGGCCACGTGAAGTGTCGAACGCCCGCTGGCAGGAGGTCACGGGGCAGACCCAGGTGCCACGGGTCGACTGACTGAGATGACTGGCTGATGCACCACCTGTGCCCCCTACTGTGCCAACCTGCTGTGCTTCAGCCACCCGGCGCTCCGCTCGTTGTTCTGAGCGTCGCTCCTCCGCCCTCCGTTGTTGTTGGAGGGCGACTGCCTCCAACTGCCCAGTAGCGTCCTTCACGAGCCTCCTCCACAGAGGCCGATCTTGACACCGCTGGTACCAGTCATCGGAAAGTCCACTCAGCTTCACGTCCTCCTGTACCACATCACTCCATCTCTTCTCTAGCCCGTGCCGCGCCCGCTTAGCCCCCTCAATCCGGCCGAACAAAAGCTGTTTCGGCATGCGGTGGCTGGGCATGCGGGCTACATGACCCAGCCAACGCAGCCTTGCCTGCTGGAGGAGCTCACCGATGGGACCTTGCCCAGATCTTTCAAGGATTTTTGAGCTCCTCACACAATCCAGCCTGATTAAACCCAGGATGGATCGTAGGCAGGCTAGCCTAAATGTTTCCAACCGGCGAAGATGCTCCATTAAGGGGGTCCACGTTTCGCAAGCGTAGAGAAGGGAGGGAATGATCGTGGCCGAGAAGACCTGAAGCTTAGTGCGGAGCGACAGACCAGGTAGCTTCCACACAGCGTTACGCAACCAATGAAAATATATTGGCGCTCGACTGATTCGGAGTGAGACCTCTGCTGTTAAACTGGAGCCGGTCATAAGCACACTGCCCAGGTATGAGAAATTCTCCACTCTCTCCACAACTGCCCCATCACCGATTGGGAGTTGTGGGGGTGGAGTGTCCCATGGTACAAAATACCCAGGCAGGTGCTTAGTTTTGGTGGGGCTGATGGTAAGACCCCATCTCTTAGTGGCACGCTCCAGTCTCAGCAGCAGTGTCTCCAACTCCTCCTCTGAATGAGCAGCTATTACCAAATCATCAGCATACATAACGTGGTTGAGCAGTAGGGAGCCATCCCTTGACCGCACCCGGGCATCGATCAGCCTCCCATTATATCTGTACCATATGGAGATTCCCCCGGTACAGCTATTGAAGGCTTCACAAACTACGTGGTCAAAATAGATATTAAATAATGTGGGAGCCAGAGGACATCCCTGTCGCACCCCAAGGTGTACAGGGTATGGCTCTGACTCCCGGCCACGTAGTTTTACCCGGGCCCGCTCACCATCATGAAGGTCCTTAATGATTGTGAGCAGAGGGTCAGGTATTCCAAAAGCAGGAAGAACAACCCATAGCCCAGGCCTACTGATGGTATCATAGGCCTTGACCAGGTCAATAAAGCAGAGATGTAGGTCTTGCCAGAATTCCCTACACCTCTGCTGTAGCAGACGGACAGAAAATATGGCATCTGTGCAGTACCGCCCTTTCCTGAAACCGCATTGGGGCTCTGCAAGCCTCTCCTCAGCGTGCCTGGCAAGGCGATGCTGAATAATCCTTGCCAGGACCTTTCCCGGCACACTGAGGAGTGAGATGCCCCTGTAGTTGTTACAGTCTGTGCGGTCCCCCTTCTTAAAGAGGGGGACCACCAGGGCATCCTTCCAATCCTGCGGAACCCGTCCAGTGGTCCAGACTGTTGTTATGATGTCATATAGGGCAGTCTGTGCACAAACGCCACCCTCCCTCAGCATTTCGCTTGGGAGATCATATCTGCCCGCTGCCTTTCCTAGTCTCAGACTCCGGATCGCCTTCAGTACTTCCTCAACAGATGGTACTTCAGCCAGCCACTCACAGGGGGTGACTTCTTCCAATATTTGAGGCATCGCAGCCTCAGCAAGGTCATCCTCACTTTGTGCCACAATGTTTTCCTGGCTGAGGGATTTTCCCTCCCCCAGGACCTCACAGAAATGCTCAGTAAATCTGCAAACCTGTTCCTGGGGGTCGGAGATTGGATCACCGTTTTTTCCCCTAATGATGGTAATAGGTGTGGCGCAGCAGGTTACTTTTTTGATGGAGTTAAATAGAGATTTGTGATCGCGGGCCACTGAGGCAGACTCCATCTCCTCAGCAACCCGCGACCACCACCCATTCTTGCAGCGCCTCACGGCTCTCCGAACCTCCGAGCGAAGGCTGCGGTAAGCCTCCTCATTCTCTGGGATTCTGTAGCCGATGACAGTGGGCCTGTCGCTTTTTCCCAACCATCCTGAACACCTCCTCTGTCAGCCAGGATCTCTGGGGAGGTCTGGACCGCGTACCCAAAGCAGTCATTGCAGCTGCATGAGTCACAGTCCTAAACCTCGCCCATTTACCCTCGACATCAGGAGGAGTGTGGGACGATGCCAATCCCAACCGCAAGCGATGATGAAATTCTCGCTTGCAACTTTCATCAGATAACTGAGACCAGGCCACAAACACACACAGACACACTCAGACAGACACACACACACAGACACTCACACAGACACTCACACAGACACACACACAGACACAGACACACTCACACAGACACACACACACAGACACACTCACACAGACACACACACACAGACACTCACACAGACACACACACACACACAGACACACTCACACAGACACACTCACACAGACACAGACACACTCACACAGACACACAGACACACACACAGACACACTCACACAGACACACTCACACAGACACAGACACACTCACACAGACACACACGAACGCACGCCGCCTGGGGTCGAGGTCGCGTCCCTGTGCCGCTCGCGTCACACGTCCACGCGTCGTTCTTACTTCCCCACCAGCTGCGCGGGGAGATGCAGGGACCTAGGCCCCCCGTGCGGTTGCAGGGGACGGTGGCGTTCAGGGGTTCCTCCAGGCGGCCTGTCGATCGAGCACGAGCGAGCGAGTTAGCGAGGGGCACACCGAGACGGGGTCATTGTTATCTCACCAAGTTAGTGAGTGATCGTCAGTCAGGTAGCTGAGTGATCGTCAGTCAGGTAGCTGAGTGATGGTCAGTCAGGTAGCTGAGTGATGGTCAGTCGGGTAGCTGAGTGATGGTCAGTCGGGTAGCTGAGTGCTGGTCAGTCAGGTAGCTGAGTGATGGTCAGTCGGGTAGCTGAGTGATGGTCAGTCGGGTAGCTGAGTGCCGGTCAGTCAGGAAGCTGAGTGATGGTCAGTCGGGTAGCTGAGTGATGGTCAGTCAGGTAGCTGAGTACTGGTCAGTCAGGAAGCTGAGTGATGGTCAGTCGGGTAGCTGAGTGATGGTCAGTCGGGTAGCTGAGTGCTGGTCAGTCAGGTAGCTGAGTGATGGTCAGTCGGGTAGCTGAGTGATGGTCAGTCAGGTAGCTGAGTGATGGTCAGTCGGGTAGCTGAGTGCTGGTCAATCGGGTAGCTGAGTGCTGGTCAGTCGGTAGCTGAGTGATGGTCAGTCGGGTAGCTGGTTCCTGGTCAGTCGGGTAGCTGAGTGCCGGTCAGTCGGGTAGCTGAGTGATGGTCAGTCGGGTAACTGAGTGCTGGTCAGTCGAGTAGCTTTAGTGATGGGCAGTCAGGTAGCTGAGTGATGGTCAGTCGAGTAGCTGAGTGATGGTCAGTCAGGTAGCTGAGTGATGGTCAGTCGAGTAGCTGAGTGATGGTCAGTCAGGTAGCTGAGTGATGGTCAGTCGTGTAGCTGAGTGATGGTCAGTCGGGTAGCTGAGTGATGGTCAGTCGTGTAGCTGAGTGATGGTCAGTCGGGTAAGTGAGTGATGGTTAGTCAGGTAGCTGAGTGATGGTTAGTCGGGTAGCTGAGTGATGGTCAGTCGGGTAGCTGAGTGATGGTCAGTCGGGTAGCTGAGTGCTGGTCAGTCGGGTAGCTGAGTGATGGTCAGTCGAGTAGCTGAGTGATGGTCAGTCACGTAGCAGAGTGATGGTCAGTCGGGTAGTTGGTCAGTTGGGTAGCTGAGTGATGGTCAGTTGGGTAGCTGAGTGATGGTCAGTCGGGTAGCTGAGTGATGGTCAATCGGGTAGCTGAGTGATGGTCAGTCGGGTAGCTGAGTGCCGGTCAGTCAGGAAGCTGAGTGATGGTCAGTCGGGTAGCTGAGTGATGGTCAGTCAGGTAGCTGAGTGCTGGTCAGTCAGGAAGCTGAGTGATGGTCAGTCGGGTAGCTGAGTGATGGTCAGTCGGGTAGCTGAGTGATGGTCAGTCGGGTAGCTGAGTGATGGTCAGTCAGGTAGCTGAGTGATGGTCAGTCGGGTAGCTGAGTGCTGGTCAATCGGGTAGCTGAGTGCTGGTCAGTCGGTAGCTGAGTGATGGTCAGTCGGGTAGCTGGTTCCTGGTCAGTCGGGTAGCTGAGTGCCGGTCAGTCGGGTAGCTTAGTGATGGTCAGTCGGGTAACTGAGTGCTGGTCAGTCGAGTAGCTTTAGTGATGGTCAGTCGGGTAGCTGAGTGATGGTTAGTCAGGTAGCTGAGTGATGGTTAGTCGGGTAGCTGAGTGATGGTCAGTCGAGTAGCTGAGTGACGGTCAGTCGGGTAGCTGAGTGATGGTCAGTCGGGTAGCTGAGTGCTGGTCAGTCGGGTAGCTGAGTGATGGTCAGTCGAGTAGCTGAGTGATGGTCAGTCGGGTAACTGAGTGATGGTTAGTCGGGTAGCTGAGTGCTGGTCAGTCGGGTAGCTGAGTGATGGTCAGTCGGGTAGCTGAGTGATGGTCAGTCGGGTAGCTGAGTGCTGGTCAGTCGGGTAGCTGAATGATGGTCAGTCGGGTAGCTGAGTTATGGTCAGTCACGTAGCTGAGTGATGGTCAGTCGGGTAGCTGAGTGCTGGTCAGTTGGGTAGCTGAGTGATGGTCAGTCGGGTAGCTGAGTGATGGTCAGTCGGGTAGCTGAGTGATGGTCAGTCGGGTAGCTGAGTGATGGTCAGTCGGGTAGCTGAGTGATGGTCAGTCGGGTAGCTGAGTGATGGTCAGTCGGGTAGCTGAGTGATGGTCAGTCGGGTAGCTGAATGATGGTCAGTCTGGTAGCTGAGTGATGGTCAGTCGGGTAGCTGAGTGATGGTTAGTCGGGTAGCTGAGTGATGGTCAGTCGGGTAGCTGAGTGATGGTCAGTCGGGTAGCTGAGTGATGGTCAGTCGGGTAGCTGAGTAATGGTCAGTCGGGTAGCTGAGTGATGGTCAGTCGGGTAGCGGAGTGCTGGTCAGTCGGGTAGCTGAGTGATGGTCAGTCGGGTAGCTGAATGATGGTCAGTCTGGTAGCTGAGTGATGGTCAGTCGGGTAGCTGAGTGATGGTCAGTCTGGTAGCTGAGTGATGGTCAGTCGGGTAGCTGAGTGATGGTCAGTCGGGTAGCTGAGTGCTGGTCAGTCGGGTAGATGAGTGATCGTCAGTCGGGTAGCTGAGTGAAGGTCAGTCGGGTAGCTGAGTGCTACCAATTTAGGTAGCTGAATGAATGCAGATTCAGTTTTCTGCTGGGGTCGAAGTCGAACCCCTAAACCCAGGGGTCGAAGTCGACCCCCTTAGCCCAGGGGTCGAAGTCGAACCCCTTAACCCAGGGGTCGAAGTCGAACCCCTTAACCCAGGAGTCGAAGTCGAACCCCTTAACCCAGGAGTCGAAGTCGAACCCCTTAACCCAGGGGTCGAAGTCGAACCCCTTAACCCAGGAGTCGAAGTCGAACCCCTTAACCCAGGAGTCGAAGTCGAGCCCCTTAACCCAGGGGTCGAAGTCGAACCCCTTAACCCAGGGGTCGAAGTCGAACCCCTTAACCCAGGGGTCGAAGTCGAACCCCTTAACCCAGGGGTTGAAGTCGAACCCCTTAACCCAGGGGTCGAAGTCGAACCCCTTAACCCAGGGGTCGAAGTCGAACCCCTTAACCCAGGGATCGAAGTCGAACCCCTTAACCCAGAGGTCGAAGTCGAACCCCTAATCGAGGGGTCGCCAACCTGCGGCTCCGGAGCCGCTTGCGGCTCTTTAAGGAACTGCCTCGTGACGTCATTCACAATGCATTGCGGCTCTCGACATATTGAGGTTATTACCGAATTCGAGAAAAATGCCTCTTGTTATTTTGGTTGGCGACCCTTGCCCCAACAGGAGCCACGAGCCGCCAATGACCACCGCCCTGCACCCGGCCCATGGACTCTCTCCCTCCCTCTCTCTCTGTCGATGGTGCCAGCAGCGCCTCTGGCCGAGCGCGGCTGCCAGCGCCAGTGGCGGATTGCGCCACGTCCATGGGGGAGCCCTGCGCGGGAGGCGCGCTGTCTTTGCGTGAATGCGAGCAAAGTTCCCGCAGCGTCGCCGTCACAGCGCTCGCTCTCCAGCAGCGTCATAGCCGCCTGTCCACATCCTGCACGCGCCCATGCGTCTCACGAGCTCCTCGCCGTTCACGGAGAGCGCTCGAGCTGGGTCATTGTCGCGCACGAGCAGTGGCCACCCTGTCCCCACGGTGGTCGGGCACGGCTTGTCCACATTAATGATAATCGTCGGGGCTTTTTCATTTATCGTCATGCCGGGAAAGCTCATCTCACAACGCCGCACCACCCGCAGCACGCGGAGGTGAGCCCCGGAGGCACAGGGCGGCAGCAGAGGCGATGATGGCCGAACTGTGCTGATGATTCCTAACAAAGACAAACCCGGTGTGCAGAGGTCTCCTTGTCCTGCTGCTGTCCAAATGAACACGGCCACAATTGTGGCTCTTTTAAATTGGTGGTGGTCTGAAACACGGCCGTGTGCGTTACCCACTCAGTGCGTGATGCCACCACCACCACTGCCTCCTCCTCCTCACCTGAAGCCATCTGCCAGCCGTGCTGCATGGCGAGGCCCCACAGCAGGTTCCCCGTGTTGTTGGGCCCCAGCGCCTCCATGCGGGGCGCGGTGCGAGCGAGCAGAGCCTTGTACATGGCCATGCGGTGCAGGTAGCTCCAGGGGTCCAGCTCGACCTGCGGCGTCGACGCCGGCCCCTCGCGCCACAGCTCCGGCACGGAAGGCCACAGCGGCGGTAGCCCCGCGACTCCCCAGTCGGGGCCCTCCTTGGCCGCCGCCACCGCCGCGGTCGCCCCCGCGGCCGCCCACGCCAACATCGCTGCGAGCAGAGGCGGCGCGCCCGCCCTCATGGTCGGCCGGTCCGCTGGTGGGGTCTGCGAGCGGCGCGGAATGAAGGCGGCGGCGGCGGTGGTGGAGAGGCGTCGCTCTTGGCTCCGAGCGCCGTTTGGCAGCTCGAGGGGAGAAGTCGCGCGTTGCTCGTTCTGGGAACCGGCTGCGGTTCCTCCTCTCCGCCGCACAATCGCTCCACTGTAGTCGCCGCCGCCGCCTCCCCGGCTCGCCAGGGATCCACACTCGACCCCTGGACTCGGCCGCAGTTTCGCGTCGTCCTCTGTTGGGCAAGACGGCGACAAACAAAGTGTCGCATGCACGGCGGGGTCACGCAGGGGCCCCCAACAGCCGCGCGCAACTGCTCACCGTCACGCAGCCGTGCAGACACGTGTGAACCTCACGCGTGAACCTCACGTGTGAACCTCACGTGTGAACCTCACGTGTGAACCTCACGTGTGAACCTCGCGTGTGAACCTCACGCGTGAACCTCACGTGTGAACCTCACGTGTGAACCTCACGCGTGACATTCACGCGTGAACTTCACGCGTGAACCCCACGTGTGAACCTCACGTGTGAACCTCACGTGTGAACCTCACGCGTGAATCTCACACGTGAACCTCACGTGTGAGATTCACGTGTGAACCTCACGTGTGAACCTTACGTGTGAACCTCACGTGTGAACCTCACGTGTTAACCTCATGCGTGAACCTCACGTGTGAATCTCACGTGTGAACCTTACGTGTGAACCTCACGCGTGAACCTCACGCGTGAACCTCACGCGTGAACCTCACGTGTTAACCTCACCCGTGACAAGTACCCATCGGGTATCATTGCAGCGCTGTGTCGCCATCATTGGGGCTCGTGCAGTGCCAACAACGCAGAGTTTCGATCGCGTCTCCCTGCGCCTGTTTGCTTGTGCAGCGCTCGCATGGACAGTGGAGCACATCTGGGTTCCATTCCACTCGGCGCCTTTTCCACAGCGGCCGTGCCAATGTTCCTCTACGCCGGAGCGTCCAAAGGGCTGGGTCCCCCCACTGATCAAGACTATGTGCCCCCCTTATAAATGTTAATATTGACTGGGTTCCAAACATGCATTGTAATGACTGCTCACACACACGCGCGTGCTGCTGGAATACCCTTTTGATTTTCCGTGCAAAATTGATCAATTAGTCCAATTAGACAAACGCAGATCGTTCTGTTGAGCGTTTAACATTCGTGTACAGTTTGTTTAACAAAGACAAAGATCCCCCGTATAGCCTTAACAGACTGTAAGGGCAAGTGCTGTTAGCGAGCACCTATGAAGGCCGGAACGGTACACGAGGGGGTGGGTGGCCAGCACCACGCCCGACCGCCTTTGTCTCCTCAGTGGCGATGTTTACACACCGCACCAGGTACTCATTTGAGGCTGAGTCGACCTAGGGGAGGCCCATGACCGGTTCAGATAATCGTCACTGGTGTTGGCCGTGAGCGGGAATCGAACCCAGGTTGCCGGGTTCATAGCGCAGCGCGCTAACCGCTACACTACCGCTCCCCAGCAGCACTCGGCACCGACACCTCCCCAACACGTGGGCCCCACGCGTCGCTCGTCCTTGAGACTTGTTTGGGTGGAATCAGAATGCTGAATGACGAAGATGATGGATAGATAATAACGAAGATCCAACAGCTGCACACCCCGTTGGTGCGCGCGAGCTGCGGTGCCTGGCTTACGCACGATCTCGTCGGATCTCAGAAGCTAAGCAGGTTTGAGACCGGATAGTGCTTGTATAGGTGACCGCCATGCATAGCACAGCCGTTATCGGCTACTGCAGAGGTGTGGAATGGGCCGCAGATATAAGTGGCGCAAAATATATTGTTTTGTACTTATATGATGCAACACACACTGATCAGCATGGTGAAGTTTCGTCAATAACCTCCACGGCCAACGCGGCAATGGTGAGGCCTTCATCCAGCAGTGGAATGACCATGGCTGCTGATGATGAAATGGAGAGGCACAAGAACGGACACACACACGAGCTGTCTGCTAAGTAATTGGTGGCTGGCAGGAGTGTAGATGACATCAGCTCGGGTGCAGCTATTCCTGGGGTCTGTTGGCCGGGAATGGGATAGGAGAGGGGGCGTGGGAGGGGGCCGAGGTATTGGCAACAGGACTCGGGCGGACCGCGGCTGGGGATTAGATTGGCGCAAGCGATCTGACACCGCGAAGGCCGTCGTCTTTAGGCGTCGGAACCCGGCCAAAAGTGGCTGCCCCCTTGCAAGGAACCCGAGCCAGCTCGGAGAAGAGAACGGATGTCAAGGGAAGCGTAATGAGGTAACGGGACACAATGCAGGCTGCTGCTGGGTGTTGTGCATACACAAACATGCCACAAGCATGCCACAAATATGCACACACATTCGTGCTGACGGTATGTGCAGGTACTATCACTTCGAGTTGTATTAATTAGCTCTACTCTGTGTTGAGAACGTGATGTCATTCTTCCACGATGGCTAGATGAGGTGGGAGTACCCACATTGTACCCCGCCACACGGGACCTGCGTTATTTATGCATTGACAAAAGACAACTTTTTTCGCTATTCAGTATTTCCATGCTGGTGTGGGTTTGCTTCGGAATGCTGTTCCTCCGTTGAAGGAGCGCAGATTGCGGTGGTTTTACTTCATGGTTCACAGATTGGGTTGCATGTCCACAATTGCGCTCCTGTGGCTGGTGTCTTTAATTACCCATTCATGACGGGGATGTGCCACCTCGTCCTGTTGATGTTCTGATGCGGTTCATGTTTGCACCACCAGTGTCTTCGAGGAAGAATGCCAAAGCCAGGAGGTGCGATGATGTTTGGGTCTCGAATGTTGCGTTTATTCTGGACGGCCGCAATGTTCCGCTGTTTGCCCGCGGCGTTCTTGAATAAGGATGTGTTTATAGAAATGCTGTGGCCTCTAAAAGTGGGGCTGCCGTTCTAAAAATGGGCGAGACATCGCATAGCCAGGGACATCGGATCGGAGCTGAAAGATGCTCCCACTCATCGCCGGTGTTCACTTCATATCCGTGTTTTCCTGCACAGCGAATGGGGCATTTTTCTAAACAATTCAAAATAGTGTCCCTAAAATTAAACGCAATCAGTAAATAAAATAATTAACACACAAGAGGATGTATTAAACCCCCAGCGCGACCTTGGTTCAAGGTGGTGGTGGTGGTGGTGGAGGCACAGTGGATGTTAAATGAATGTTAATCGCCGAACACAATGAGTGATGAGACGGGATCCGCTCGTGTCGTGCATTCTCCTCCTGGATTCCCACCCCCTGCGGGCATGAGAGGATGGATGGCTGCCAATGGCGTGAAATATTCCACCAACATTTTCGACTTGCCTGTAAATTTAGAACGCGCATAAAACAGGTGTTATCAGCTGCTGCGTGGCTTCGTCGTCAAAGATACAATCCACGGTTGTACTGCACTCCTATGCTTCCACGTCTATGATCCCCCTCCACCGCCTTCACCAAACCCTACTGGCCAACGTGGTGAAGTATGGTCAAATAGCCCCCATGAGAGGAGGAGCCGGTGGGTAAGAGGATTGTACCGGTGCATTTACACAAACACAACAAAGACCACCCCGTGTAGCCTTCACTGACTGTTGGGGCAAGTGCTGTTAGCGAGCACCTATGAAGGCCGGCACGGCACATCGCAGTGTGCACATTCCTCGCCCTCCTCCTGGAGGGCCCACGCAGCAAAAGGTCTCTCGCTTCGAGCTCATACCCTGAAGCTTCTGGGCCACAACCCCTGAGCCTTATCCACCGCACAAACCATGTGAAGATTCGACGATGATGCACAAATGGAAAATAAATAAATAAACTCTACGGTCAATGTGTGTGGCGACTGCGGTCACCACCCAGCACAGAGCCACGGAACGCACAACGACTCAGTGTCCGACTCTAAAATACGTAGCAGGAGGAGGCGTCACGACGGCGATTCACCACTCCGCTACTCCCGATGCAATCGTTTGGCTCAACCAGCTCAATGCAAAATGACAGCCCTTCCTCTGCATCAACATAAGCCATACGAAGAAGACGGAGATCTATAGATTACCGTTGCGACCAATAGACCAACATGGAGACCCATAGATCCACACAGAAATATTTATTCAAATACAGAACCACAATCGCAAAGAGACTCATACACTCACAAAGATCTATTCAAAGGTGGCACCACCGGAGCGATGCACCACTCCGCTACTCCCGATGCAGTCGTCTGGCTCCACCAGCTCAATGTAAAATGATAGCTGCTGCTCGACATCAGCTATGAAAGAAGAAGCGGCGTTCTCAAGCAATGCTCTTCGGCGTTTAGCCTCCTCCGTCGGTGGAAACTGCGTCTCTATATTTACACTCACATTTCCTGCAGGCTCAATGGACACAGTAAGGCGACGTGAGTGCGGCTCGTGTTCCACGCGGCCACTCGGAGGGCCCGACGCCTTCACCACCCCGCGATGACCTGCGTGGTGAAGTATGATCAAACGAGGACTTCATCCAGCGGTGGATTGACAGAAAGCTCTAAGACTTCATCATTATCATTCGAGATGGGATAATTGGACAATGCAGTCGATTGATTTGACTAATTATAATCGACTGCTTCAAATCGCCCATCACGTCCCGTCCAGCGGCACACCGAGGAAGAAAGGCGAGAATGTTTGTTCCCCACCTACGATGAGTCGAGAATTAATCTAACCGATAATCGGTAGAGTAACCATTCATTAACTCGCCTTTTGCCCGTCCGTGGACGGGTGTATTGCAGCAGACCGCGACGTGATATTCAGTGCATCAATTCGTGTGCAGTTTGTAAGGGCGCGGTAACACAGACCTATTTAATTTCAAGGTTATAATCCCTTGTTCATCATGACGTCCTTTTTACTTCGATGTCTCAACAGCGTTACGGAGATCACGTGACGTGAGGGTTCTGTAAGTTGACGCCGAGGAGGGGGGAGGAGGCGCCTCGGCCCCCCATGTGGAGTGACGTCAGCCGCTAATTATTATGAATGGGGGGGGGTCCCTTTGTAGGACGTCACATTATCATGATTATTAATGAGAGGGGGCTGTTCGATGTGGAGTGACGTCACGAGCGTTAAGGACAGACATTCCTGGGTGATTATAGTAGGTATGATCGGATATCCCCATATTTAGACTTTATTTTTCCCCAACGAGAAATTTGAACCCATAATCGGTAGGTAATATTCGATTGCTTATATCCTCGGATATCCCGGCTCTATTTTGTATGCACAGGTCATGGAAACAGCGACTAAGTAGTCTCTCTCTACCCCCTATAGCTGGGTCAGACCACTACTCAGTTGGGATCTCGCTATCTTTAGTCTCGCTAATTCGCGACCATGTGCCATCCTACCCATGCCACACACACTCAAGACAAAGATCCCCCATATAGCCTTAACAGAGTGTAGGGGCAAGTGCTGTTAGCGAGCACCTATGAAGGCCGGAACGGTACACGAGGGGGTGGGTGGCCAGCACCACGCCCGACCGCCTTTGTCTCCCTAGTGGCAATGTTTACACACTGCACCAGGTACTCATTTGAGGCTAAGTCAACCTAGGGGAGGCCCGAGACCGGTTAAGATAATCGTCACTGGTGTTGGCCGTGAGCGGGAATCGAACCCGTGTCGCCGGGTTCATAGCGCAGCGCGCTAACCGCTACACTACCGCTCCCCACACACACACACTACTAATCATGCACACACACTACCCTCCATGCACACACACACACTACCAATCATGCACACACACTACCCCCCATACACACACACTACCCCCCATGCACACACACACACACACTACCCCCCGTGCACACACACTACTAATCATGCACACACACTACCCCCCCTGCACACACACACACTACCCCCCAGGCACACACACACTACCCCCCATGCACACACACACTACCCCCCATGCACACACACACACACTACCCCCCATGCACACACACACTACCCCCCATGCACACACACCATCCCCATGTGCGCACTCACGCTGTTCCACCGCGCGCCTGGTGACGTTACGGCTCCAGCACCACCGCACGTTGCCTCCTCCTCCTCCCCGTCCCGCGGGAGGACGTTGTTATAAACGCACGGCCTCGTGGCGACTTTCCGTCAACTTCACGTCGAGCATCGGTGCTCTCAGACCGCCGCAGAGCTTTTCCGCTCGACCTTCTCTCGTCCCGTGCGAGATTTAAAAAAAAGACGGCGCTCTTATTTTAAAGGCTATTTTGGTAGTCAGGTTCACGGGCTCAGGTCACGGGCAGCCATCATCTGGATGACACATCGCGACGAGGCGCGGTAGCCGCATCTCCTGGGACTTCTGCTGGACTCGGCACACGCGGCGAGATCTCGAAGCCCAAGACGAGATCCAGCCGGAGATCCGCAGGACCTCTTGCCGAAGACCTCAAGAAGCATGCGCGAGACGTCCAAACCGCGGCGTGGATCGGCAATTTGCGTGAGGAGCACGTGACCGAGATGATGTTATCGTCAGGGAGGAGTCCGGCTGGAAGCGACGCGGAGGAGATGGCTCATCGTTGTGGGGCGGTGTGCCCGAGGGCTTTTGACGTGAAGGACCGATGCGGAGCCAGGCCGCTGCTGGGGTTGAGGGAGCGCAGTCGGAGCCCCTTGAATGTCACGGCGGAGAGCCACCACGCCACAGGAAGGCCAGACTGGACGCAGGGCCATGCGCCTTCCTCGAAGTGCGGAGTTCACAAGCCCGGCGGGAGCGTCCAGGACATCTGCCACCACCACCTGTGCTTGCGCAAGAGGTTTGAGGAGCTTAAGCAGCGCTACGAGCAAGAGAAGCTGCTGTGGGTGAAGGAGAAGGAGGTCCTCTTGCGGGAGGTGGCCGAGATACACGTGAGCACATGGAGCGACGTGGGTGCGCACGACGCCGCGTCTTGCGATGTCCGAGTTGGGTTCTGGTGCGTGGCGCGTCTCGCCCTCGCTGTCGTGGTCACGCTTGAAGGAGCCGTTGGTGGTGATGGGCCCCGCCTCTCCGGCCACAAACTCTCAACCCCCGCGCTCTCAGTACTCTCACCTCCTTCTCGAATTCGGATTTAATGTTTTATTTGTGGCACGGAAATTATCAACACCGTTAAAATGGAAAGCTCTCCGTCTCTCACAAACAACGATTCAAATTTGGCTAATACGAAAATTTCGCCACAAACTTCTCAATCGGGATTCCACTGCACGTACGGAAACAATCATAGCCCCCTACTGGCAGACGAATGCCCCAGGTCTGTCTTGCAAATTAGACTATCGCGGTCACTTGAAGGAGATTGCCATGAAAAATAAATTGGCTTTCAGAAAAATCAGGGATTCTGCCGCAGTGTAGCAGCCAGGACACTGAATTAGCAGTACATAGGTCGCCGGATCGATTCGATCTCCCTGCGCGACAGCTGGAACGATGGTGGCACGTTCCTTAAAGCCTCCCCAAATGCCTCTGTCCACCCAGCCGTGTGACTGGGCTCACCACAGCCAATGGATCTGCAGGTCGTGTGTGGTGGGGTAAAGTGTGGGTACTTCCACCCCTACCAAGACTTCGGGCCAACGCGGTGTTTTGCAGAAGCCGCGTGCTATTTCATGTTTTCCTGTTTACATCGCAACGTTACCACTTGGGTGATGCTTTAGCGTAAGCAGAGAGGGAGTGTTTTAATGTCCTCTCCGTAGATCACTTCTGACGAAGTTGACGTCAGAACCGCATAACCATGAATTTACATTAAAACAACTTTCCCACTCTGACCAAATCAGCCGCAATGCGCATATCTTCCTATCTCGGAAGCTAAGCAGAGTTGCGCATGGATAGTGCTTGGATGGGTGCGTCACCACCATGCATTATAGGTGATATGGGACTGTGGGGCTACGTGAAGAGCAGCAGAGGGCAGTGGCAGCAAAGTGCATTGTACTGTACTTCTATGCGTCCATGTCTACGCTCGCCATCTTTCAATCCGCACCGAAACGCATGGGCTTGGAAAGTTATTGATCCAGCGGTGGATTGACTGAGGGATGTACGTATTCTTTTATTTCGCTTGTTACTTGTCAATGAACTGGGTAGGCATGTTGTTGTTGCTGCTGCTGTTGTTGCCGCTGTGTGTGTGATCCCAATTGAGTAATTTGCGGTTGATTTTTCAGCACTGGGATATTTGTCTCCCACCAGTCACACCCTGCGTGTGTGTATTCACGTGTGTGTGTGTATTCACGTGTGTGTGTGTATTCACGTGTGTGTGTGTATTCACGTGTGTGTGTGTATTCACGTGTGTGTGTATTCACGTGTGTGTATTCACGTGTGTGTATTCGCGTGCGTGTGTGTGTGTGTGTATTCACGTGTGTATATTCGCGCGTGTGTGTATTCGCGTGCGTGTGTGTGTGTGTGTGTCTATTCACGTGTGTGTGTATTCACGTGCGTGTGTGTATTCACGTGCGTGTGTGTATTCACGTGGGTGTATTCATTCACGTGTGTGTGTATTCGCGTGCGTGCGTGTATTCACGTGCGTGTGTGTATTCACGTGTGTGTGTGTATTCACATACACGTGAGAGTCATCTTGTTGAGTGACTTCAATGCCTGAGTTGGTTATGATGCTGGCACCTGGTCTGGAGTGATTGGAAGGCATGGGCCAGATCAGCTCAATAACAACGGTAGGAGGCTGCTAGATTTTTGTGCTGCCCGTGGGCTCGTAATTACCAACACGCTGTTCCGGCATCGGCGCATCCACACACCATCATAGATGCAAACCGGGTCCAAAAAAAAACATCTGGTGGACTACATAGTGACAGGACAGCGGATGCGGGCCCATGTCCTTGACACCGGGACCTAACGTGGAGCTGATCTGCCCTCTGACCATCGACTTGTCATCTGTAAGATGCGCCTGCCATTCTTCCACTCCAGTGGTGGGTGTACACCCAGGACCCCATTCAAACCCTTAGTGGCATGGTCTCAGCTAGCTGATGAAAGTTGCAAGCGAGAATTTCATCATCGCTTGCGGCTGGGGTTGGCATCGTCCCCCACTCCTCCAGATGTCAAGGGTAAATGGGCAAGGTTTAGGACTGTGACTCAGGCAGCTGCAATTGCTGCGTTGGGTACGCGGATGGCTGAGAAAAAGCGACAGGCTCACTCTCATCGTCTACAACATCCAACGTCAGAGAATGAGGAGGCTTACCGCAGCCTTCGCTCGGAGGTTCGGAGAGCCGTGAGGCACTGCAAGGATGGGTGGTGGTCGCGGGTTGCTGAGGAGATGGAGTATGCCTCAATGCCCCGCGATCACAAATCCCTATTTAAATCCATCAAAAAAGTAACCTGCAGCGCAACACCTATTACCATAATTAGGGGGAAAAAACGGTTATCCAATCTCCGACCCCCAGGAACAGGTTTGCAGATTTGCTGAGCATTTCTGTGAAGTCCTGGGGGAGGGGAAATCCCTCGACATGGAAAACATCGTAGGACAAAGTGGGGATGACCATGCTGAGGCTGCGGTGCCTCAAATATTGGAGGAAAAAGTTACCCCCTGTGAGTGGCTGGCTGAGATGCCATCTATTGAGGAAGTACTAAAGGCGATCCAGAGTCTGAGACCAGGAAAGGCACCGGGCAGAGATCATCTCCCAAGCGAAATGCTGAGGGAGGGTGGCGTTTGTGCACAGACTGCCCTACATGGCATCATAACAACAGTCTGGAACACTGGACGGGTTCCGCAGGATTGGAAGGAGGCCCTTGTGGTCTCCCTCTTTAAGAAGGGGGACCGCAGAGACTGTAACAACTACAGGGGCATCTCACTCCTTAGTGTGCCGGGAAAGGTCCTGGCAAGGATTATTCAACATCACCTTGCCAGGCACGCTGAGGAGAGGCTTGCAGAGCCCCAATGTGGTTTCAGGAAGGGGCGGTCCTGCACAGACGCCATATTGTATGTCCTTTTGCTACAGCAGAGGTGTAGGGAATTCCAATAAGACCTACATCTCTGCTTTATTGACCTGGTCAAGGCCTATGATACCATCAGTAGGCCTGGCTCTGGGTTGTTCTTTGTGCTTTCAGGGTCCCTGACCCTCTGCTCACGATCATTAAGGACCTTCATGATGGTGAGTGGGCCCGGGTAAAACTACGTGGCCGGGAGTCGGAGCCATTCCCTGTTCACATTGGGGTGCGACAGGGATGTCCTCTGGCTCCCACATTATTTAACATCTTTTTCGACCACGTAGTTCGTGAAGCCTTCAATAGCTGTACCGGGGGAATCTCCATATGGTACAGATATAATGGGAGGCTGATCGATGCCCGGGTGCGGTCAAGGGATGGCTCCCTATTGGTCAACCACATTATGTATGCCGATGATTTGGTAATTGCCGCTCACTCAGAGAAGTAGTTGGAGGCGCTGCTGCTGAAACTGGAGTGTGCCACTAAGAGGTGGGGCCTTACCATCAGCCCCACCAAAACTAAGCACCTGCCTGAGTATTTTGTACCATCAGGCACTCCACCCTTACAACTCCCAATTGGTGATGGGGCAGTTGTGGAGAGAGTGGAGAGTTTCCCATAGTTGGGCAGTGTGCTCATAACCGGCTCCGGCTTGACAGCTGAGGCCTCACTCAGAATCAGTCGAGCGGCATTATCTTTTCATCGGTTGCGTAATGCTGTGTGGAAGCTACCCGGTCTGTCGCTCCACACGATGCTTCAAGTCTTCTTGGCCACGGTCATTCCCTCCCTTCTCTACGCTTGCGAAACGTGGACCCCCCTAATGGAGCATCTTTGTCGATTGGAAACATTTAGGCTGGCCTTCCTACGATCCATTCTGGGTTTAACCAGGCTGAATTGTGTGAGAAGCTCACAAATCCTTGAAAGATCTGGGCAGGGTGCCATTGGTGAGCTCCTCCGGCAGGCAAGGCTGCGTTGGCTGGATCATGTAGCCCGCATGCCCAGTCACCGCATGCCTAAACAGCTTTTGTTCGGCCGGATAGAAGGGGCTAAACGGGCGCGGCATGGGCTAGAGAAGAGATGGAGTGATGTGGTACAGGAGAATGTGGAGCTGAGTGGACTTGCCGATGACTGGTACCAGCAATGTCAAGATTGGCCTCTGTGGAGGAGGCTCGTGAAAGACGCCTCTGGGCAGTTGGAGGCAGTCGCCCTTCAACAACAACAGGGGGCGGAGGAGCCACACTCACAACAACGAGCAGAGCGCCGGGTGGCTAAAGCACAGCAAGTTGGCACAGTAGGGGGCACAGGTGGTGCCTCAGCCAGTCATCTCAGTCATTTTAGTCAGTCGACCGTGGCACTTGGGTCTGCCCCATGACCTCCTGCCAGGGGGCGTTCGACACTTCACGTGGCCGCAAGGAGCACATTAGCCTGGCACACACGTCGTGGTGACGTCACCGCCACTTCGTGGCGAATGGCGGTTGTTGTTGTGTGTATTCACGTGTCCGTGTTCTGATCACCCAGCGCACACACATTGCCACCACGGTCCTCTGTTGCCATTAATTGATGCACTTCGTCCTCCAGATTCAACAAAGGTGTTAAGTTTGTGAAAAACGAACACACGCCATCAAGGGAATGACGAACAATAGTCACATCACAATCCATTTAAAGATCCGTCTCAGGACACCGCTGCAACATTAACTTCAAGCTGAATAGGAACAATTACCTTCGTCATGTTTTCCCCGTCGCCATCTCACACTGCCTCACGATGTAAACCCCCTGCACGTTTCGTCGTCGATTTCATTGCTCCATCTCCGTGATGCACGTCCCCTATCGGGCACCCCCCTGCCGCTGGCTGCCGTGAATCTCAGCCAGCGCTCCATCGCCCCTCCTGTTGGTGTCCTGCCCACAGTCACAGTCACTGGGTCGAATCTTCACTCCTGCTCCACGTGTCTCCACGAGGAAGCGTCTCTCAATTGCTGTGACACCTTCGTGTTGAGTGTCAGTGTGTTTATGTTCCATGCAGGCAATTTGCACACGTGGCCACACGTGTGGTTGCTTTTCAACATTCCAATTTGCTGAAAAACGAAGTCAATGGGCACACAGTATTTGGCCACGTGATGCCTTCATATGATTGGCTCTGTCGTGCAGCTGAACATTGGCGTGATACCAACACGACGCAACCGAAACGTAACTATGACTCACAACATTGGTCATGAAAGCCTACGTATACAATTAACATCCACGCCTCCATTCTTTAACAGTCAACATGAGATCATATAAGACAGGGAGGATCGCGACAGGAGATTGTTAGCGATATGCCCGGCCATCAACAAGCCGCTGGCGCCCGGCGACACGGCCGGGGCAGTTGAGCGGCGCAGCTGGGGGGCCTCGTCGCCCCGTGTCGCCGTCGTTTCACCGACCTGGCCGGGTGCCTGTGGCGGCGGCGGCGCAGGCTGTGGAGAACCGGCGACTGCTGCTGGAGCTGAGGCAGCAACTGGAGGAGCTGCGGCTGGACCTCAGGGGTGCGGAGCAGCGCAGGGGAGAGCTGAGCGGACGCTACCACTCCGACAAGACCGCCTGGGATGCGGAGCGTGCCGAGCTGAGGGGCCGCCTCACGCAGGCGAGTGACCGCCACCGTGAGCCACGAGGGACGCGAGACAAAGATCCCCCGTGTAGCCTTAACAGACTGTTGGGGCAAGTGCCGTTAGCGAGCATCTACAAAGGCCGACACGGCACAAGAGGGGATGGCTGGCCAGCAACACGCCCTCGTGGTGATGTTTACAAACCCTACCAAGTTCTGTACTCATTTGAACCTGAGTCGACCTAGGGGAGGCCCAGGATCGGTGCAGATAACCGGTGCAGATAATTTTCACTGGTGTTGGCCGTGAGCGGGAATCGAACTAGAGTTGCCAGGTTCGTAGAGCAAATTTTATTTATCCAGGGGCAGGGAGTCGGCAGCGCGGATGGCTGGGGGAAGCGAATTCCACACCGTGTGGGCAGCAGTGGTGAATGAGCGACCTTCCACTGAGCAAAGGTTGACCAGTGACTTTGACAGAAAGCCTTGGTGTCTAGAGTGGAGAGTTTGTGTGGACGGAGAAAAGTAAGATGAGAGGTAGGCAGGAGCCAGTCCATGCAGCATCTTGAATCTTGAAATAGATTCTGGACTGGGAGTGAACGGAGGGATTGGGCTGATGTGGCCTCATTCGGGGGTGCGGGCGATGAGCATGGCAGTCACGATGTCCTCCCCTTCCTCTCCCCCGCTCCACCTCCATCCTCCGCCTCCTCCGAACGGGCGAGCAGCTGGAGGCGCGCACCGACTCCCCGCTGGCAGACGGGCCTTGCGGCACCAAGGAGAGCGACGGCCCCGAGCGGCCGCCCTCCCAGCTCGAGCGCGACGAGCAGCGGCGCCTGTTGGCCGACACGCACGGCGCCGCCCTCGACCTGCGGCGCCAGCTGCAGGGCAGCGAGAGGCGCTGGGAGCGCGAGCGGCACGACCTGGTGGAGCGTCTGGAGCGTGAGCGGCGCGACTGGCAGCTGCAGCTGCGCCGCATGCAGCGCCGCGTCGAGCAGGCACGACGACCCGCGCCCACTGGGGTCCACAGGGTTTGGCATTTCTTGAGTCGTCGTTGTTGTTATCGATCAGTAACTCCCCACCGCCTGGTAAAGGCATCCCCCATTCTCTCCCATTGCTTCCTTTCCTTAGCCTCTCCTGTCCAATCGTGACCTCCGACCTCTGTGATGCCATCTCGCCGCTTTATTATTGTTCAATATTTTACACTTTGTTTGTCCAGGAAGCGCTACTTGGCAGGAGGCTTCGTCCAGATTTCTGCAGTAGGGAGCGATGTTGCTATGTCCAATCCCATTTTAATATTTTGCAGGTCAGCAATGGGACGTTTGGCCAATGGCAGTTACGCAGCACATTAAAAAAAAAAATTACATGGCCACCTCTAGATTTAAAGCTTTCGTGACTGCAAGGATCCATACTCTTTGGTTCTATTCGGTAAAGCCACGTAAAAAAACAAACACAAAAAAAATTAACGACGTTTCGGCCACAACACAAGTGGCCTTCATCAGGTGAAGGGAGCAGACTGTCTAGAGGAGAGTGCTGGAGTGAACACAGCCAAGCTCAGACTGCGACCTTTAAGCTATGTGAGAGGAAGCAGAGCGCCTTGACAAAGGAATTAGCATAATAATTAGCATTTAATTGGCGGACTTAGCATGATGAACGATGTACAGGGGGGGAGCAAGTGCAGACCGGCGAGGGGGGGAGAGGGGGGAGTTTACATATTGATGGTGTGAAAAGGGAATTTGAGCAGCTGCGAAAGTTTGGGATACCACTACTTGAAAAAATATACTGTACCATTGAAAATTAGTTTAATGTTTGGTTTGATTCAGAACATCTTTCCAATGGTTGCTTAATTTGAAACCATCCTCTCGGTTGAAATTGTGTCTGTGTTTGTAAATCTGAATTGCCTCGTGAACAAATCTCTGGTAAAAACCGGTGGGTTTGCAAAGGACCTTGGTATCGGAGATAATTATATCGTGATCACCCACAGTGTTGTAACAGTGATCAGCTACTAAAAAGATCTCCAAAATTCTAAACAAACACAAGATCCTGGTCCGGTTCAATACAGTACAAAAAATCCGTGACCTGATCCCTTCCGTGAAGGATGTCATTCCTGACTTACAGTACCCCGGAGTTTACAAATTGATCTGCACCTGTGGTGACTGCTATATCGGGGAGACGAAACGACATGTCTCTGACCGAATTCGCGAGCACAAATCAGATTTGAAACACGGCAGAACGAATTCTTCTGCCGTAGCTGATCACTGTTACAACACTGTGGGTGATCACGATATAATTATCTCCGATACCAAGGTCCTTTGCAAACCCACGGGTTTTTATCAGAGATTTGTTCACGAGGCAATTCAGATTTACAAACACAGACACAATTTCAACCGACAGGATGGTTTCAAATTAAGAAACCATTGGAAAGATGTTCTGAATCAAACCAAACATTAAACTAATTTTCAATGGTACAGTATATTTTTTCAAGTAGTGGTATCCCAAACTTTCGCAGCTGCTCAAATTCCCTTTTCACACCATCAATATGTAAACTCCCCCCCCTCCCCCCCTCGCCGGTCTGCACTTGCTCCCCCCCTGTACATCGTTCATCATGCTAAGTCCACCAATTAAATGCTAATTTTTATGCTAATTCCTTTGTCAAGGCGCTCTGCTTCCTCTCACACAGCTTAAAGGTCGCAGTCTGAGCTTGGCTGTGTTCACTCCAGCGCTGTCCTCTAGACAGTCTGCTCCCTTCACCTGATGAAGGCCACTTGTGTTGTGGCCGAAACGTCGCGAATTTTTATTTTTTTTATTTTTTTGTTGTTTTTTACGTGACTTTACCGAATAGAACCAAAGAGTATGGCCACCTCTGCCTGGCCATCAACAAGCTGCAAGGTTCAACCAGGCGTCGAGTAAAGCTCTCACTTGCTCGGGCTGCACCTTCCTCTGCAAGAGGACGGCCGCTGCATCCCCTGGACTTGGGTGGCGAACTTCTCTTTTCCCGCACCCTCCGTGCCTCCGCAGCTGCAGAGAGACATCCGTCTCCGAGACAGCGGCTTCGGCGACAGCTTCTTGCCGAGCCGGCCGGATCTCCAGGCCAAGGCCCCGCTGGAGGACGTCCCAGAAGTGGAGACGGGCGACGAGTCTCCGTCGGGCCGCCCCCCGCGAGGGTGCGGGGTCGCCGCGGGCGCCTCGGGTGCGGCACCAGGGACGCCGGGCGCCAGGGAGCGAGAGGCCGAGGCGCTGCTCGACGCGCTGGTGTCGGACGTCCTCAGGGACCTGGAGGCGACGGCGCCCGCGGGCGGAGACGACGCAACGAGGGGGGGCGACAAAGGAGAGGGGGCGAGGAGCCCGTGCTTGAATGAGGTGATGACGCGCGCCGGTAGCGGCCATGGCCGGCGCCTGTGTGCGACGCCTCAGGGTTCGCACGCTTGGTGGTGAACTCTCAACGGACGTTAAGATGATGTAATCACTTGGCTCATTACATTGTGGATTTACAAAAGGGCTGTACTTGTACACAACAGGAAAAGTCATCGCAGGTTACGTGTGTTCAAATACAAGTACACACGTACCAGGCTATAATTTTGGACCGTGTAGGTTTTTAGAGTATTTCGTGGGGCAGACGTGATGGCCACTCTGCACGATTCCCTGTATTTCCGTCCTCAGACATTGTGAACTGAGCACGTAGGCCTGTGGACGTCGGGTGCGGCGGCTCGTGGGGCGCTCGAGCATGGGCATCACTTCCAACGCAATTCCGCCATTGGGCCATTTAGATCCTGGCGTCGTTTTCAAAGCTGAGAACTAACACGAGACGCGGGCGGTGTCGTGTCGGCCATGCAGGCGCTGTGCGAGATCACGAGGGTGAGCCAGGAGCTGTGCGGCTACCAGGACGAGGTGCGCAGGAAGGCCCGACCTCCACGGTGAGCGGCACTGCCCTCCCAGCTCACCACCCGGCTCACCCACTCGGGTCAGGCCACATTAACTCATGATCCACGCAGCATCACCGCTCAGAAACCACCGTCTTTGCGGTTATTAACTCAATTGGCCGTGGTCTTTACTCTCCTGGACGAAGACCCCTGGATGTGGGCTTTCCAATGCGTTTTCGGGTTGTCCCATGTACTGTTCAGCACGATGTCCGACGTTTGACCCCACGGGCCGGTAGTCTTGCTAAGCCACACACGGTACGACCCGTGAACACATTGGAGATCAAACTTCTCAACCTTGTTCAATTCGTGAAACGTGTTATACCCACATCGATTAACAACTTTGACCATGCTGTTTGTTGCTGACAGCATGAAAATTTGGATCTTTAGGCTGTCTGTTCAGAATTGTCTTTAAAGTAATAAGAATATACATAATTCCCATCACCCTCTTCTTCTTTCCCCAGACCCAAATCTGCGACCGCGACCTTGGAGCAGGGCGCACGCGAGGGCTCCCCCTCGGTTTCCCGGCAGCCGGCCAGGGCCCACTCCACCGCCTCGCTGCTCCACTCGCCCAGCGCCAGCAGCAAGCGGCGCCCCAGCGAGACCAACAAGCGGCGCAACAACTGGTGCAACTCGCTCGACCTCGACAGCATCGCCGAATCGCCCCCCACTCTGAGAACGGGGGAGCCGCGCCGCCTCTGGGGTGGAGCGCCCCCCGTGCCGCCCAGGACGACCTCATGGCCCCCGTCGCCCGGCGACAACTCCAGCTCCTCGTCGGATGACCTGGCGACGACGTCTGGCGGCGCCGAGCCAGACGGTCTGTCGGGAAAGTGTGGCCCGGTCCGAGCAAGCGCACCGGCCATTTCCCAGAATGCCGCGGTGCTGACGGTGAACGAGCTCGTCGGCCCGCACGGTCGGTGGTCATGCGATCTGAGCAAGATCCGACAGGCCGAGCTGGAGACGAGCTTCGGCACGGAGGCCCGGGCGGCCTCGCGGCCGCCGACCATTTCGGCCAGCGCAGAAGGGCGGCGAGCGGTGAGCGCTACGCGGGTCGTGGCCCCACGCGGGGCCACTCCGATGGAGTTTGGCGGTGACGCGGCGTTCCGGAGGATGGTCGCGGAGCACAAGTCGGCCATCGTCAATGCGCGGCGCGCCGCGGCGAACCCGACACGTGGCGCATTCGCCGGCGCGGCCTCGCGTGAGGAGAGCGATGACGCCGCTGGTCACACCGCCAAAGAGCGTGGCGAGATCACGACGGCGGTGGCATGGAACGCGCGCAGAGGTGAGGGCGAGGGCACATCGTCAGGAGCGGCGTGGCACGGTGGCGTCGGCGGGAGTAGAAACACGTACGTGAAGATCGTAGACTTCTCCAAGTTCTACCGAAGCGGCGACGGGAAGAAGAGCGCCGTAGCGACGGCTTCTCCCAAGGGCAACCGGGGGCAGAGCTTACCGGAACTCTTCAGCGCCTCCTGCAAGCAGCGGCTCTTGAGCCTCCAGCAGAAGAGCAAGGCCAGGAGTGAGACGAATGCGGATTGGCACGCGCACCCCCGGAACAGCTTACGCCACGTGGCCGGGGACGTCGCGCCGTTCCAGCGCAGGACCCCGACGAGTGGAGGCACCGTGTCGTTGCCAGGGCAACTGGAGGGCGGCGTGCGACTCACGGGTCGCGTGACCTCGCCGGGCGATGGCGGAAGGGCCGGGCAGGCCACGGCACGGCCGCGGGCGACGGAGTCCCGTTCCAACTTCGGCGTCATTCGGAGGATCCTGGGCAGCGCGCCGGACAGCGCGGCCTGGGCGTGCGGGGCGGAGGGAGAACCGGGCAGCGAGCGGGAGCCGGCGACACCGATCGCGGTGGGGATACAGCCGGGCCCCGCAAACCGGGCGCCCGTCCCCGATAGCCACGGCGAGCAGCGGTGGCAGCGATGGCAGCTGGCGGCGCCCGGCACAGCTCAGCCCCTGGCAAGGACCCACCCACACCTCACTGTGATATGAATCACACAAGTCCTGTAGCACCACGAAAAAATGTCAAAAGAGATTTTCCTGCTGCTCAAATCAGCATTCGGGCATCGGTTCTCATTTTCCATTTAAAGCCCTGAGCCAATGGTGGAAATTCCACATTCTAATGGTGGGGGCGAGGCAATCCATAAGAGAACCACTGTTGACTTCCTCACTAAGTGGTACTCATGTGAGCTTCTGCCAGCCATCTTGTTGGGAGTCGTGATAGTCAGGTGGGTCAAAATAACCTCTTGCCATTTGCAATCCACCAACGGATAAAGGACTGCCCACGCCACTTGACCATACTTTACCATGCTGGTCGGCGAGATTTAGTGAAGGTGAGGAGCATGGAGTACAACTGCTCTCTGCTGCCCAAAATGCATCATGGTGATCGCCCATCCAGGTGCTATCCAGGTGATCCAGTAGAAGAAATCTTAATACATTTCTCCTTATTCTTGGTTCTTTCGGTAAAGTCACGTGTCCGATTCAACACATTACATAAAATCCGTGATCTGGTTCCGTCTGTAAAAGATGTGATTCCGGACATACAGTACCCTGGCGTTTACAAACTAAGTTGCCTCTGTGGTAGTAGTTACATTGGAGAAACCAAACGACATGTCTCGGACCACATTCATGAACACAAAGCAGACCTGAAACACCTCGGCCGTGGCAGATCACTGTTATAATTCAGTAGGTTTACATGACATTGACTTCTCCAAGACAGAGGTTCTTTGCAAGCCATCTGGCTACCATGAGAGATTCGTTCATGAGGCTATCCACATGTACAAACACAGAGACAATTTCAACCGAGAAGATGGATTCTGGCTTAGCAATCATTGGAAGGATTTGATAAACCATTTCAGGTCTTAATTGATTGATCACGCTTAAGGTGGCTTTCAGACCGCATTCATTATTTTTCGTCTCCCCCCTCCTCTTTTCCAAACATAGATGGACTCGGCAATCTGAAAAAAACTGTCATCTCTCTCCATGGTGCTAACATTAAAAATAACCACCACTTTTTTCAAATTTTCTTGTTGTGGTTTTCACACCTGATGATGATTGCTTGTGTTGCAGTCGAAACGTCGTGAGAATTTTATTGTTTTATATTTTTATTATTTTATTGTTTCCCTTCTACGTGACTTTACCGAAAGAACCAAGAAAATGAATCCCTGCAGTCACGAAAGCTTTAAATCAAAACATTTCTTCTTGCTTAAACCATGACACGACTAAATCTTGACTTAAAGCTTTCGTGACTGCAGGAATTCATATTCTTTGGGTCTTTCGGTAAAGTCACGTAGGTAGAGAAAATAATACAAATATCACGACGTTTCGATCGCAACAGAAGCAATCGTCATGAGTAGAAAAAGCTGCTGAGGCAGGCTGTTTTTAAAGGTTTGAAATGGGTGTGACCCAAGGGTCATAAACGAAGTGGCCAGGGCTAGTGATGTTAAAGTGAGAGATTAGCATGTCAATGTAAGATCGCAGAGCCGCCGCCACCACGTGGACACGAGCAACGGCGGCTGTGTTAGTGTGAAACATTTAACCTGTTAATGTAAAATCAGAGATTAGCATGTCAATGTATCATGACATGACTGTGACTTCTGTTCGCATATCCCCATTGTAGTAAATTCCACATTCTCACGGCCGGGTTCACCAATAATTCCGTGCGTTCCCCCCAAATGAGGCGACACGACGACGCGATTATGACGATGCTGACGCCGTCTCTCCTTTCCCCGTGCCGGCTCCCCCCGCAGACATCCGTGGCGGTCACGCACCCGGCGCCGTCGCTCGAGCCGAACTTCCCCCGGCCGGCGCGCCCGTGCCATCAGCGGCCCCCGTCTCGCTGGGCTCAGCGCCCCGTGTCAGCGCCCGGCGATCCGCAGGCCCCGGCGGTCCCAGTGGCCCCGGCGCCACCGCACCGGCTCGACGACCCTCTGCTCGTCCTGGAGATCCTCCTGGAGGACAGCAGCCAGGTGTGGCGCTCGCACCGGTGACCTCGGCGCGCAGAATTAGCGATGGAATCGTGAGTCGACGAAGCGTCTACATCCACCGACGGTGAACGATTGGCCGCGCGGGCGGAATCGCTCGCTCGCGCTGCGAGGCGCCCGACGGCGCCGCGTCGGCGTCCTCGCGTTCGGCGCAAGATTTTCCCAACGCCGCCGTGGGCACTCCAAGCCGGCAGCGTTGCACAAACGACAAACAACTCAACATTTTCGTCAGTACAGGACGAATATCATGGGTGACTTTGCGGGCAATGGCCCTACGTCATGGCACATAGCAGACCACACACTTTTCCTGTGAAGGCCAACGGTGTTATTGACCAACGTGTTGTGATTGTTTGTGAACCACAAAGTTGCCACCATGTGTAGAACACCGATTCGCAGATGGATAATATTTTGTATGAACACTGATTTGTTACCGAAATCACTTGCACACAAATCTCTCGTATGTTTTAAGATAAAAATAAAATAAAACGTCACTTTCTCCAAGGCTGAACAGCACTCGTCCTTTTTTTCAAAGCTTCACAAATCCATGCTGAGATGTTTAACAGCTTCATTTAAACGGCTCTTTAAAAAGTTCGGATTTAGTCTCGAAATTACCTGTGTAATTGGTGTTAATGGTAAATAGCAATTAGCGGTCTAGGCGCTGCAACGAGTGAACAATTAGCGTGGTTCTTTTCCCGCCCCCACCCCCAACCGACATCGCCGAGACGCGAGAACGAACGTGGCGGAAGAGTCACGCGCGAGTGGTCCGCGCCGTCGGCAGCAGCCCCAGTGCAAGGGGTGGCACGGCCCCCAAGGGGTGGCCGCGGTGGCCACCGGCACGGCTTTGCGGACCTCCTCGTCCCAGTCCCCGAGCGTCCGCCACCGCCCCTGGGCACAACGCCCGCGTCGCCTGCGCCGCTCGGCAAACCCCACCGCCGCCCAGCAGCAGCGGCAGCGCGCAGCCTCTCGAGACGGGAATGTGAAGCAGCCACGCCACCTCAACGCCTCTCCTCTCACGCAGCCGCCGCAGTGCGAGCACCAAACCCAGCCCACAGCCACCTCGGCCCATGCTGCTGTGCGTGGGCCGCGGTGGCTTTGTTGGCACGCGCCAACAAAGCCCACACAGCGCTCTCTTTGTTAATCACGGCCGCCCAGCACGGGGCCCAATGGCACCAAATGCCAAGGGGCTAGCAACAAACCGCACTGTTGAAGTTGTGATAGATAAGGGGCCGTCCATAAAGACGTCACGCGATTTTGGACGATTATTGACCATCCCCCCCCCCCCCTCGTCACACGGCGTCACAATAAGTCGACCCCGCCTCAAATATGACGTCACAAAGCTCTGCCCCCCCCGCCAAACCATATTTCCATTTTGAAAATAAAACATGCTTCAAATCACTTTCATCTATTGTCATTGTAGCGCGTATTTAATGTGGCGCTGCACTCTGATGTTGTAGGAGAAAACACGTATTAAAAGGAGGCGTTGGAAATCTTAAATTTAGCATAAATTCACTTGGAAATATTCAACGTCTAACTAAAACTGCAGATGTTCAGAACATTATATTGAAATTATCTTATAATTATAAAATATTAAAAGTAATTATAACTATAAAAAAAATACTTGAAACTTTGTAACAATCATTAAAAAAATGTTCAAAATGTATGCTTCTCCATTCTCCCATGGAGAAGCAAAATGCTCCTTCATGGAATAAATGAAAGGTGATCTTAGTACATTTAAATAATAAAATAGTTAATAATGAAAATGAATCAAAATTTGTGTTGTTATAACAATTCTATATTTAGTTAAAGGTGCGCATTTTGATATGATGTCAAATTTCTCAACCCCCCCCTCGTCACCCATCGTCACAAATGTCTGACCCCCCCCCTCCCTAGGTGCGTGACGTCATTTATGGACGACCCCTAAGAGTTCACACGACGATTACATTCAGAAAAGTTGTGTAAAAATTTGGGAAAATAGACGATGAGACAGAATTCCAAAGTGGTTGGGTGCGAGGGAAGGAGCAGAAGGAGCGGTGCCACGTGCAGTGTGGCGAGTGCGTGAGTTGTTGTGGCCTGCAGGGTTGGATGGTTGGTGGTTGTACACATTGTGATGAATTAAACAACAGCACGATAGTTCTCAACATGAGAAGAGGGATCAGTGAAGTTCACCTGGACCAGCCATCGTGGCCTCCAGCGAGTGAGCGAGTGACCGGGTAAATCGGCGAGTGCTCGGCACTCGGATCGTACGGCAAGCACGCGGAGTGACGCGCGGACACCGTTTCCACATCGGCGCCGTTTCCACTCTCGCGCCGCGGCGCTTTTGTCGCGAGCTCCCAGCGACACACAAAGCCGGGGTCACATTCTCACCCCCACCCCGCGGTGGAAACGATCCTCTCGGGGGAGGGGGGGGGGGTGGTGGCCGTGGCCAAAGTAGAAGCGACAGAGTTAGCCCAGTGCTGCCGACCAAACAGAGGGCGACATCGCGGCCACTAAAATAGGGGCCCCCATCTGTTCCCTCCGGCGTCAAAACTAAACTGGGTGGTGGCGTGATGGCTCGCGTGCACTGGTTCCACACCACCTCCCGATCCAAATCTGCCACTCTTCCAAACACTTAAATGGGAGTGCTGTATACGGTTAGCGATTGTCGCCCCCTCCTACGTAACCTTGGCAGGACCCTCCTGGCAACAAGAGTCGTGAGCCTCGGTGGGGCTTTCCTGGGTCAACGAGCGCGATGAGAATCACGACATCATCAGACCTCCATTGCCAGTACCAAAATGTAATAATAGTGTTTTTCCCCTTCTTTTTCTGGCAACAAAACTAAAACCTTTTTACAATGATTCATGTATGCATTAACCACAATACCTGCAGTCAAAATGCAAACAAAAAACATACTATCATATATGCATTGTCCTTGAAACTGATGGTCCACACCAAGGGACGGCTTTCTTTTGAGCCTCGACCCAATTGGCGTATGCCATTTGGCGTCATCTGGTCGAGTTTCATCTGGTCGAGTTTCAAGGACAATGCATATATTATTATAGTATGTTTTTGTTTGCATTTTGACTGCAGGTATTGTGGTTAATGCAGACATGAATCCTTGTAAAAAGGTTTCAGTTTTGTTGCCAAAAAAAAGGGGAAAACCCCTATTATGAGCATCACGACGTTTGTTAAATCCCCCCCCACCTCCATTCATCCAGCAGCATCAGTATCCCACAGTCAATTGGCAGGTCGCATGCAGTGGGGTAAAGTGTGGGTATTCCCACCTCTTCCTGTAAGAACGCCTTCCATCAGCAGCCCCTTCCACCAGCAGCGGCATGAGCAAGCATGGCTGCACCTTTACCTATACACACATACTGAATTCCAAGAGAATTAACTTCAGTTGCTGAATAAGCTCCCAACATGTGATGTGAAACGTCAGACATCGTCTTGAGCAACACGCGCTTATGACCTGTAAACAACAACGGAGAGCTAAACAGCGGTGTCTTTATTTATGTATTAACCATTAAGAGTCCAACCTCAATTGGCTTCTCACCAGCGGTTCGAGAGGCACGCGCGGCGCCCCAGAGCAGGTGCTGAGCGCCTGACGACAGCCGGGAGCAGGGTACGCCTGCAGCGCAAGCAGCGAGCTCATCACGCAGAGGCAGTGGGCCCAGCCAGAGGCCGAGAGGGGCCGCGAGAACGCGAACCGCACAGATATCAGGGGCTGTCGAGGTGGATCTCCCGTGCGAGCGTCACATTGTACACTTGTTTTCTGAAGCAGCTTGTCGGGTGAAGATGTCGGCAGAACGCGGATCGCCGTGAAGCGTTTCGGTGCTGCCCTCCCGTAAAAGAGGGTGCGGCTGGGGGGTGACGGGGGGTGGCTGGAGGAGGGTGGAGGGGGCTCAACCCCCCCCCCCCCCCCGATGAAGACTCAGCTCCCCCCGCCTCCCCCTAAATTCCGAGTCAAGTAAACAACCTCAGTACAGCCTTTCCTCCTTCGCAAGCATGAGAGCCAGAGGAGATTGCACGATAGACGACAGCGCACCGTCCTGTTACTAATTCTGCTGAGCGTTGAGCATTCGTCCGAAGTTTAACATCGGCTGTGGCGTGCGCCCCCCTGACCCCCTGACCCCGGCCCACCGGCCACCGGAGGTCAGCCGCCGCAGGGGGCGAGCCGCAGCGTCGGCCGTGCCTCTCCCCGTGCGTGGCGAGGAATTCCTCCGGAGAGCCAAAACGATGGGACGAGGTTCACGCAGCGGCCGGCGGGAACTGTCATCAGGCAGCAGCAACAACTCAAAACTCAAAACCCGTCTGTGACAAACGTAACGCGCGCTCGTTACTGCAGCGGCGCTGTCCAAACACGGCCAACGCATTCGTTAAACGCTCCGTCGCCCCTCCGCCTCGTTAGGTAGAGAAGCACGAGAACAAAGCAGCGCGGCCATTCGCTCTCTCTCTCTGTCTCTCTCTCTCTGTCTGGCGCTGCATTCCCGGGACCTGGCCGACCTACCGGACACAAAATGGAGAGACTATTTCTCTCCCCTCATTGCGGCCGCCCCTCAGTGGAAACAAATGTACAAAGTCTCCCGTAGCCAAACGCTGCGGTGACCTCCAGTGGAGGTTGGCACACTGCACGTTGCCATCGGCCGTGTGGCTCAGCCGAATCTCGCCAGAGGTCACAGGCTTGGTGCATTTCCTGCGGTGCCAGGGAGGATCTGCCCCACCAGTACTTACACTGCCAGCGCCTCAAACCAATGTTCCGCCATTTGGGGGACATCTTCAGGAAACTGGGGGTGCCCTTCTCCAACAGCAGCTTCGTATATGGAGTGGTGGTGCCTTACCTGGCTAACAAGCTGCCATGACCTCGCCAACTTCGCCTGTGCTCAGGCGAAGATGGCGGTGTACAGAACGACGAAAAAGATGCTGGAAGGTGACACTGACGGCTGCTCTGTGCTGCTTCCAGTGTTCAGGGGCCTGCTCAAGGCGCGACTCTGGCTGGAGCACGCGTACCACACACATGTCGGTGATGTGCAGCGCGTCTTCTTCGAACGTTGGGGAGCCGGACAAGCCCCTCTCTGTACCAGCGTGGACGGCACCCCACGTGTTCACCTTCTGAAGCGCTCGCTCGTCACCGTGGCGTGCGCGATGACCACCACCACCACGTGACTTTTCTTTCGTGTTGTGCGCGGCACATTTAGCGCCACAGCGCGTGGATTTATAGCGTTTATTTGTGTTGCTGGTCACTGTGTATTTCATATCGGAATCGCCTCCAGTGCTGTCAAAGTCTCTGTCTCTCTCTCTGTCTCACTCCGTCTCTCTCTGTCTCACTCTGTCTCTCTCTCTATCTCTCTGTCTATCTCTCTCTCGCAGAGCCGCCACCCAGGAACAAGAGCAGCACATGCAGCGCAACCATCCCTAGCAACATTCGCTGTCAAATATAAACTCTGGACCAGCGCTCCGATGGGTTCTCTGGTCATACGTCAACGTCTCGTTTGGCACGATGTTCCGTTGTCTCGCTCCGTGTGTTGGGAGCTTCTGCAGGAACTGAATCAGCTCCGAATAAAAAGCTCCCAGCGCGTCGATCGAAACGTCGGACTTGACGTCGAGCACCGCGCGGCACGACCCGAAATACCGTCGCAACGCAGCAGCACCACCGCAAAAACACCTTCAGGTTCTCATCGAGATCGTTTATTCAATTGTTTTCACGCCGGGTCATGCATGGGATGCCCTTTGAGTGGCTTAAGTTTCAGTGCCGCCGCCGACATGAACGTGGTGAAGTCGCGCGCTGAGCTCCACTGCTGTGGCCCGAGGACTCCACCGCGTTCGTCCAGGAAGCGCTTCTGCTGCTGCTGCCGCTTGCTCCAACTTCCTTTCCAACCCCGTACTTCGGCTTGCCGCGTTCGCCGGACTCTCACACTCCACGTACCAGACTCTCACGCTCCACGTGCCAGACTCTCACACTCCACGTCTCAGACTCTCACACTCCACGTACCAGACTCTCACACTCCACGTGCCAGACTCTCACACTCCACGTGCTAGACTCTCACACTCCACGTGCCAGACTCTCACACTCCACGTGCCAGACTCTCACACTCCACGTGCCAGACTCTCACACTCCACGTGCCAGACTCTCACGCTCCACGTACCAGACTCTCACACTCCACGTGCCAGACTCTCACACTCCACGTACCAGACTCTCACACTTCACGTCCCAGACTCTCACACTCCACGTGCTAGACTCTCACACTCCACGTGCCAGACCCTCACACTCCACGTGCCAGACTCTCACACTCCACGTGCCAGACTCTCACACTCCACGTGCCAGACTCTCACACTCCACGTGCCAGACTCTCTTGCTCCACGTACCAGACTCTCACACTCCACGTGCCAGACTCTCACACTCCACGTACCAGACTCTCACACTCCACGTCCCAGACTCTCACACTCCACGTGCTAGACCCTCACACTCCACGTGCCAGACCCTCACACTCCACGTGCCAGACTCTCACACTCCACGTGCCAGACTCTCACACTCCACGTGCCAGACTCTCACGCTCCACGTGCCAGACTCTCACGCTCCACGTGCCAGACTCTCACACTCCACGTCTCAGACTCTCACACTCCACGTGCCAGACTCTCACACTCCACGTCCCAGACTCTCACACTCCACGTCTCAGACTCTCACACTCCACGTGCCAGACTCTCACACTCCACGTGCCAGACTCTCACACTCCACGTCTCAGACTCTCACACTCCACGTGCCAGACTCTCACACTCCACGTGCCAGACCCTCACACTCCACGTCCCAGACTCTCACACTCCACGTCCCAGACTCTCACACTCCACGTCCCAGACTCTCACACTCCACGTGCCAGACTCTCACACTCCACGTGGCAGACTCTCACACTCCACGTGCCAGACCCTCACACTCCACGTCCCAGACTCTCACACTCCACGTGCCAGACTCTCACACTCCACGTCCCAGACTATCTCTGTGATCTGTGTCTCTGGGTGGTGTCTCTGTGATCTGTGTGTCTCTGGGTGGTGTCTCTGTGATCTGTGTGTCTCTGGGCGGTGTCTCTGTGATCTGTGTGTCTCTGGGTGGTGTCTCTCTGTGATCTGTGTCTCTGGGTGGTGTCTCTGTGATCTGTGTGTCTCTGGGTGGTGTCTCTGTGATCTGTGTGTCTCTGGGCGGTGTCTCTGTGATCTGTGTGTCTCTGGGTGGTGTCTCTGTGATCTGTGTGTCTCTGGGTGGTGTCTCTGTGATCTGTGTGTCTCTGGGTGGTGTCTCTGTGATCTGTGTGCCTCTGTGATCTGTGTGTCTCTGGGTGGTGTCTCTGTGATCTGTGTGTCTCTGGGTGGTGTCTCTGTGATGTGTCTCTGGGTGGTGTCTCTGTGATCTGTGTGTCTCTGGGTGGTGTCTCTGTGATCTGTGTGTCTCTGGGTGGTGTCTCTCTGTGGTCTGTGTGCCTCTGGGTGGTGTCTTTGTGATCTGTGTGTCTCTGGGTGGTGTCTCTGTGATCTGTGTGCCTCTGCGCGGTGTCTCTCTGTGATCTGTGTGTCTCTGGGTGGTGTCTCTCTGTGATCTGTGTGTCTCTGTGATCTGTGTCTCTCTGTGATCTGTGTGTCTCTGGGTGGTGTCTCTCTGTGATCTGTGTGTCTCTGGGCGGTGTCTCTGTGATCTGTGTGTCTCTGTGCGGTGTCTCTCTGTGATCTGTGTCTCTGTGCGGTGTCTCTCTGTGATCTGTGTGTCTCTGCGCGGTGTCTCTGTGATCTCTGTGTCTCTGGGTGGTGTCTCTGTGATCTTTGTGTCTCTGCGCGGTGTCTCTCCACGCTGGCTCTAGTGACCGTTGATGCAGCGCGAGCTGTAGAGCAGCTGCACCACCCCTGGATCCGCCAACGTCGACAAATCCCCAAAGTCCGAGTCGTCCTGCGCGATTTTCCGCAGTAACCGTCTCATGATCTTCCCTGCGGGGAAGATTTATTCAACGGAGGGGGGAGGTGGGGAGGGGGTCAACGCTGAAACTCGTCGCGAGCCGAAAAAATCCCGCGGGCCTTTTGTTGCAGCTTGTCGAAGAGAGTCAAGAAGGAGGGGGAGACCCCAGGTGCACGTGCTCACTCGAGCCAGCGGGAGAGACATTTCTCGCCGCACGTTACCTGAGCGCGTTTTGGGCAGCGACGGTGCGCTCTGGATGAAGTCGGGCGTGGCGATCGGACCGATCTTTTCTCTCACTGAAACACAAACGCGGTGGTCAGATGCTCGGGCGACACTGCCAAGAGGACGTTCCCAAGCAGGTCCAGCGTGCACGCCCCCAGCAACGGAGACGATCGCTCGCTGCCATCTCTCTCAACTCTCCATCCCTGTCCATCCCTCTCCGTCTCTCTCCGTCTCTCTACCTCTGGTCTCCAGCTCTATTTCTGTCGTCTCTCGCTCTCTTCCGACTTGTATCCCACCGCCACCTTGTGGCGGCCGGGTTTCAGCCGTGATCCCAAATTTGAGATGAGACGGAAACCCAGGCCATCAGCGCTGCCGCGACCACGTCACACCATTTGCGATTTGATGCAGCCAAACGAAAACAAGCCGGACTGCCGATGAGACCCAGATTGCCGAAACCCATCCAGAGTATGCTCGCTTAAACACATTGCGTTTGATAATACAGGACTGGAAAGCGAATTGGCCAAGGGATTTTAAAAAAATATATATATTTACTCGTGGAGACGCAGAGTGGAGCTGTGTCTCTCTCGGCTTTAGTTAGTCTGTTTTCAGCGATGGGAGGAAGCCAGAGAACGCATGCAGAATGTGGAAAACAAACAAACTCCACAAGGAAAGGCACCCGAGTTGAGAATCGAACCCAGGGGCTTATTGTCACTGCGTTCCTCTCGAGCTCCCTGTGAGTGGCTCTAAGCGGAGTCGGCGTCTCTCTCAGGGAGGGGAGGGTTTGCCGTTCTCCCCCGATGACGACGATGACATCGTGCACGCGTGCCGGAGCGGGCGACCAGGGCGAACAAGCAACTGTCGGTTGTGCGACGTCACCCACGTTTTGACATTTAATTACGAACAAACCGGCACCTCGCTTCTTCAGCTCGGCGGCGAGGCACGGGTTGAGCTCCAGGCCGTGGTTGAGCGTCACGAAGCAGTAGAGGCTCTCGCCCTTGAGCGCGTGCGGACGCCCTACCACAGCCGCCTCGGCCACGGAGCCGTGGGACAGCAGCGCCGACTCCACCTCCGCCGTGCTCAGCAGGTGGCCTGGGAGGGAACGGGGCGCGCTCAGCGGGGGGCGGAGGGTCGAGGTGCGATCCTGAGGAGTCGTCCGGGGCACGAGATGAAGCGTCCTGTCGGAGCGATCGCCCGACCGTGGCGATCGCGCCGCAGCTGTGATCAAGTGGCTACTGGGCGGAGGTCTCCCCAGGCGGTTGCCATGGATCGACGGTTCTGTGATGTACCGGTACGGCCCGCAGAAGTGGACATCACAGAGTTGCCTCTGAGATCCCTGCCAAGTGGCCACCGGTCCACACAGTAAAGGGCGGCACGTTCGCACCTGCCCCACGATACAGCCTCATGCCGGCAAAAGCCACGTCTTAATTTTCACAGCTGGAATTCAGCTCTGGCCTCTCAGCCACCAGACCACCTCCTCTGGCAAGTTTTTGTTGTTTGTTGAGGAAGCTCGAGAGCAGCCCGGCTCGCGTTGGAGAGGCGACTCGCTTTTAACCTTCGTCAAAACAACCGCTCGCGACGAAACTCCTCGCGGCTAACTTAGTGAGCGGCCGTGCGGTGTCCGAGCCGCAGGGAGAAGACAGCGCCTCGCTGAGGAAGCGCCCGCTGGAGCGAGGAGCCCAGCCGATCGTTTGCAGCGGAAGGTAACGGCGACCACGACTCGGCACGCTCACCAGACACGTTCAACATGTCGTCTGTGCGGCCCGTGATCCAGTAATATCCGTCTTTATCCCTCCTGCAGCCTGCAATCCACACGCAAAGACAAAGATCCCACGTTGGGGCAAGTGCGAGCACCTACGAAGGCTGGCACGGCACACGAGGGGGTGGGTGGCCAGCTCCACGTCCGGCCGTCTGTGTCTCCTCAGCGCCGATGTTCACGCACAGCGAGAGGTACTCGTTGTAATACCGAGGGGATGCGCAAGGACCGGTTCCGGCGTTTGCCGCTCGGATCGGCCGCGGCGCGGAACCCAAATTGGAGCGGCGGGGTTTTTAGATCGCGTCACGCACCGTCCCCCGTCGCGTAGTAACCGGGGAACTTCCCGAAGTACGTCGCCTCCAGCCGCTCGTGGTCGCCGAACACCGTCCGCAGGATCCCGGGCCACGGCCGCTTGAACACCTGCGGGGAGACGCACGCACGCGTTGGGTGTCCGCCGCCGGGTGAGCAGCCGCCCGCCCCGTGCGGGCGGGGCCTCGTCGCGCCGACGGCGGTCGCCTCACCAGGAAGCCCTCGGCCTCGCCCCGCAGCTCCTCCCCACGCTCGTCGAGGATCGCCGGCTCCACGCCAAAGAACGGCAGCGTCTGGACGGGACGCGGACGCCGCCGGGGAGCGGAGGGCGCGGGAGGGGGGTGGGGAGCGGAGGGGACAGAGGCGGATATGAAGCGCGAGCGTCGTGACGCCGACGGCACGACCGCGATGATCCGGGGGCCGTGTCCGCGCGTTGCCTGCGCCGCTCACCGCGGAGCCCGGCTTGAGCGGCGTGGCGCCCGGGAGCGGCGTCAGCACGTGCCCTCCCTGCAGCCGCACGCAGGGGACGTCCGGTCAGGAGAGGGATTCCAAGGATTCGATTTCACAGATATGCAGCGGTGACATTGGCCTCGTGCGCAGGATCGTGGCATCGCGAGGCCGCGAGAGACGCCAGTGGATTTGGGAGGCCTTCATCCAGCAGCGGATCGATCGCAGCCGCTATTGAGGACGATGACGGCAGTGGCGAGTTACGTACCGCAGTGCCAGGGGGCCATAGTGGAGGTATCTCGACCGACCGTAGGACGGTATCGCCGGCACCGTCGCCACCGACAGGAACTTTGAGACGGAGTTTTAAACCCATATTGCTGAGCAGAGGCTCAAAACGCCACGCGGTCAGCGACAAACAGCACTCTTAGAGTTGTAATTGGTAACAGTTCACCCGGGTTTTTCAATTGAGCAAAGTTACCGTGAACTGGGTTGGGAGAGAGGTGACGATGGAAGGACGGAATTCCACAATGGAGCAGTGCAGGGGAAGAAGCAGCAAGAGCAGTGTGGTGAGTAGGAGGTGAGTGGGTGGTGAGTGGGTGGTGAGTGGGTGGTGAGTGGGTGGTGAGTGAGTGGTGAGTGGGTGGTGAGTGAGTGGTGAGTGGGTGGTGAGTAGGTGGTGAGTGGGTGGTGAGTGGGTGGTGAGTGGGTGGTGAGTGGGTGGTGAGTGAGTGGTGAGTGGGTGGTGAGTGAGTGGTGAGTGGGTGGTGAGTAGGTGGTGAGTGGGTGGTGAGTGGGTGGTGAGTGGGTGGTGAGTGAGTGGTGAGTGGGTGGTGAGTGGGTGGTGAGTGGGTGGTGGGTGAGTGGGTGGTGAGTGAGTGGTGAGTGGGTGGTGAGTGAGTGGTGAGTGGGTGGTGAGTCGGTGGTGAGTGGGTGGTGAGTGAGTGAGTGGTGAGTGGGTGGTGAGTGAGTGGTGAGTGGGTGGTGAGTGGGTGGTGAGTAGGTGGTGAGTGAGTGGTGAGTGGGTGGTGAGTGGGTGGTGAGTGAGTGGTGAGTGGGTGGTGAGTGGGTGGGGGAGTGAATGGGGGAGTGAATGGGTTGTTGTGACCTGCAGTGTAGTGAGTGGTGAGTGAGTGGTGAGTGGGTGGTGAGTGAGTGGTGAGTGGGTGGTGAGTGAGTGGTGAGTGAGTGGTGAGTGAATGGGGAAGTGAGTGTGTTGTTGTGACCTGCAGTGTGGTGAGTGGGTGGCTGAGTGAGTGGTGAGTGAGTGAGCGGTGAGTGGGTGGTGGGTAGTGGTGAGTGAGTGGTGAGTGGGTGGTGAGTGAATGGGGGAGTGAATGGGTTGTTGTGACCTGCAGTCTGGTGAGTGAGTGGTGAGTGAGTGGTGAGTGAGTGAGTGGTGAGTGAGTGGTGAGTGAATGGGGAAATGAGTGTGTTGTTGTGACCTGCAGTGTGGTGAGTGAGTGGTGAGTGAGTGGTGAGTGAGTGGTGAGTGGGTGGTGAGTGAGTGGTGAGTGAATGGGGAAGTGTGTTGTTGTGACCTGCAGTGTGGTGAGTGGGTGGCTGAGTGAGTGGTGAGTGGGTGGTGAGTGGGTGGTGAGTGAGTGGTGAGTGGGTGGTGAGTGGATGGTGAGTGAATGGGGGAGTGAATGGGTTGTTGTGACCTACAGTGTGGTGAGTGGGTGGTGAGTGAGTGAGTGGTGAGTGGGTGGTGAGTGAGTGTACGGTCTCCGTCTGCCAGAACGTGTCGACGATGGGGCAGCGGCCGCCTCCGACGACGCCGTGTAGCCAGTGCCACGCCTCGCGGTTGATGGGCTCCCCGACGGTGCCCAGCACTCGCAGGGACCGACGGCTGTGTCTGTCGCGCGCCAGAGGCGGGGGTGGGGGTGGGAATTGCTTCAAAGTAAAATAAACAACTTTCCGCACAAGGTTGAAAGTGGCGCTGCTAACAACGTCATGGTTGTGGCGATGGATGTATGGATCAATGATGATGATTATAACGAAGATGATGATGCAGGCAATGGATGCTGCTGCTGCTGCCGCTGCTGCTGGCGGTGATGGAGCGTGACCCACTTGAGCACAAAGGCGTCTCCGTGTTTCATGAGGAGCCGGACGGCGGTGGGCGCCGTGTAGAATTTGCTCACCGCGTACTTCTCCACCGTCTGCCAAAACCGCCCCGCGTCCGGGAACGTCGGGATGCCTTCGAACTGCGGGACAACACGGCGGTACTCGCGTTAATCTCCGCCGCATCCCCGACACACCGGCTCGGGCCCAACCCGCTGAGAGTCAATGCATGGTGAACTTCTTTCGCACCGTATGTAGCCAACCATGCTAATGGGAGGAGCGAACTGAGGCTTCGTGAGATCAGCTGTGGGTTCTGGCCGATCTTGTCACAAGTACGGCACGTGCACACGAGATTCCCCTCTAGCCGTGCGGACAGCCGGGGAAGTTTGCGTTAGCGAGCACCTCTTAAGGTTGGGGAGCGGCGCACCAGGGCCCGGTGTGACCAGCACCACGCCCGGCCGCCTTTGTCTCCCTAAATGCTGCGATTAAAACACCACGGTTATTACGCATTTATTGCCGAGTCGCCCATGGGGAGGGTTCAGGACCGGTTCTGATTTCGCCACTGACGATAGCCCTGGCCAGGAATAGAACTCGGAGCGCCGGGCTCGTAGAGCGGTGCGCTAACTGCCGTGCCACCGCTCCACCCAACGTCCAGGAACAACCAGAGCCGCAAGGATGAGGCTGTTGCTTACGTAGCGGCGGCAGCGTTACTTCCTCCGCAACTAAAAGCATCGCCCTGCATCTCGCCCCATATCGACCATTCCAGTGCCTTGCTGGAGTCTCGTTCGGGGGACCCCCGGTGGCAGCTGTCCCTGTGCTGCGCAAGGCAAATGCAGCGCCGTCTCGAGCAAAGCGCCAAAATTGCCAGCTGGCTTTTTCCAATTAAGCGGGAGGGCAGGGAGGTTGGGAGTCGAACCAGCACGCTCGTGACGCCGTTGGCCAAGGGTCCGTAGACGATGTAGGAGTGGCCGGTGATCCAGCCGATGTCGGCCGTGCACCAGTACACGTCCTGCGGCCGAATGTCGAACACGAGCTTGTGCGTGGTGGCCACGAAGAGCAGGTAGCCCGCGGTGGTGTGGAGCACCCCCTGCGGAAGACGTCGCGACGACGTTACCGGGATCCTCACAGTTCGAGGACACGCGAGGGCCACCGCTTCCAACCGGCGCATACAATATTTAACCAGCGTAGCATCACAGGAAGACGCATCAATTATCGCAGAGCTACCTCTGAGACCCCTTCAAGCGACCTCTGTTCCACACAGCAGGAGCAGCACTTGCCAAAAAGGCTCAAAAACGCCCCGCGTCCAGCAACAAAAGCACGATTGAAGGTTTAATCGATAAGAGTTCATGGGTTTCTTGAATTAAGCAAGCAAATAAGTAATTGAGGAAGAAGACGGCGGGGAAGCTGCGTGACCGCGACGCGTGGGCCCGAGTTTCACCGCAAAACCCGGCGCGTGGGGGCACCACCTTGGGCTTGCCGGTGGAGCCGCTGGTGTAGAGGACGAAGAGCGGGTCTTCGGCGTCGCACCACGCGGGCTCGCACGTGGTACTCGCCCCGCACATCAGCTCATGCCACCAGCTGTCCCGTCCGCTCGTCCACGGCACCTGGGTGAGGCAGCACGGAACCCCGCGCCCCGTCACGATCGCCCGTCGTCTTCCTCGCCCCGCTAGTTCGTCAGTGAAGGAGGCGGCGGCTGCTGAATCGCCGTGCTGGTTTCTGATTGTCTACGCGCTCAAACTCCGGTCGATTTCAGTTGACGCGCGTCCGATTTACGCATCCGCAAGACCTCCTGCGTTAGGCGCAGCCAGAGTGAATTCGCTGTAACCATGACGACTCTACGCTCACTGGTCACGGCATTAATTTTCCAGCGCATTTTTGTCGGAGCGCAAGGCTATCACGGAGGGTGCGACGTCCGCAGTCGTTTCGCAGAAGGAGGCGATGTTGCGATGTGGTTTTACCCAAATTCGGCCATTTACGAGTACAGGTGGTATCCTTTTGAACTTGGACGATGATGCCAACACGAGATCGGGGTTGGTGCACCCGCAACATCAACCAGGGTGGTAGCGTCGCGAAGTCTGCCGTCGCGGCCCAGCGGGGCGGCGAGCTCACCACGAGGGCCTCGCTCGCCACTCCGTTCTGCTGCTCGCCGAACCTCCTCGCCACGATGCAGTGCTCCACCTTCACGTCGTCCCTGCGAGCCCCAGAGAGACGCCGACTCCGCTTAGAGCCACTCGCATGGAGCCCACAGAGGGACCCAGTGACAAGAAGTCCCTGGGTTCGATTCCCAACTCGGGAGCCTTGCTATGTGGAGTCTGCACGTTCTCCCACAGCTCACATACAATGTGACTGGTAGTGGTCAAACATCCCAATGTTAACAATTATCCTGCAAATTTCTCAAAACTTGGCAGGAGCCAGCCTTGAGACGCAGTGAGGCTTTTCCGGGTAAACAAACACACATTAGTTCAGGTGATGCCGTGGCGGCGGAGCCAACCGTGACCCAGCGAGGACCACCGCGAGGACCACCGCGAGGACCACCAGCGAGGACCACCAGCGGTGGCGGCACGGGGCGCGGGCGAAGCGACGCAATCGCCGAGAGCCCCCAGTAGCTCGACGGGTCCCGGGTCCACAAACGACGGAGCGGGCGCGTCAGATAACATCTCAAATTCAAATATGGACAAGTTTCACGAGCTAATTCACATAAACAAGCTCATTCATCTCGCCTCCACATTGCCTGCATCTCTCTCATCCAGCTCCGTCCGCCACTTGTCTACGCTGGGCTCATCTCACGCCACCTCTCCTCTGTCTGTTATGTGAGCAGCGCCACTCACTCCTCCGCGTTCTTCTTCAAGGCCTCGTCTGCGATCTCTTTCAGGCTGATCGACTTGTCCCCGCGCTGGAATCCATCTGGATGCACGCACACAGACAAATGCAAAGATCCCTCCTATAGTCGCGAACAGACGCTGTGGGCAAGTGCTGTTAGCGAGCACCTATGAAGGCCGGAACGGCACACGAGGAGGTGGGTGGCCAGCGCCACTTACGGCTGCTTTTGTCTCCCCGGTGCTGATGTTTTTGCACTGCGTCAGGTACTGTACTCCCTTAAAGGCCGAGTCGACCTAGAGGAGGCCCAAGACAGGTTTAGGTATTTGTCATAAGCGGGAGTCGCGGGTCACCTTGGTTCTCATCGCGGCATGCTAATCACTGCGCCACCACTCCGCCACCACTCCCCACACGACGCTTGTGCCAGGCCATGTGCACTTTAAGGCCACGTGAAGTATCGAACGCCCGCTGGCAGGAGGTCACGGGACAGACCCAGGTGCCAGGGGTTGACTTGAGATGACTGGCCGATGCACCATACACCACACGTGCACACACACACGTCCGACGATGCACATTCGCCAATGATGGCCTTGGAGCTCATCGCTCGCGACGCCACGGGGGAGTCTCCTTGCTCGTTTCGTGATCTCAGCTGTCCCAGCGGCAACGCCGCCGCCGCTGCCGCCTGACCCACCGCGTCGGTGTCCTCGGCTCCCCGCGGCAAACGCTGCAGGAGCCGTTCTGCGTGTCTGCTCATCAAAAACCGCTCCGTTTTCGTTCCTCGTTCGAGACGTCGGGCAGAGCGAGCGGATCACTCGGCACCTGTCGCCCGGATCGTGTTGACGCAGAGCGGCCGCCTCCTCCTGCCATCTCACAACCAGGGCCCGGGGGGAGGGGGGCGCGAGGCCCCTGCTGCGCGACTCCCCCGGTCGCAGCCTCGGCCCTCCCGCCGAGCGCGTGCCGGCGACGCCGGGCGAGGCGACGTCCGACACGCGGTGGCCGGGCGGCAGAGCGAGCGGCTCGAGGTCGCGAGGTCGCGAGTTCACATCCCGGTTGGGGGGGTTGACTCAGCCCATCATCGTCTCTCCAGGGACAATGATATGAATACCACGTTCTGAGGAAGTCAACACCGGTTGTCCTACGGACAGACCAGCCCCTGCCATGGGCACGGGGAATTTCCACCACCGGCTCAGGACATCCCTTCGACCGGCATCTCTACGCCGTGCGTGTGACGTGCGAGTGGAGCCGTGGGCCCGGGAACTGACCGGCCGTGACGAGGAGGCGGCACTGCGAGTCTGCGATGCGGTCGTGGAGAGCGTCCGCAGAGAACCCCGCGAACTTCGCACAGACGACACGGAAACCAAAAACAAGAGTCGTCGTTACAATCATCGTCTGTCGTCAGTTATACCGCACGTCCACCAGTGTCACCGTGACACTCTCACACCCAGTGACACTCTCACACTAAGTGTCACGTGACACTCACACACTCAGTGTCACCGTGACACTCTCACACTCAGTGTCACTCTCACACCCAGTGTCACCGTGACACTCTCACACCCAGTGTCACGTGACACTCTCACACCCAGTGACACTCTCACACCCAGTGTCACGTGACACTCTCACACTCAGTGACACTCTCACACTCAGTGTCACGTGACACTCTCACACTCAGTGACACTCTCACACTCAGTGTCACCGTGACACTCTCACACTCAGTGTCACGTGACACTCTCACACTCAGTGTCGCCGTGACACTCTCACACTCGCACATGAGTGTGGTGAGTGAGTGTGGTGTGTGAGTGTGGTGAGTGAGTGTGGTGAGTGAGTGTGGTGAGTGTGGTGAGTGAGTGTGGTGTGTGAGTGTGGTGAGTAAGGTGAGTGTGGTGAGTGTGGTGTGTGCGTGTGGTGAGTGAGTGTGGTGAGTGAGTGAGTGAGTGTGGTGAGTGTGGTGAGTGAGTGTGGTGAGTGTGGTGAGTGAGGGAGTGTGGTGAGTGAGTATGATGAGTGAGTGTGGTGAGTGTGGTGAGTGAGTGTAGTGAGTGAGTGTGGTGTGTGTGAGTGTGGTGAGTGAGTGTCTTGAGTGAGTGTTGTGTGTGAGTGTGGTGAGTGTGGTGAGTTAGTGTGGTGAGTGAGTGTGGTGAGTGAGTGTGGTGATTGAGTGAGTGAGTGTGGTGAGTGAGTGTGGTGAGTGAGTGCGGTGAGTAAGTCTGGTGAGTGAGTGTGGTGAGTGAGTGAGTGTGGTGAGTGAGTGTGGTGAGTGAGTGAGTGTGGTGAGTGAGTGTGATGAGTGTGGTGTGTGAGTGTGGTGAGTGAGTGTCTTGAGTGAGTGTGGTGTGTGAGTGTGGTGAGTAAGGTGAGTGAGTGTGGTGAGTGAGTGTGGTGAGTGAGTGTGGTGTGTGAGTGTGGTGTGGTGTGTGAGTTTGGTGAGTGTGGTGAGTGAGTGAGTGAGTGTGGTGAGTGTGGTGTGTGAGTGTGGTGAGTGAGTGTCTTGAGTGAGTGTGGTGAGTATGGTGAGTGAGTGTGGTGAGTGAGTGGTGAGTAAGGTGAGTGAGTGTGGTGAGTGAGTGTGGTGAGTAAGTGTGGTGAGTGTGGTGAGTGAGTGAGTGTGGTGAGTGAGTGTGATGAGTGAGTGTGGTGTGTGATTGTGGTGAGTGAGTGTGGTGAGTGAGTGTGGTGAGTGAGTGTGGTGAGTGAGTGAGTGTGGTGAGTGAGTGCGGTGAGTGTGGTGTGTGGTGAGTGAGTGTCTTGAGTGAGTGTGGTGTGTGAGTGTGGTGAGTAAGGTGAGTGAGTGTGGTGAGTGAGTGTGGTGAGTTTGGTGAGTGAGTGTGGTGAGTGAGTGTGGTGAGTGAGTGTGGTGTGTGAGTGTGGTGAGTGAGTGTGGTGTGGTGAGTGAGTGTGGTGTGTGTGGTGAGTGTGGTGAGTGAGTGTGGTGAGTGAGTGTGGTGTGTGAGTGTGGTCAGTGTGATGAGTGTTGTGAGTGAGTGTGGTGAGTGAGTGTGATGTGTGAGTGTGGTGAGTGAGTGTGGTGAGTGAGTGTGGAGAGTGAGTGTGGTGAGTGTGGTGAGTGAGTGTGGTGTGTGAGTGTGGTGAGTGAGTGTGGTGTGTGAGTGTGGTGAGTGAGTGTGGTGAGTGAGTGTGGTGAGTGAGTGTGGTGAGTGAGTGTGGTGAGTAAGATGAGTTAGTGTGGTGAGTGAGTCTGGTGAGTGTAGTGAGTGTGAGTGTGGTGAGTGAGTGTGGTGAGTGAGTGAGGTGAGTGAGTGTGGTGAGTGAGTGAGTGAGTGTGGTTGAGTGAGTGTGGTGAGTGAGGTGAGTGAATGTGGTGAGTGAGTGTGGTGAGCGAGTGTGGTGTGTGAGTGTGGTGAGTGTGGTGAGTGTGGTGAGTGAGTGTGGTGTGTGAGTGTGGTGAGTGAGTGTGGTGAGTAAGGTGAGTGAGTGTGGTGAGTGTAGTGAGTGAGTGAGTGTGGTGTGTGAGTGTGGTGAGTGAGTGTGGTGAGTGTGGTCAGTGAGTGTGGTATGTGAGTGTGGTGAGTGAGTGTGGTGAGTAAGGTGAGTGCGTGTGGTGAGTGAGTGTGGTAAGTGTGGAGAGTGTGGTGAGTGAGTGTGATGAGTGAGTGTGGTGAGTGTGGTGAGTGAGTGTGGTGAGTGAGTGTGGTGTGTGAGTGTGGTGAGTGAGTGTGGTGAGTGAGTGTGGTGTGTGTGAGTGTGGTGAGTGATTGTGGTGAGTAAGGTGAGTGAGTGTGGTGAGTAAGGTGAGTGAGTGTGGTGAGTGAGTGAGTGTGGTGAGTGAGTGTGGTGTGGTGAGTGTGGTGTGTGAGTGTGGTGAGTGAGTGTGGTGAGTGTGGTGAGTGAGTGTGGTGTGTGAGTGTGGTGAGTAAGGTGAGTGTGGTGAGTGTGGTGTGTGCGTGTGGTGAGTGAGTGTGGTGAGTGAGTGAGTGAGTGTGGTGAGTGTGGTGAGTGAGTGTGGTGAGTGTGGTGAGTGAGGGAGTGTGGTGAGTGAGTATGATGAGTGAGTGTGGTGAGTGTGGTGAGTGAGTGTAGTGAGTGAGTGTGGTGTGTGTGAGTGTGGTGAGTGAGTGTCTTGAGTGAGTGTTGTGTGTGAGTGTGGTGAGTGTGGTGAGTTAGTGTGGTGAGTGAGTGTGGTGAGTGAGTGTGGTGATTGAGTGAGTGAGTGTGGTGAGTGAGTGTGGTGAGTGAGTGCGGTGAGTAAGTCTGGTGAGTGAGTGTGGTGAGTGAGTGAGTGTGGTGAGTGAGTGTGGTGAGTGAGTGAGTGTGGTGAGTGAGTGTGATGAGTGTGGTGTGTGAGTGTGGTGAGTGAGTGTCTTGAGTGAGTGTGGTGTGTGAGTGTGGTGAGTAAGGTGAGTGAGTGTGGTGAGTGAGTGTGGTGAGTGAGTGTGGTGTGTGAGTGTGGTGTGGTGTGTGAGTGTGGTGAGTGTGGTGAGTGAGTGAGTGAGTGTGGTGAGTGTGGTGTGTGAGTGTGGTGAGTGAGTGTCTTGAGTGAGTGTGGTGAGTATGGTGAGTGAGTGAGTGTGGTGAGTGAGTGGTGAGTAAGGTGAGTGAGTGTGGTGAGTGAGTGTGGTGAGTAAGTGTGGTGAGTGTGGTGAGTGAGTGAGTGTGGTGAGTGAGTGTGATGAGTGAGTGTGGTGTGTGATTGTGGTGAGTGAGTGTGGTGAGTGAGTGTGGTGAGTGAGTGAGTGTGGTGAGTGAGTGCGGTGAGTGTGGTGTGTGGTGAGTGAGTGTCTTGAGTGAGTGTGGTGTGTGAGTGTGGTGAGTAAGGTGAGTGAGTGTGGTGAGTGAGTGTGGTGAGTTTGGTGAGTGAGTGTGGTGAGTGAGTGTGGTGAGTGAGTGTGGTGTGTGAGTGTGGTGAGTGAGTGTGGTGTGGTGAGGGAGTGTGGTGTGTGTGGTGAGTGTGGTGAGTGAGTGTGGTGAGTGAGTGTGGTGTGTGAGTGTGGTCAGTGTGATGAGTGTTGTGAGTGAGTGTGGTGAGTGAGTGTGATGTGTGAGTGTGGTGAGTGAGTGTGGTGAGTGAGTGTGGAGAGTGAGTGTGGTGAGTGTGGTGAGTGAGTGTGGTGTGTGAGTGTGGTGAGTGAGTGTGGTGTGTGAGTGTGGTGAGTGAGTGTGGTGAGTGAGTGTGGTGAGTAAGGTGAGTGTGGTGAGTGAGTGTGGTGAGTAAGATGAGTTAGTGTGGTGAGTGAGTCTGGTGAGTGTAGTGAGTGTGAGTGTGGTGAGTGAGTGTGGTGAGTGAGTGAGGTGAGTGAGTGTGGTGAGTGAGTGAGTGAGTGTGGTTGAGTGAGTGTGGTGAGTGAGGTGAGTGAATGTGGTGAGTGAGTGTGGTGAGCGAGTGTGGTGTGTGAGTGTGGTGAGTGTGGTGAGTGTGGTGAGTGAGTGTGGTGTGTGAGTGTGGTGAGTGAGTGTGGTGAGTAAGGTGAGTGAGTGTGGTGAGTGTAGTGAGTGAGTGTGGTGTGTGAGTGTGGTGAGTGAGTGTGGTGAGTGTGGTCAGTGAGTGTGGTATGTGAGTGTGGTGAGTGAGTGTGGTGAGTAAGGTGAGTGCGTGTGGTGAGTGAGTGTGGTAAGTGTGGAGAGTGTGGTGAGTGAGTGTGATGAGTGAGTGTGGTGAGTGTGGTGAGTGAGTGTGGTGAGTGAGTGTGGTGTGTGAGTGTGGTGAGTGAGTGTGGTGAGTGAGTGTGGTGTGTGTGAGTGTGGTGAGTGATTGTGGTGAGTAAGGTGAGTGAGTGTGGTGAGTAAGGTGAGTGAGTGTGGTGAGTGAGTGAGTGTGGTGAGTGAGTGTGGTGTGGTGAGTGTGGTGTGTGAGTGTGGTGAGTGAGTGTGGTGAGTGTGGTGAGTGAGTGTGGTGAGTGAGTGTGGTGTGTGAGTGTGGTGAGTGAGTGTGGTGAGTGAGTGTGGTGAGTGTAGTGAGTGTGGTGAGTGAGTGTGGTGTGTGTGTGGTGAGTGAGTGTGGTGTGTGAGTGTGGTGAGTGAGTGTGGTGAGTGAGTGTGGTGAGTGAGTGTGGTGTGTGAGTAAGGTGAGTGAGTGTGGTGAGTGAGTGTGGTGAGTGAGTGTGGTGTGTGAGTGTGGTGTGTGATTGTGGTGAGTGTGGTGAGTGTGGAGAGTGTGGTGAGTGAGTGTGATGAGTGTGGTGAGTGTGGTCAGTGAGTGTGGTGTGTGAGTGTGGTGAGTGAGTGTTGTGAGTGAGTGTGGTGAGTAAGGTGAGTGAGTGTGGTGAGTGAGTGTGGTGAGTGAGTGTGGTGTGTGAGTGTGGTGTGTGAGTGTGGTGAGTGTGGTGTGTGAGTGTGGTGAGTGAGTGTGGTGAGTGAGTGTGGTGAATGTGGTGAGTGAGTGTGGTGAGTGAGTGTGGTGTGTGAGTGTGGTGTGTGAGTGTGATGAGTGAGTGTGGTGAATGAGTGAGTGTGGTGAGTGAGTGAGTTTGGTGAGTGAGTGAGTGTGGTGAATGAGTGTAGTGAGTGAGTGTGGTGAGTGAGTGTGGTGAGTGAGTGAGTGTGGTGAGTGAGTGAGTGTGGTGAATGAGTGAGTGTGGTGAGTGAGTGTGGTGAGTATGGTGAGTGAATGTGGTGAGTGAGTGAGTGTGGTGAGTGCTCGTGGCGATGGGTGGGATAACAAACCACGACGGAGTGCACGGCGCCGAGCCTGGCGCAGGCGAGCATGGCCACCACCAACTCCAGCACCATGGGGAGGTACAGGGCGACGCGGTCGCCCTTCCGCACGCCTGGCAGCGCACAGAGTGGAACAGCGCACAGAAGTGGAACACCACACAGAGTGGAACACCACACAGAAGGGGAACACCACACAGAGTGGAACACCACACAGAAGTGGAACACCACACAGAGTGGAACACCACACAGAAGGGGAACACCACACAGAGTGGAACACCACACAGAAGTGGAACAGCGCACAGAGTGGAACACCGCACAGAATTGGAACGCCGCACAGAAGTGGAACAGCGCACAACAGTGGAACACCGCACAGAAGTGGAACAGCGCACAACAGTGGAACACCGCACAGAAGTGGAACAGCACACAGAGTGGAACACCGCACAGCAGTGGAACAGCGCACAGAAGTGGAACAGCACACAGAGTGGAACACCGCACAGAAGTGGAACAGCGCACAACAGTGGAACACCGCACAACAGTGGAACACCGCACAGAAGTGGAACACCGCACAGATTGGAAGACCGCACAAAAGTGGAACAGCACACAGAGTGGAACACCGCACAGCAGTGGAACAGCGCACAGAAGTGGAACAGCGCACAGAAGTGTAACACCACACAGAGTGGAACACCGCACAGAAGTGGAACAGCACACATAGTGGAACAGGGCACAGTAGTGGGACACCACACAGAGTGGAACACCGCACAGAAGTGGAACAGCGCACAGAAGTGGAACACCGGCACGCGATACTGCTCACTACAGCGGCACGCTATGTATAAACCGTCTCGTAGCACCGCACCCTTCACCACAGCACCGCATGCTGCACTAAAAACAACGCACCTCGCCTTCACCAACCCGCACTGACCAGCGTGGTGAGGTGTCGTGAAATAGCCCCCACCGCCCCGCACGGCTTGGGAGGGCCGTCATCCACTGCCCAGCTTCCATCTTCCACAGACACAATGGGCAGCACTTCACCGGATCGGCACGAACCACAGGAGATGCGGTGGACACCTGCTGCCTGAGCGGAGACTACAAGGCCTCCCTCTCTATGCTGAGTGCAACTGCGAACACCAAGCCGTGGATCAAGAAACCTCGCGCTGACTCAAACATAAATGTGAATGCAGTGAATTGGTGGGTCAGTGGGTGGACGAGTGAGTGCTTGGGTGTGTGTGCAATTCACCAACTGTCAGACAAAGCGATTAAATGTCTCAACCACGGAAAGCTGGATCTCCGAGAGTTGCTCTCCGTTGACCCAAGCGAAGTCATCGATCAGTGCCGCAGTGCGGTGTCAGAGCCGCGATGCCGCAATGAACAAATCGAGGAGCGCCGCTCCGACAGGTTACCTTTGGCAAGCAAGACGTTGGAGAACTTGCAGACCTCGGCGAGGAGTTCGGCGTAGGTGATCTGTGAGCTCTCATCAGGGCGATTGCCTTCCCTGAAAGACACGCACGGAGGTTCCAGTGGGCCTCGAGTCGGCCCCGTGCCCAGTCAGCGAGGCCACGAGCAGTGCCGGATTATTATCCCAGTAGCAAAAGCAGCTACACATATATGTAGCTATATGTAGTAGCTACACATATAGTAGCTACTACATATATAGTAGCTACTACATATATAGTAGCTACATTTATAGTAGCTATATGTAGTAGCTACACATATAGTAGCTATATGTAGTAGCTGCACATATAGTAGCTACTACATATATAGTAGCTACTACATATATAGTAGCTACATTTATAGTAGCTATATGTAGTAGCTATTATATATAGTAGCTACTATACATGTAGTAGCTACTATATATGTAGTAGCTACTACATATATAGTAGCTACTACACATGTAGTAGCTATATGTAGTAGCTACTATATATAGTAGCTACTACATATGTAGTAGCTACATATATAGTAGCTACTACATATATAGTAGCTACTATATACTACATATATACTACTATATATAGTAGCTACTACATATGTAGTAGCTATATATAGTAGCTACATATATAGTAGCTACTATATATACTACATATAGTAGCTATATGTAATACATATGTAGCTACTGCATATATAGTAGCTACTATATATGTAGTAGCTAATACATATGTAGCTACTACATATATGTGTATATATGTAGTAGCTACGGGCCCCGCACTTTCAAGGGCCCCACGCTAAATGCTTTCAAGCGACCTCACTGTCGCCTTCGTATCGAGATCCCATCGAGACCTGGAGACGGTTGGGCCGATGGCGCCGCGTCTGAGAGGGACATCAATTGTAGCGACAGCGGCTGGCGAGGCTGGGGTACAAAGAGGATCCGTTTGGCTGGCAACGCTGCTGAAGGTTAAAATAAACAACAATAAATAGGTAAACAACCTCGCGCTGCTTTTATATTCGACCTGCGGGAGGTCGTGACTACGGGGCCACGTGGGCAGTGCGGCACCAACCACCACGACGCGCCGTGAGCTTCACTCACAGTGGACGTTAAAGACCCCCCTCCCCTGATGTCACTCGCAAGAGTTGGCCATCGTGTGCCGGTGTCAGGGGCCCGCCGAAATTCGCCTTTTCCTAAAACCGCGCCGCAAATCGCTCAATTTTACTCACGGCAGCAGCAGCAGTCGCAGCAGCAGCAATCATTGCCCTCTACTGGCAGCACCCCTTGCAACTGAGACTCTAATCCCGGCCTCTTGACTTCTCCCTCACCTCGTTCCACAGAACGGCACTGACAGAACAACACAAACATCGACATCGCCCTGCGCCGTGTCGAGTACGCGACATCAGGGCGACCTCGGGTGGCGGCGCGTTCAAGTACCAGTAGAAGGCCACGCGGTTCCCGAGTCCCTTCTCCAGCACGTTCCTGTCCAGGAGGTTGTAGCAGACGTTCATCAGCCCCCCGGCGAACCACTCGACGAACACGCGGCCGCGCCGCACGTCGAAGTTGTAGCTGAGGACGTCCTCCTGCGGCGGCCATCGCTGCCAGTGGAACTCCCTCGCGATCTCCTTCCAAAACTCTGGTGCAGACGGTGGGAAAATCACCACCTCCAGCAGGCGGTGGGAAAATCACCACCTCCAGCAGGCGGAGGGAAAATCACCACCTCCAGCAGGCGGTGGGAAAATCACCACCTCCAGCAGATGGTGGGAAAATCACCACCTCCAGCAGATGGTGGGAAAATCACCACCTCCAGCAGGTGGTGGAAAAATCACCACCTCCAGCAGGTGGTGGGAAAATCACCACCTCCATCAGGCGGTGGGAAAATCACCACCTCCAGCAGTGGTGGAAAAATCACCACCTCCAGCAGGCGGTGGGAAAATCACCACCTCCAGCAGGTGGTGGGAAAATCACCACCTCCAGCAGGCGGTGGGAAAATCACCACCTCCATCAGGCGGTGGGAAAATCACCACCTCCAGCAAGCGGTGGGAAAATCACCACCTCCAGCAGGCGGTGGGAAAATCACCACCTCCAGCAGATGGTGGGAAAATCACCACCTCCAGCAGTGGTGGAAAAATCACCACCTCCAGCAGGCAGTGGGAAAATCACCACCTCCAGCAGGCGGTGGGAAAATCACCACCTCCAGCAGATGGTGGGAAAATCACCACCTCCAGCAAGCGGTGGGAAAATCACCACCTCCAGCAGGCGGTGGGAAAATCACCACCTCCAGCAAGCGGTGGGAAAATCACCACCTCCAGCAGGCGGTGGGAAAATCACCACCTCCAGCAGGCGGTGGGAAAATCACCTCCAGCAGATGGTGGGAAAATCACCACCTCCAGCAGGTGGTGGGAAAATCACCACCTCCAGCAGGCGGTGGGAAAATCACCACCTCCAGCAGGCGGTGGGAAAATCACCACCTCCAGCAGGCGGTGGGAAAATCACCACCTCCAGCAGGCGGTGGGAAAATCACCACCTCCAGCAGGCGGTGGGAAAATCACCACCTCCAGCAGGCGGTGGGAAAATCACCACCTCCAGCAGGCGGTGGGAAAATCACCACCTCCAGCAGGCGGTAGGGAGGCATCGTCCACGATACAGCATCAAACGCATAAGAATAGATTTTACCCTTTCTGGCAATAAAACAGTTGCGTTAAGATGTTAAAACACCAACCTGAAACCTTATGCAAGGAATCATGTCTGCATTAACCACATATACTTGTGGTGAACATGCAAACAAAACAAACACGCTCTGATAGTATATGATGATGAATTTTCTTTGAAACTGATTGGTCCACACCAGAGGCAGCTTTCTTTTGAGCCTAGTCTCAAGCAGTGCTAGACCAGAGGACACCAATAGGCGAACAGCACAAAGACAATGCCACTATCATCAGGACATTGAGAGCTCGGGGCGAACTGCTACATCATGGGACCTCACTTGCCAGTATCAAGATATATTTTGATAGTGGCAAGGGAGGTCACATGATGTAGCATCAAACGCGTTTGACGATTTCCATTGATCGCCGTCGAGCGTGATCAATCGGCGGCTGGGTCGAGGTCTCCCCACCCGTCGCCACCTCTCAAGGCCACCCGAAGTCAGAGAACGCCCCCCCCCCGTCTAAGCCGACATCTCGCCAGAGATACTCTCGGAGATCCCTTCAAGCGGCCCTGTGCTCCATGCGGGAGGGGACAGCACTTTCCCACCCGCCCTGCCAATGAGAGTGATGTTGTTGACGCATGACAATCCATTCAACGCGTGTTACTCTGAATGCGGAATATCCAGATCAAGCGCAGAACATTGTTCAACGATTGAGGATTGTTTTTACGGCTGTCCTGCACCCCACGACCACCACCCGGCACTGGTCTGGGCGGTGAAGTATGGTCAAAGACACTCACTGCCCGCAAAGCGTGGCAGGGCCTCGTCCAGCAGCGAATTGAAACAAACGCACCGTACAAGTACAGCCAAGGCGTGAGTCGAACCCGTCAACCAGTGGCGTCGCACGAAGCTCACGGAATGGGCAGCACTGACGCGTCATGTACAGCATCTCCAGTCGCCGGCGAAAACACCACAGCACCCGTGCGAGGGTGGGTGAGCGAGGGTGAGTGGGTGGGTGAGCGAGGGTGGGTGGGTGAGCGAGGGTGGGTGGGTGAGCGAGGGTGAGTGGGTGAGCGAGGGTGAGTGGGTGGGTGAGCGAGGGTGAGTGGGTGGGTGAGCGGCTCGCCATCGTCCAGTCCGTTACCTCCCGCGCTCCGCTGCTGGATGGATCTCGCGTACAGCTCGGCGTACTGCTCCAGGCTGCGCACGTGGGCGCCTCGAGACAGCTCGGTGGGGGGGGGCACCACCTCGTCCGGGTTCATGGTCTGCGTGATGGGGGGGGGGCTGGCACCACCACCGAGGAGAGGAGCACGAGGATCACCACGACCACCACGAGACGCGCCGCACCACGCCACGCAGTCGCTAATAACCGGCAGCACCTCCTGGGGTCCCCCTACGAGGGCACAGGGGGTGGGGGGGGTGTGGAGATCTGGCGAGTGGCCACTGGGGTAGCCCCCCCACGGCGTCACGTGGTTGGTATCGCGCGCGTGGCGCCACCAGTCAATGATGAAGCCCCGCACCTCCCCCAGCGTATGCCCCCCCCCAACTCGGTAATCATTAGCGCGCCCTGCCAATAACGAGCAGGGGAGCTCCGATCGGACGAGATGTGCAACCAACCCGCCCACCGCGCCCTGCCCGCAGATTTTCGCACACACACGCACGCACACAGTGTAAATATCGTAGCGCTGGGATCTTTGCAGTGGTTGTGAACTTACTGGTGGAGGGGTGGGGTGCCTCAGAGATCAGAGTGCTGAGCGGGCCCCGCTGAGGTCCTGGCTTCGAATCTGGAGTTCAGCCACTGCCTGCTATCTGTGATGAACCTGGGTTTTCCGCCCGGTCACCAATGACTCAGAGTCACATCGAGCTTCCTAGGCTCTCATACAGTGAGGGAAAAAAATATTTGATCCTTTCCTGATTTTGTACGTTTGCCCACTGACAAAGAAATGATCAGTCTACAATTTTAATGGTAGGTTTATTTGAACAGTGAGAGACAGAATAACAATAACAGAATCCAGAAAAACGCATGTCAAAAATGTTATAAATTGATTTGCATTTTAATGAGGGAAATAAGTATTTGACCCCCTCTCAATCAGAAATATTTCTGTCTCCCAGGTGTCTTTTATACAGGTAACGAGCTGAGATTAGGAGCACACTCTTCAAGGGATTGCTCCTAATCTCAGCTTGTAGACACCTGTCCACAGAAGCAATCAATCAATCAGATTCCAAACTCTCTACCATGGCCAAGACCAAAGAGCTCTCCAAGGATGTCAGGGACAAGATTGTAGACCTACACAAGGCTGGAATGGGCTACAAGACCATTGCCAAGCAGCTTGGTAAGAAGGTGACAACAGTTGGTGCGATTATTCGCAAATGGAAGAAACACAAAAGAACTGTCCATCTCCCTCGGCCTGGGGCTCCATGCAAGATCTCACCTCGTGTAGTTGCAATGATCATGAGAACGGTGAGGAATCAACCCAGAACTACACGGGAGGATCTTGTCAATGATCTCAAGGCAGCTGGGACCATAGTCACCAAGAAAACAATTGGCAACACACTACGCCGTGAAGGACTGAAATCCTGCAGCGCCCGCAAGGTCCTCCTGCTCAAGAAAGCACATATACATGCCCGTCTGAAGTTTGCCAATGAACATTTGAATGATTCAGAGGACAACTGGGTGAAAGTGTTGTGGTCAGATGAGACCAAAATGGAGCTCTTTGGCATCAACTCAACTCGCCGTGTTTGGAGGAGGAGGAATGCTGCCTATGACCCCAAGAACACCATCCCCACCGTCAAAAATGGAAACATTATGCTTTGGGGGTATTTTCTGCCAAGGGGACAGGACAACTTCATCGCATCAAGGGGACGATGGACGGGGCCATGTCCCGTCAAATCTTGGGTGAGAACCTCCTTCCCTCAGCCAGGGCATTGGAAATGGGTCGTGGATGGGTATTCCAGCATGACAATGACCCAAAACACACGGCCAAGGCAACAAAGGAGTGGCTCAAGAAGAAGCACATTAAGGTCCTGGAGTGGCCTAGCTAGTCTCCAGACCTTAATCCCATAGAAAATATGTGGAGGGAGCTGAAGGTTCGAGTTGCCAAACGTCAGCCTCAAAACCTCAATGACTTGGAGAAGATCTGCAAAGAGGAGTGGGACAAAATCCCTTCTGAGATGTGTGCAAACCTGGTGGCCAACTAAAAGAAACGTCTGACCTCTGTGATTACCAACAAGGGTTTTGCCACCACGTACTAAGTCATGTTTTGCAGAAGGGTCAAATACTTATTTCCCTCATTAAAATGCCAATCAATTTATAACATTTTTGACATGCGTTTTTCTGGATTTTGTTGTTATTCTGTCTCTCACTGTTCAAATAAACCTACCATCAAAATTATAGGCTGATCATTTCTTTGTTAGTAGTCAAACGTACAAAATCAGCAGGGGATCAAATACTTTTTTTCCCTCACTGTAGATACCCAGCCTCACATCGAGACCCACTGACCTGGACTGCAACTCTTGCTTAGATTTAGAGACTCATGCCTACCGAAACATAGACATAGACCTGCATAAAAGACAAAGATCCCTCGTATAGCCTTTAACAGACCGGTGGGGCAAGTGCTGTTCGCGAGTGCCGATGAAGGCCGTCATACGACCGAGGGGAACGTGGCTAACACCACATTCGGCTGCCCTTGTCCCGAGTGCTGATGTTAACACGCACCAGGTACTTATTTCAAGCTGAGTCTACCTAGGAAAGTCCCAGGACAGGATCAGATATTCGCCAAAGATATTGGTCGTGAGGGGGAAATCAGACTCGGATCACGAAGCCACCGCTCCCCACTGAGACTTCTACAGGCAACCGGAGACTCAGAGGTGAAGAAGTGATTAACTCGGGTTCAAGGCTTGTGGTGGGTCAACAATGACTGCAAAAAACAAACATCCCATTAAAATGTGTTCTGCACTTAATTCCAGAGGTAAAAGTGTAAGAGATCCGTTTGACCGTTATTCGATGAACTCTCATTGCAGAGCGGGTGGGGAAGTGCTGCACCCTTACCCTGTGGACCAGAGGCCATTTTAAAGGAGTCTCAGAGGTAGATCTATGGTATCCGCTTCTGTGGACCACTCTCCAACACGAGATCCAAATAGAGGAGTCGTTCTTTGACACAACACCGACAGTACACTTGGGAATACACGGATACATTTTTTACAAACATTGAGAAGTATAACAAAAATTAATGTAAGGAATAACGATTTAGCAGTGGTTGAACTGTGAGCTAAATGAGTAAGCAACTATTGTTGTTTGTGCACAAGATGTGGGCCGACATTGAAAGCAGATTTTCAAACAAGGGCACACGTTGCGAAATCACGCGCGGGTCGCTGCGTAACGCGATCTCCGCACGGACACAGCGAATCGCAGCAGCGAGCCGCTCTGCGCGTAGACATTCACACTTGGGCAGAGTCGTCACAACAACGGCTCGTTGTTCCGTCAGCCTGTTGCACACACACGTGCCCAGGCGTCTTCAGCCGTGGCAGGTGGCTCCAGGTTGAGGAGGTTGTAAAGTCTGCCTCGGGGTTTCCACAGCCTCGGGTGTCGCGAGCAGACGAATAAATTCATTGAGAGAATGGAGTGGCACTGGCAATCGGGTTCGTAATCACTCACGAAGAGACCAATAGGACTCGCACCCAGACTCTCACACATGCACCAACACGACTAGACACTCTCGTACAGAGTTCCCCAGACTTGCACAGAGCCCCACTGAGAACGTGGAATGTGGCTTCATCGTGAGAGCTTCCTCCAGGAGACGAGCACACGCAGCTTTCCAGGAGAAACGGTCTGGTGGAGGGCAGCACTGGTACGGAATCATCGCCACCATAACAACGCGGCCCATATTCCTAGACTCATGGTGTGTCTACACCACCACAAGTTACCTTGGTTATAATTAACCATGAGTTCCACCTGCGTGTTACACCCTCCCCGCCCCCGCCGAGACTGGGGACCCCCGAGGTGGAGCTTCACGCTGGAGCGATGGGTTTGGGGCTCGAGTCAGTTTCCACCAAGATGTAGACATGGGTTCGGTGTGGGGCATGGCGCAGACTCCGTTTGGATCCTCGTTGTGCGCGAGGCAGGTCACGCGCTTTGGCCCAGCCCTGGGGAGCCACGGCACAGCGAGCGAGACGTTCCGGAGATGCCCTCCAGACAGCAGCAGCAAGATGTTTCAAAGTGCAGCGATCCACTTTAGACGGGAACACAGCAGCTCCTTATCTTATCGCGATTTATATACAGTAGGCCCGTTACCATCCACCAGTGTAAATACACTGGTGGACGGTAAAGGCGCTCTCCATGTCTTTCACCATACTTCGCTACGCTGGTCAGGTCCGGGTTGAAGGGTTTGGCACCGAAGTTAGACATGACCGGGAGTTGAACTCGGATCACCGTGCACCAACCACTGCGCGCCCTCTCTTCCTCGCAGGATTGAATTCACAAAAACAAACTTTTGGCCCAATTGCACCATCGGTGGGAGCAGAGTACAGTATAAGAATGCGATTTGCTGTACTGTACCGACCTCTGCTGCCCAGCACAGCCCTATCGCGTCAGCATGGTCAGGTGCAGCTGCGCTATGGCTTGCTAATAGCACTGCTGGTGGAAGGGCCGCCACTAGCAGGAGCTCTACAGAGCCGTTGTGGGGGACGCGGGCCCCCGGCTCCCCCTCCGGGGGAGGGCTGTGGGCTCCGGACTCCTCGCTCGTGGGGAGAGGGCTGCCGCTCTCCGGCTCCTCTGCTCGCGGCGCAGCCCCTCGGGTCCGCGGGTCCTGTTTGGGGGGCATAGCTCGGGGGGTTCGGCTCGGATGTGCGGGAAACCGTGGAGAGGCGAGGCTGCATGAAGTTCTCGCTGGGAACGGGGCCTGGCTGCGCTGAGACTCGTCTCAGCGGACGATCCAGTGGCCGGCAAGGTGACTACTCCGATCCCTGACTTGAGAAGAACACGACCATTTTATCCCGACCTTATCTCACCTTTTATTGTTCACTATATCAATGAGAATTCGGCGCCAATCCGCTGGCCTTCCCGGCCAATCAGGTGGCTCGGATTTCCCGTCACTCTCCCCGGACCGGTGCTCTCTCAGAGGTCCGCACTTTACCTTTTACATCAAAAAGGGACGACCGCGGGGCTGCTGCGTTGGTGCACAAGCACATTTGTCCTACCAATCAGAGGGCCGCCCTGTTTTCCTGCCGTTCGTGGCTCCGCCCCCCTACCTGCCTGCTGACCCGTGTGTGTTGTGTGTGTTTTCTACCCGCGGTGGCTGAGCAGCCCCGTCGTGACCATGTAATTACCACCCAAGTCACGGCGCTGCGGTGCGAGTTAGCCTCGGGGGAGATCGCCCAATTCCCTGGTCGCAGGAAAACGTGAAGATTAGTCCCATGAGAGGGCTTCTGGGTGAAAACCTGTCGGCCAGGTGACCTTTAGTCCCATGAGAGGGCTTCTGGGTGAAAACCTGTCGGCCAGGTGACCTCCCTTCGGGGCTCTATGTGGGGGTGTGTGTTCATGTGGGGGGTGGTGAGGGAAGAGCAGCGTCGGCCCCGTCGCTCGGAGGTGGCGGCGTCGCAGCCACGGCGTCGGCAGAACGGCTTCGCGGCTGTGGCATCACACCGTTGTAGGGTGCATCAGGTCTACTTTGTGATGCTGGCCAGACGTCTTGGAAGGAGCTAAGAGTGCCCAAAATCAACCCCACCACACGTGACCCGCTGCGCAGCTGGACGGAGGGTTTAAGAAACCTTCCCCCACCGTTCCGACTGCCGCGACGGGAGATCGACGGGAGCCGACGGCACGCTGGGTCACGTCTCAAGGTTGCTGCGACGCGTGGAGACGCGACCCATCCCAGCAGCAACGCCGACCCCAGTCGATGCATTTTTTTCTGGCAAATATGAAATACAGTACTCATGTTTTGAGTCTTTAGGAGTGGTGTGGGGGGAGGGGGGCGATCACCCGGGGGGGGGGGGGGGTGGTTTGTGTGCAGCACCCACACAGGAAGAGTATGTGAATCACGGTCGTTTCAAATAAGTTTATTTAGGTCCAGTGCACAGTCCCAGCTCTCCGTGTGAAAACGACGATGAAACTGAGAGAATAACGCGAGGAATTTGTCAAAAGATGTACAACTCCAAAGGTGCTTGGAGACGAGAAGTCGCCACAAACAACCCTTGCTCACTAAACCACGCGTGCTCAGAGCTAGAATTCTCCGTGTTTGTTACTAAAAGGCTGAGAATACCCAGTATCGGACAATCGTAACAATTCTGTGAAGATTAAAAACGCAACGGACTCTGCAGCCGAACGCGAGGGTACATTCAGGAATCGTTTGCGGCGATGAGCGGAGAGGGGACGACACCCACAGAGGGAACAACTCACCGTGGTGCTGACCGCACACAAACTCATCACGTGTTACTGTGCAGCAGCATATGCTCTGGTAAGAAAAAATGCAGAGGTCTAAAACATTATTTTTATTTATAAAATTACTCAGAACGGCTACCCAACACCGCCACAGGAGTTTCTATACAACATGGATTTGTCATGAACAGGGATCAACCGTTTAGATAGCGGGCTCTTGCCAATAACTTCTGGCACCCCAGCAGCATTTGTTTGACAAGTGCGGCCTGCTGATGAGACCCAGATGGTCAAACGGTCTGGAGTGTGCGCGACAAAAAAAGTTGCTGCTGGATAATATTGAATTAACATGTCACGGTTTTACGTTAATGGGGAGACAGAACGCAGCGATACAGAAATGCCGTTCCTGCATTTGCATCGCCTGTACGCTAACGTCTGTGGTTACGTCGGCCAAATTATATTACAGACAAAATCGGGCAACACAGCATGCCGACTGGTGGCACGCATCATGAATAAACCACTGGCGAGCCAACGCGGTTGGCCAACACGCACCTTACGGAGACCGTGGCGGCGCTCAGCGGAAGCAAAAGCCAAGCAACGCTTCGGGCCCCCAAGAAGCTCAAGAGCCTTGGAGTAAAGAAAATAGAGATGCACTAAGCTTGAAACATAAAAATGACAACTAAATCACTCATTATCTCGACATTGTATGGAGCTCGGTAATTTCAAAATTTCTGTCTTCTCACTGAATCCGTGTCTTTCGTCACACCAGGAGTGTTTAAGTTGGAAATGGGGGAGGGGTCACCGACTTCCTCCAAAATAATTTCTGCTTAGGGCCCCCCATGGGCCAGTACCTCCACGGACGTGCTGGGGCCAACAGCTCGTCCAGTAAAGCCTGACAGGCAGCGCAAAGACGGCAGCGCTCGTCACAGGACACTCGCCACCGGCATCACGCACAGCAACAAAAAACACAGCGGACATCGTCAACACGCACCCAGTCGCCACGCAGCTGTGGGGGGGGGGGGGGGGGGGGACCGACCGATCGCTTGACAATGTAAAACTTCTGAGAGACAGAAGTTTTACATTGCCCAAGTGCCAAGGACCCCACGCGCAGACCGGCACGGCGAGCACGCGGCAGAGCACAGCAGCGTTCGGCTCCCGACAGACCGAGCGGAGCCTGCCGCGCGGTCCCCCCCCTCCGTCGCCGTCAGCTGGCGGGCAGCGCCAGGGGGAGGGCGCTAGTCCAGGAGGAAGATGGAGAGCAGCACGGCGAGAAGGGAGGCGGCGGAGAGGGCGGCGGTGCGGGCGCCGCCGCCGCCCGCCAGCTTCTCGTTGCAGTCCTTGCAGTTGGCGCCGCACAGCTCGCACACGGAGACGGACGCCAGGTACCCGGAGGAGTAGGAGCGCTCGGTCCTCCGCCCTGCACGGAGCACAGAGACCCCCCGTGTAGGCGGAGGAGGAGGAGGCGCTCCCACCGCAGGGTGGGTGCTGTTCTAGAGAAGGGGCTACGAAGAACGGCACGGCGCACAAGGAGTGGTATGGCCAGCACCACCCCGGCTGGCTTGGTCTGCCCGGTACCAAGGGTCACAACGGTACTCACCAAAGGCCGAGTCAAGCCGGAGGCAGCCCAGGACCAGTTCAGAAAACCACCAGTCGCCACGGCCGGGTTTGTAGGAGAGTACAAAAAGCTGTGCCGCCGAATGCAGCGAGGACACAGCGACCGTGGGTGGCCACGTTCGAGTACACGGAGGAGGAACAGAGGGAGACGATGGGTAAGAGGGACCGATGTCGTTCAGAGTGACGTTGAACAAGCGCGAGTGTCTGAAGCAACAGCTGGGAAAGGAGAGAAAGATGGAGGGACTTGGTGCCGTCGCCGTTCTCTAACTGCTGGGGAGGTTCGTGGGGACCTAGTGGGTGCCGCTGGAATATGTCGATGCGCGAGCTCGATGGAAACTCACTTGGCTCGTAGTAGTCGGTGATGGACACCTGCGCCTCCTGCGCACTGCCGACCGTCTGCACGCGAGTGCTCCGGATGGTGACGCACACGAGCGTCCCGTTCAGCTGCAGTGGGAATGCAAATACAGGAGCATCGTGTCAGACACGCACGGACGCAGAGCAGACAAGCAGCTCAGATAATCACACGCCAGCACAGACGGAGCCGGCCATTGGCACGAGGCGCAGTACACATACGAGAGGACTCATGTCTACAACTGACAGCACAGAGGTGTAGAATGTCACAACACAAAAAAGTTCAGTTCGTGACAAAGATCCCCCATATAGCCTTCACAGACTGCTGGGGCAAGTGCCATCAGCGAGCACCTACGAAGACGGGCACGGTGCCGGAGGGGGTGAGTGGCCAGCACCACGCCCGGCCGCCTTGGACCCCACCCAGTGCCGATGTTCAAACTGCACCAGCTACAGAATTCATATGAAGGCCGAGTTAACCCATGGGAGACCCATGGCCGTTTCGGATATGCATTGCCGATATTAACCGTAAACGGGCATTTAACCGGGGTCCGTAGCAGCGTGCCATGCACACGGCAGCACTGATTTCTTAAACAGCGGTGTACACACTTGCCAGTAACGTGCACCTCTTAAATCCTGACAAATGCCACCAAGTCTCTGGAGACCTGTCCAAGATGAACCTGAACTGGGATATTTTTACAAATTTTTGTCAGATTTAAAAACTCCTCTCGACTCTTATCATTACAACTTTGAAAGAGCCGTTTGTTTGTGGCCACCTCACATTTGGGGGCCTTTGGGATGTGCATAGCAAGGTTTTACACAAAAGCGGTCGGAGTCCCCCTCACCGAGTCCAGGTAGAGGTTCACTTTGCCTCCATCCACCTCCACACGCTTCACCACCTGGGGCTTGGGAAAGTCGGAGTCAGCCACGAACCCGCTCAGCATGTTCACCTGCAGCAGAGCCATGCCACTGCTGCCTGTGCCAGCCCAGCTACGGAGTTGGGGGGGGGGGAGTCACGGCGAGGCGGCTGTCAGGAAGCTGGGGCAGTTTCATGTAGGACGAGGTCGTGGGGTGTTTGGCCTATAACAGTTACAAGTGCATGGGTTTTGTTTTAGCCATGGGAGGAAACCGGAGAGCCTGGTGGAAACTCATGCAGCACAGGGGGAGAACTCCACACAGCAAGGCACCTGAGTTGGGAATCGAACCCGGGCGCTTCTTGCTGCAGAACACAAACATTCCCACTGCGCTGCCACCCTGCTGCTGTCACTCCACAGGCCACCCGGGCACCCCAAGGGGAGAGAGCGGGTCGCTGTTGGGACGGAAGAGCCCGCGTGCGCAGCGACCGCTCTGCATTGTCCATCAGCCCGTGGGTCGGCGCTGCAAGCCAGGCACGCAAACCCCGGCCCAGGGGGGATGCCCCCGCCTTGGCCTAACCGCCAGGCCTTACCGAACACACACGTTAACATCCACGTTGTTCAGGTCCAGGATGTGGGGGTCGATGGTCAGCTCGAAGGCGTCAGTCTGGTCGGCCGAGCGTTTAGCACGACCGCCGGACATCTTGAGATTGTAAAACACGTTCAGCTGCAACACGACAGAGAAACGACGGTCAGAATTTCCCCCGCGCGGGGTTCTCGCGCTCGCGCTGTGCGGCTCTCCACATGCGTCATCCGGTTGTACCGGGTCTGAGGTCTTTTACGCGCCGTGCACGGACCAAATTTTAATTCACTTCGTGAAGAAATTCCCGGCAGGTGGAAAAAAACATCGCGGCAAAAAGGAAAAAAAAACTTGCAAGTATTTTCTGAAAACAGAGGTCAAAAGTATTGCCGTACGCCAAATAGAAAAATAAGTTGTGGAGTGAAGACCAAAGGGTCACAGCCAGAGAAACGTCACGCGTTCACCACCGTACCTGCGCAACAGCAAAGCCGGCGCCCGTTGCAGAAAGGGCTACGTTGATCTCTGGCGAAACCGGGATCTGAAATAAAAAGCAGGATTTTAAAACCAAAGCAACGCGCGGAAAGATTCTGGATCCTGCGACAGTGCACAGAGGTTCGCAGTTCCATACTGGCAGACAGGCCACCCTGGTCACTACTGTGTGTGCATTAACCGTCAAACACACGCTGTGGGATTCCCAGTGAAAGACATCACGGGATGTGAACGTCCAAAGAGTCGGCCATATTGTGCCGTGTCATTGTCCAAATAAAATTAGGCCTCCACGTAAAGTGTGGAAGGCTAGCATGGCAGATTGCTGGTCAGACCCAGGTGCTATGAGTTAATGGAAAAGGGATATCAGATTCACCAGATGGGCTCCTCACTGTGGCACATGTAGCACATGTGTACTGACTGACTCAGCGACACTAAGAGTAGGAGGCGGCACTCTGTTTATTAACGCGGCCTGACAGTTAACACTTAGTAACTAAAGTTCCCAGTCAAGACAGCTGGTAGACTGCCTGACTGGCGACGCTGAGATGGCGAAGACTCCAGCAGCAGCACGACGAGGATCCCGAGGTCTCGTCTACGGGGCCCTCTTATACTGTCAGCGTGGCCTGGCTCCGCCCCCGGCCACGCCCCCTTCTGGAACCTACTAGCGGGTTCTCGATGTGCCCCTTCCGTGACCCTTCCCCTAGATCCCTCTCTGGTCTGTCGTGTGGCCTGCTGTCATTCAGAGCTGCTGTGAGCTGCAGATCCCCTTCCCTGCCAGCAGCCAGCGCTATGCTGCTACGTGACCGATTTTATGTCACTACACATTCAAAGTAAATGACAGAGACCCCCCTATATAGCCTTAACAGACTGTTGGGGCAAGTGCTGTTCACGAGTAGTACCTATGATAGGCCGGCATGAGGGGCTGAGTGGGCCAGCACCACGCCCAGCCACCTTTGTCTCCCTAGGGGCAATGTCTATTAAAATCGCACCAGATACTCATTTGCCTCCGCACGCCTTCACCTCTGCTCTCTGCAGGACCAGGGCGTTGGCCGAGTTGACGGTGAACGACAGCGGCCCTGTGAGCAGTTTGGAGGTGGCCCGGACCTGCAGGTTGGAGCGACTCCCGGTCGTGCGGGCGGCAAACTCGGAGAGGGCTTGCAGGCCTACCACCGTGTCCTGGCGAGAACAGAACCAAAATCCGTGTCAACATTATAAACGTTAAAATGCCATTCGAGAACAGCCCGGCACGCATCCGATATTAAGACGCCCGTGGAAACGCAGCGTAGATGTCACCTAAATGTGTCGCATCATATAGAGGTGTGCCTCTTTATTATCTGTGGGAGGAATGTACAAGTGTCCATTTACTATGTGGAGCACAGTATAGATGTGTGCGTCCCCACCTGAATAGTGGCATATACAGGTGTGCATCTCTTACCTGTGTGGAGGAGTATCCTCCCAGGTGGTTCCGCTGCTGACTCAGCCACTTCATGATGGGAATCCCTTCGGTGACATTGCCCTGGTGCAGGTGAGCGAGCAGCGCGTACGACGTCATCTCGATGTCGGCCGAGCGAGGCTGCCACATCTCCTCGAACTCGCTGGACACGGGGGCCGTCCAGAACTTGACCTCACCTGGGGTCACGCGCGCGGCAAAGAACGGACATTGCCACAAGTCCGCGAGCCACAGTTTCACTCGCGCAAACATAGAAAGCACCCAGCACGTCCTGGCACAATCGCAACTGGAAGTGACCACAACGTACGGGGTGGACGCATCTACGATGCCCCGGTGAATCCCGATGACCCTCCAACTTTCTCCTTAACGGTCGATTGAATGTTGGGTAGCAATGGTTCCGTATCGTGTACAGCAGCGGTGTTCGGATTTAGTGTAGTGTTGAGAATTAGTCAATAACTATTGACAATGTAAGATTTGTAAACCAATCACATTTACTGCATAAATAATGAACGCTCGTCAACCCTATATATGAAAGTCTGAAAAAAGAAATCTGAAATTGGGAATACAAATTTAAAATCTAATGTCCAAAACTCATCCCTATGCATTTACAAGCGTGTTCTCATCTATGGTGGTAAAAGTCACATTCATCAATAACGCTGCCCAAAAACAAAATGTATACAAGAGTGCGTTTATATAAAATGTTTTGGGCAATGGGCTTTCTTCAAAGGACATAGACAGAGAAGTCGCGTTTCAAGTTGACTTGGGGTCCCAGGCTGCCAGTAGGGGGCGATCATTGCAATGTGGGAGTAAATTGACAGGGAAATGCCAGTAACAGTCGGAGACCCACATGGCAGGAGCGACACGGCTACAGTGACAAAACAAATCTGCCCGCTTTGTCAGCGCCGGCTCAAAGCGGTGAGCGCCGTCGCAACTCGTGAAACAACGGTCCCCCGGGGTCACGCAGGTGAGCGGCCGTGCCTGCGGTGGCGGCGCGGCTGTTGAGGGCCTGCAGCGCGGCGGGGGCGGCCGTGCTGTTGGCGAGCGAGAGCGCGTAGGCGGTGAGCGCCAGCGTGTGGTTTGCCGCGATGCCGGCCCTCAGGCTCGTCTCCAGGAAGCGCACGCTGGCCGACACGTCGCTCTGCAGCTGCGAGGCCTGCGCTCGGCGGAAAGGGGACGGGCGACAGGAACGACGGCTTCGTTCTAAAGACGTCGAGACGGAGTACCCCCCCCAAAGGATCGCTCGACGCTCACCACCGCGTGAAGGAGTGCGGGGAGTAATGTTTTTTTTATTAAATCCCATCTCGCACACAATTAGTCGGCCGGCCAGGTTGCGAGTAATGGGGTCAAGTGTGGATACAACACCTTCTAAGAGAGCCGACCAGTGCGCAGGAACCGGTGGCAATGCCCTCTCTAGAGGGGCTCGAGAGCTCCCTCTCGTAGTGGAGGCACTTCTGCCAAAAGTGGTCCAGGAAAGGAATGGCAGAGTTGCATATATTTTGGTTTAACACGAAGGCTTTCGCGACCAATATCATCCATAATACAGGTTTGTTGGATTAGACCACATAAACAGCACGAAACAGGAGGATTTCTCCACAAACCTGGCTGTCGCCTGATGAAGCTAGTTGTAATTACTGGCGAAACGTCATACTCATATTGTAAATGTTGTGGCTTTGCGGTACTAGTAACGAATTGGCACGTACTGTTTATAAAGTATTAAAGCTTTCGTGACTGCCTAAAATTACTCATTGTTTTTTTCGGTAAAGTCACGTATGTAGAAATACAATAAAATTATATTAAAACAAAAAACAATCACGACGTTTCGATCACAACGCAAGCGATCTTCATCAGGTGTCAAGAACAAATCACGGAGGTAAATACAACAAAAATATGAGAGATGAGAATTCAACAAACCTGAAAAAACATTATGTGAAGCACATCCAGTCAGGCCAACAACACAGACACTTCCTGGCGGACCACGAATTTCAGAAGAGTGTTAAATTTAACACTCTTCTGAAGTGTCTAACTGTGTTGTTGGCCTGACTGGATGTGCTTCACGTAATGTTTTTTCAGGTTTGTTGAATTCTCGTCTCTCATCTTTTTGTTGTATTTACCTCTGTGATTTGTTCTTGACACCTGATGAAGATCGCTTGCGTTGTGATCGAAACGTCGTGATTGTTTTTTGTTTTAATATAATTTTATTGTATTTCTACATACGTGACTTTACCGAAAAAACCAATGAGTACGTACTGTTTATTTTTAAAAACTCGCCACTCTGCGCCGACTACAAGCGGCAACAACAACAACTCGGAGACACGGCGGCGCACAAAGCGGGGGACGCTGCGCTCTCGCGGCGCGCGTACCATGTGGGAGGGCTGCTCCAGCAGGGCCACGAGCGCGTAGGCCGTGAGGCTGAGCGGGCCCGACGAGCCGCCCTGCATATCGGCGTGGATGACGCGGCCCGGCTCGGCAAACACCCCCGTGCTGCCGTTGAGCTGGGACATCAGCCAGACGTGGGTCTCGGCAACCACAACAGGGTCGATGAAGACGTACGGCAGCGCCTGCAGGAAGCAGCGCAGCACGAACGCGGACAGCCTGCGCGCACCACACCGCACGCCGCCCAAACGTCAACATGACCGACGTGGCAGCCCGGCGAGAAAGATGACGACGACGTGCGGGTAAAGTCCTTGAACCGGAGCATGGAGTGGTGCCGGTGGGTCAATGCAAAGCAAGCCAAAGCGATGGGCCCAAGGCAGCCCAAGGGGCCCCGAATTCATAAACAAACAAACAAAAAAGAGCACGAAACAAAAATCCGCTTAATTCAATTCCTCATAAACCTAAAATGCAAGTTAACAAAAAGGCAATTGACATCTTTAATGTTCATTCTTATATCTAGCTTTAATCTCACATCTCTATTTTGTGGACATCTCACTAGGACTTTAGAAATACAAAAACAAGTTTTGCTGAAGTGCCACGGTTTTAAACGAGGGGGAAAAAAAATCAAATTTTTTTCCCCAATTCTTCCGGACCCTGGGTCCACAGTCTGAAAGCAGCGGCGGGAGCGGCCAAGTCAAACCGGGACGATTGGTAGCCTCCTCACCGAGGGTCGGGGACAAGGTCCGCCCGGAGGAACTCACCACGTGCTGCCGGAGGCGTCTTCGTTCCCAAAGGCGCTGAAGGAGCCGTCCTGCCTCTGGTAGGTCAGCTCCCGCTGGTAGCCTGCAGGGAGAGAAGCTCGTGTCACGCGGGCCGAGGTGGCGTGTCGAACGCCGCGCACGGCAGACGCGGCCGTCTCCTTCGCCGCCGACGGGAACATAAAGAAGAGCGGAGCCCAACGTCGCGACCGTGGTCACCGATCTCAAACCGCGGACACCGTGGCAACAACGCCGCCGCCCGCTTCGATCATTCGCCACCGGCGTTTCAGACGTTCTCGCACGAGGCCACTCCTGAAGCCGTCCGCCGGCTCAAACGTGAACGGACAAACGTCGCCGATCGACTCCCCCGCCGCAAAGGGGTCGAGGACGTAGGCCCACAACCACTCACGCAAGGCCCGTCACGGCTCTATTCGACGATGGAATGTCCGCACGCGCAGCGAGCGCGCACCGGTGTTCATGAAGGAGAGCGCCCTCTGCCTGATCTCCCCTCCGCCCTGGCCCGTGGCCGTCAGGTACTTGATGACGTAGATGTTGGGAGCGAAGTTGATCATGTTCTGTTCTCCGCAGCCATACGGCATCTGCACCAGGCGCTCCAGCCCCGAGATGGACGGACCCATGATGTCGCCTGCACGCGTGCGGCAACAAGAACGGTCACGGCCCGGTCGCGGCGTCTCTGGAGCGCTTAACAAGCGAAAAGCCACTTGCGTCTCATCAAGCATTTAAAAAGGGCACCCCCAGGGGCAGCTGTCCTTGTGGGCACAATGCGAGTGGCCTGCAAACGGTAATAGTGTGCCAGCAGGGAGCAATATTTACCCCGTGTAATCCCAATTTGAACAATTTATCTTAATGCTGCGATAGCATTGGCCACGATCTCTTTACTGGTGGATAAGAAGGCCTCCCACAAGGCAAGTCGTCGCCATCCCACGATCTGAGATGGACCTGGATTAGGCAAATCACGGCAGAAATTAATGCTGCCAACACAAATGAGAGCCACATTAGTTTACAGTTTAAAAATAAAAAATCACACGTGATTATTGATCAGCGCGTATTTGGGTGGCATCAACGGTGAAGGCAGGGACGGTGTGCAGTGGCGGAGGCAGGGGCGGTGGATGCAGGGGCGGTGAGCGTGGCGCACCGATGATGGTGAGCGTAGCCCTCTGGCTGCCCTCGACCACGCCGCTCGGGAAAGGGAACACCAGCGATCCCTGGGTGACGGCGTCGCCGCCCGAGCGCTGCAGCAGCAGCGTCTTCGAGAACGAGCGCTCCACCCCTTCCGCCTGTGGTGCAGACGCACAAAGACAAAGATCCCCCCCACCCCGTACAGCCTTAACAGACGTTTGGGGCAAGTGATGTTAAGCGAGCACATTTTTAAGTCCGGTACGGCACATGGGGACGTGGGTAACCGGCACCAAACCAGGACACCTTTGTCTCCCAGCATCGATACAGATAAAGCGACACTTTTGTTGGCGATGAGCAGGAATCAAACTCGGGTCGCCAGGTTCGAAGCACAATGCGCTAACTGCTGTGCCACGGCTCCCTGCCCACAAAGACAAAGACCCCCCCGTGTAGCTTAAACAGACTGTTGGGGCAAGTGCTGTTAGCGAGCAACTATGAAGGCCGGAACAGCACACGAGGGGGTGAGTGGCCAGTACCACGTCCGGCCGCTTTTGTCTCCCTGGTGGCGATGTTTACACACCGCACCAGGTACTCATGAGGCCGAGTCGACCTAGGGGAGGGCCCAGGACGAGTTCAGATATTCGTCACTGGTGTTGGCCGTGAGCGGGAATCGAACCCGGGTTCGTAGCGCGGCGCGCAAACCGCTGCACCGCTCCCTGCCCACACACGTGGACACACACAGACTGAACACCCCTCCCCCGCGCACCTTGACGAGGAGCTGCTGCGTCATGGCATCGGCGGCGGTGGCGGCGCGAGCGCGCACGGTGATGGGCACGAGGCCGAGCAGCGCCGGCGACACGGGGAAGGAGACCGTGGCGGCGTCCTGGCTGCGCACGGTCACCAGCTGCTCGTTGGGGATGGCGCCCACCTCGTTGGTGTCCACGAGGACCACGTACGCGTCGCTCGGGTCAAGCGTCACGCGCACCTGGGGTCGGCGTGACACGCATTGTAAAAGTCAAAGTTAAAACGAACAAAAATTATTTTATTTTAGCCCATTGCGGATGATACAAGTAGCGACGTCATGGTTTCTGTCTTCCAGATTACCCACAGGATTCATTACAGTGCCACATTTAAACCATAATTATCAATAAGGATTATTATATAATTGTTATGAAGCAGCATCTTAGTGGAATGGGAGTGAGCACAACTGGGAGGAGGAGGAGTCCTTTTTCTTTTGTTTCTGAACGTAGCCGGAGGGGGAGGGGCAAGGTTGGGGGACGGCACCTGCAGGTCCGTGTCCAGGTAGTTGAACACCAGGGCCTGCACGACAAATTGCTCCCCACGCACCACCGAGTACGGCAGGTTCAGCGACACGAAGAACGGCTGGAACGCGAGCAGCTGCAACGGGAACGCGCGCAGGGAATCACGCGCGGCGCCAACGGCACCGCGGTCGCACCCCCCGAACGACTCGGGAGCGCGCGGGGACGCGCGCCAGGGCGGCGGGACGCACGAGCTCGCCGGAAACACGACTCGCGCGAGACGCACGCCTCACCTGTGCAGTGTCGGCCACACCGAGCCCCAAGCTGCTTGAGACCGAGAAGGCCGACGCGACCCAAGAGGTGATGGAGTCGGGCACCGTGGCTGTGAACGTCTTTGACCGATTTTTGCTGTCAAAAGAGAGCGAGAGTCACACACGTTGCACACGCGTTGCACACGCGTTGCACACGCACGTCGCATGTAAAACACAGCCTGGATTGGAGGTCAGAGTGTCGAGCTGGCACCGATGAGATCCTCCGTTCAATCCCAGGCCTCAAGTCGCCAGTGATTAAATAAAAGTTTTCCAAATTCAGGTCGGTTTTTGGTCTCAGCCCGATCTCAAAATTACAAAACAAAAACCCATCTATTGAATTTCATTCTGCGCTCAATCCCATCTCTGAAAATTCAAGAGCGGTTTGATTGTGGCGTGACGAATCTCACACTCGTAACCGAAGCACTTTCCCACCCGCCCTGCATATGGGGACCAGAGGTCACTAAAATGGAATCTGGGGTTGCTCGGTGATATCCACTTCCACGGGCTGTTCTAACACGAAGGGGGTTTCACTGCCGAGGAGAAATCCAGGGCTGGGCTCACCCCGTCTCGCCGTCGGCCCAGATCCACGTCTCAGGGAAGAGCGTGCGGACTCTCTCCGCTGGGGCGGCACCAGCGCCCGTGGCGACAGGCATCATGTTCATCGCGCCACCCAGTGGGCGGAAATCTGTGAGGAGGGATTAGCAGAGGCAGCAGGAAGAGGCGCGGCGCTCGCGACAAAACACGCTGTGGGCACCGCCGGTCGAGTCAGACTGAGCAGAAGCGTAGTCACCGTGGAGGTCTGCACATCCCCGGATGAAGAGTACCCACTCCGCTTCGCAACGCCGGTCAGCAGGCACACACGCTCAATGTACACATACGCACCACGCACACCACACCCAGTGGGCACACAAAAGCACGGTCAACACCACCGGTGCATACATATACGTTAACAGTCGGCAACCGCTTTGCACAAACTCGTATGCGACGCATGCCGCATGCTAACCCGGCCACGAGGCTTGCATTTTTTGCCCAGGGATGTCAGAGTGGAACGATCGGCAGCCTGTCGCCTGCGTCGGGCACGGCGGTAAGCGCGACGCCGTGGGGACGGCCGCGCAGCGTCAATCCGCCGAGGTTCATGAGGCCCCAGCGCCACTCTCACCTTCTTTGTAAACGAGGAAGAATTCGGGGTGGTGCACGTAGGCATCGGTCAGAAGCACGAGGCCGGCTTCCTGTAAACAACGAACACGCGGTCAGGGCCCACGCACGTCGGGTCGTGCAGCTTCAAACAGCCGGGAGGCCCAGCGGCAGAGCGAGCGGCTCGCAATCGCAACGTTGCCAGTAGAGAAGGCAACAGTCTTACAGATACCACTCTCCCCTGCCATTGCAACGTTGAATTTCTACCACTGGCTCAAGGCTGTAAAATGGGAGATCACAACCAATTACAGGCAGTCCCCGAATTAACGATGGAGATGCGTTACGACGACCCCATCGTAAGTCAAAAATATCGTAAGTCGAAGATGGCCTAGCCTACCCAGGAGTGTTAAAGAATGGTGATAATTTAGCAAAACAGAGCAATTTACAGTACCGTACTGTATAAACTATATACTGTATGTATTTATTAATTACAATACTGGATTGCACAGTAAAATGTAAAGTAAAAAACAAGGGAAATTCTTAGCCTACCTAAATGAACTGCAATTTCATAGAAAGTTTTTTCAGGAAACAATCCTATCTCCTATAAAAAAACTTTTAACATGCATTGAACGTATGTATCGTATCGTGGTAACCCTAAAATTAAATCGATAAAGCTACGTATCATACATGCATTGAATGTATCGTAACGTATCATATTGTACTGTACTCACCAAGATTCTGTCCGCCATCTGCATACTTGAGCGATGTTATGTTGTTGATGGCAATTTTGTCGTATTGCCATCGTAAGATCGAAATATCGCAAGTCGGACCATCGTAACTCGGGGACTACCTGTAGTCAATTCTCATTTGACCAAGAATCCACCTTGACTTGCTCCACAGGAGAGTACAATCTACCAGTAGGGGGCAATATTGCCGCACTGTTTACCCAAGCAATTAATTTGCGAATCATTTAACATATTTGGCACATTGGACTGTGGCGCTGGCAGACAATGGCCAACTCTTTTGCATCATCTCCCCCAGCGCGTAATTCGTGGCTACCATCCCAGCAGTCTAAACTAGGGTGGCCACCGGTAGCCCAACGTCAAGCCACCCTGAACGAGCACCACCGCCCGGCCGCACCGTGCCCGTGTTGGCGCGGGATCCACGACGGAGGGATTCACTGCAGAGGGCGGGAGGAGAAAGACGAGCCGTGGGCGGGCGCTGGGCTTACGGTGAATGTGGACAGCGAGTCGGAGGGGTTGGGCAGCCAGAAGAGCGGCATGAAGCGCCCCCAGGGGACAGCATCGAACGGCCCCCCACGGCTGGTGCTTGCCATGGCCGACACGGCAGATGTCACCTGCACAGCGCCGAGAGATCAGACAGGCCGTGACGGCAGCAGCATTGCCAAGTCAGACCCTTGAGTTACTTGTTGGGGATGTTTGGTCAACTCCTATTGTCCGGGGTAAAATGGGGTTGGGGGTGTGGCTCGGATAAAAAAAACACGAATAATCCAAGAGTACCGCAAGATGAGGATGTAGTGATATTTACAGCTTGCCAAGTTATAGAATTTGGAAGATATAGAACGCGTTGTTATCTGGTTTTATTGCTTCTTAAAGGAAACAGATTACTTGTCGACGCGTGTGTGGTCACATGGGAGCCCTACGCCAAGAGTGTATTTATTTATCATCACAAACGCAGTTAACGCGCAGTAGCATCAACCGGGAGAACCAAAAAACCGCAACTCATTCACGGGAAAACACACCGCAGCCAAATGCGTTCACAACCAGCTTTACCAGTGAATGATTTATGCATCAGTCCCCAGGCGAGTTAGCGTCCTGCCGCAATAGGGGCCGACTGAGATGGCGCACAGACAGAGCCACCGACAAAGCGACCGACGGAGCGCGCAGCGGCTCACCGAGTCAGCCGTGATGTCGTTCCCGGTCTTGAGAAGCAGAACGCTCTTGTCCACCACCAACACGCCAACGAAGGCCTCGGCATCGGATGCAGACACCTTCAGAGACACTGAGCTGGCCGGCGTCGCCATCTCCGCGGTCCAGTTGAGCACCACCTGACAGAAACGACGATCATCGTCATCGCTCAAAGTCACGATAATTGTTTTTGTTTTGGGTTAGCCCGCACGTAGCAATCTGGCCAAATCGGTGCAGACCGGAGGTTCTCTGCCCCTATTGACGAGCGATTCTTGGGCTGCACTGCAGGGCCACACAAATCCACACCCCACACTCCACCCTCCCCCCGCCCTCATCACCTTGTTCTCAAAAATCCCGGCGACGTCGAACGTGACGGAGGCGGGCACGACCTCGCCGTCGTCGCGCACGTAGTGCACCACCACGTGCGCGCTGGGCGCCCACGCGCTCGTCGGCAATAGCTGGAAGGTGTTGGAGTTCACCTTGCCCGTCGCCACTATGTTCCCGCGAGAAACCACCTGGCGATAAAAAAAAACACAACAACCACACCGACCGAACATCAAACTCTCCGAGGAATTTCCGGGGCCGTGCCACGTGGCGTCGTTCGGCACGACGTCTGACGTTTCGCTCAATATGCCGGGAGCTTCTTTAGAAACCGAATCTCAATTCTTGAACATTATTCAGACTCCCAACAACACAGAGACACACCAGTAGAAATATGGCCGTATATTTAAGTCTGAAATTGTGGTCTCAATCATGGCTGCGTACTTGGAGGGATTAATGATTACCCAAACTCACCTCTGACCCCTGTTCAACTGGAAAACAAAAGCATCAAACGTTAAGATTGACTTTTGGCCCCTTTAGAGGCACCGGTAAATAAACCTCAATGTCCTCGAAATTTCTAAGGTGCTGTTTTCTCGTGACATGTGATCCATTGGGGGCGGGCATGAGATGCAATTTTCAAAAGGGCCGCCCTCCCAACTGTGTGCACGATATTACATGGAAGAGGTGCAGTTTCAGTGCCATGCTCCACGCCACCAAGACACTTGCGGGTTACAGAACCCACGCCCGCGAGCACTCACAATATGCAGCAGGAGCCTGAATCACAGAGCCGTAATATAGTTCTGCGCCCGGCACAACCAAACCCAGAATAACTCTCGCAATGGCCGCTACGTGCCACCCACGAGCCGGACAACATTCCAGTTGAGTGAAGAAAGAGAATAAAATATTTGGACAAATGCATGACACATCGCTGAAAGCGACGTCGGGGCTCCGTACCTGGTAAAAAAACTCCTCCACGTGCTCTGTGCTGGTCACAGAAAACTGCAGGGGCTCTCCAGCCTGGAACGAGATGCGCACACACGCCCGCGTTTACACCACATGCGACCCCACGCATTCGGCAAGTTAGGAGAACACTTGCGCACATGCGCGGATCGCGCAACGCTCCGAGTAAGTATTTCAGCGGCAGTATGGAGGCCGGCAGGGTAGCCGTTAGAGCAACACGCGTTTGTTCCAGGCGGTCCCCGCTTTTACCACAAAGCACATTCCTGTAAACCCCGTCATAAAATCAGACCCCATTTTCACATAGACTGTAGAAACGGCGTAAACACTTGCCAATGTGTTTCTCCTTTTATCAGCCACATTGAGCGGGGCTTAATAGGTGAAAAGCCACAAAAACACTGACCGACTCTGTTCAAATGGGTTCGGAGTCGTGTCAGAAGATGCGTCGTAAATTGATCCACGGTGGCATTATATAAACATCCGTAAAATTGCACCGTCGTAAACCAGAGACCCGGTATATTTGCAGAGTCTACTTTGGGGTTGTCGTCCCAAGTCTGGGCAAGGCTTTGGTCAACGTGGCTGACATTCAACAAGACAACTCCCTCATAGCAGCACAACCTCACACCGAACCTTTGTCCGTCTTGGACCATCGTTACGAGTGGCTGTTATGGACCGATAAACAGACAGACAGCACAATGCATTCAACGTTTGCTTGTAAAGCATTAAAAGCACAACCTGCCATTGGTCGACCGATGCTTCTGGGTAGAGCAGCGGTCAGCAGGTTGCGATCCCAGCAACCCAATTCCTCGCCACGGCTAACATCAGTAGCGAACAATATCCAAACCATTCCGAGCCTCCACTTGACCAGCATGGTCAAACATGATCGAACCACCCCCATGAACAAGTGTTGAGAGGCCTAAATGCTGCAGTGGATTTAACTTCATTCATATTATTTCACTTGTTTAGCCATGCAAGCTTTATAGAGCCTCATGACTGTTTCAAGAGGGCCCTGCCAAGTTTTTGCAGGAGTGTGCAATGATTGCTATCCGTCTATAGTGGCGTGCATACGGGGACATCAACCTCCGTCCGGACTGGAAAACACAAAAACGTGGCCCGGATGGATGAGAACGAGCACCCGGATTTGCACCTGTGCTTTGGAGTTTGCCGACGAGAGCTGAATGGACTCCCCCGACCTGGTGCTGCTCTCCTTGTTCAGCTGCAGATTGTTTTTCTGCTGCTTGTAGACGACCTGGCGAGAGAAGCCGTCGTGAGCGCGAGCACCGGCAGCTGCGTCGCACCAGAGGGGGCGCGCGTTGCCCACACGGCGCCGAGCGGAACCGACGCGTTCACAAACGCGCCGGGGGCTACGACGGTTGGAAATCCTGCAGCAGTTTAGCAGCTCCAGTTCTTCTGATGAGACCGCAAAGACTGAAACTGGCCTCAAGTTTTGAAGGTTGTAAAAAAACCAGATGCAATTTTCTTGTTCTACGCCACTGCTGGTGGAAGGGCCTCCACTCGAGGGAGCGCTGGGCATAGGCGGCAAAGCCAGATCTATAGACGACAGTTGGAGGGTGCACAAGAAGGTTGCTATTCAAGTCGCCCGGTTGGTCGAGTTATCCAATGAGCATTCCATTAACTTAACACTTTTAAGGAGCAAAAGTCATTCCCAGAAGGTCATGCCACTAATGGGTTTGTAAAAAACAAATGCACGTGTTCATGTGGGGGGACAGATACGTGCCAAATGAGAAGGATCTGCTTATTTACTTTGTTACCTGCATTCCCATACCGACGCTTACATTTATTTGTGTTACTTAAAATCAGATGGCGCAGCTTTAGATGCCACCAAGCTGCTCAAGCCACAAGCCGAAGGATCCACACGAACTCCAGGGGTTGGCAAAACATCCCAATTATATAACCGCAGAGCGTAGTCAATTGGTAGGCATCAGCTCCGGCTGCCTTCCCGACTCTGTGGTTTCCCACGCCTCGGAATAATTCTAGAGGAACTGAGAAGCTCGGGGAGCTCAGACCTCAACCAAGGGTCACGCCCGCCGGCCCATCTCCCATGCCGGGGAACCCGGCTGCTAGCTAGCGGGCCGCGCTCACGTTCACGTAGACGGAATCGGCGTCGGGCAACACTGAGAAGTGCACGGCCACGACGCCACTGGCGGGGACGGTGTAGTTCTGCTCCCAGCTCGACAGCAGCGCCGACGACAGGTTGCTTTGCGACACCTGCACCAGCAGCGGCGACTCCAGGTCCCTGGGCAGCAGCGGAGAGTCGTCTGGCAGGGACAGGTGAACCTGGATCCAAGCGCAGGCGCACGCAGACGACAATCTCCCATGCCGGTCGAACGATGGTCCAGCACCGAATTATTCAGTCCGCTCATCGTCGCCACTTAATATTTACACCACGCCTCCCATGCCGTTCAGAGGTGCCCTGCGGTAGGGGGGACCCCCAGTGGCAGCTGTCCGTATGAGGCACAATGGAAACATGAAAGAATGGCCCAGCAGGTTGACATTAGGGCTGCCCATAGGGGGTGATTTTGCTTTGTGGTTTTACCATTAACATAACTTACAAGTAAAATTAATCAAATTGGCCTAAGCTTTTTCAAACAATGTCATAGGATCATCAACGTTCACTCGAGGATATGGCGTGGCAGTCACCTCTAAAAAAAAAAAAATTTAATCGCTCATTAATTGTCTGAAATCTTAATAAAATAAAAACCCAATGAATGTAGGACCTTCCTGAAAAAAAGAATCCTCCAACTCATTGTGGCTCTGCTAGATGAAGAAGTAAATTCATATTCTTTGGGTCTTTCGGTAAAGTCACGTAGATAGGTTCAAATTAATAAAAAATAAAATAAAATAAATCAAGACGTTTCGATCACAACACAAGCAATCGTAATCAGGAGGATGATCACTTGTGTTGTGATCGAAACGTTGTAGTTTTTTTGTTTATTTTCTTTTTATAAATTTTAACCTATCTACGTGACTTTACCGAAAGACCCAAAGAATATGAATTCACGAAAGCTTTAAGTCAAGATTGAAGTGAATTATTATTAAATTCCTATTCGTATTATTACTACAGGAATCAAACTCCTCTCGCTGGGTTCGTTGCACAGTTTGCCAACGCGCTAACCACTGTGCCACTACGCCCCACACATGCGCACGTGAATGCAGGTTCACCACCAGGTACACCGGACCCAGAGGGTGCCGAGCGCGGTTCAGGGAGAGCCGCGCGCGACCGGGGGGCGGGCGGGCGGAGCTGCGCTCCTTACGTAGGCCGTGTAGTTGAGGCCGGCCTTGAAGGAGAGCGGCGAGTTGACGAACTGCACGTCGACGCGGTACTCTGGCGTTTTCACCGAGCCCCCTCCGCTCTGCGTGATGCCTGCACACCCAGGGTGGCCGGGGGGGGAAGCATTGAAGGGCATCACGGTCCCGGCGATGCCACGGCACAAGGTGCACAGTGAACCGTTTCGTTCATTTTTGCAAAAAGCAGCGATTACTAGCAGGTAGGTATCAGCGGGCCTGATGGTGATTCCAAAGTCAAATATTACTCTACTTCCGAGTTCCCTGTCACCGTTTTCTCGTTTCCCATGATCAATTACAATACCTTTAACAGTGCCGTTTACTGCTGGCCATTTGCCATGTTTGGCCTTGTGGTCAGAAAAAGAAAAAAGTAAAAGTGCTCTCAAATTCACGGTCGGTAACGACCGCGCCAGCGAGTCCGTCCGACAGCAACATGCGGCGCAGCCTGGCATCATAATTACCATCAGTGATCGACCCACGGTGGGATCAAAGCCTCCCAAAAATGGAAACGGGGAAGAAGAGGAGGAGGAGGAGACACCCACCAGTCAGCAGCTCCGTGACATGGGCCTCGATGGTGTAGGTGTCGGGCACAAAGCTGTCGGCGACGAGTGCCTTCACCTCGTCCGAGGAGAACGCGAAGCCGGCGTTCCCATCCAGCTGGGATCAAAACAAAAAGGAAGAAAAACCACACACGTGCGCGGAATCCGTGAGCAAACATCCCAACGTGCTCGAGTGTTAAACCGATAACGCGAGGAGCGGCCGCGATTGGACAGCGCCTCTGCCGGGGAGGGAGCGGGTTGGGGGGCGGCAGTGCTTTGATAAACATGGCCAGTGCTCGAGGCCAAGTCCATGAGAGCAACGCAACTTCATCCTAAATTTTCAGTCCTCTCGGTTCATCTTTGCGAGAAACGTGGCGACCCCCATTTACAGACAGACACCGCTAATGCATAAACGCTTTGAACCTTCATTGGAACGCATAAAAAAAACTGACACCTTTGCGGTTGCATCGTTAATATGCAGACAAAATGGAAAAACCTCCATGAAGCCTTACAGTCCATACAGGCAAGGTGCTGTTAGCGAGCACTTATCAAGGCCAGGATCACACACGAGAGGGTGGTGTGCCCGGAACCACAGTCGGCTGCCCTGGTCTTCCCAGTGCTGATGTTTACACTGCACCTGGTGCTCATTCAAGGCCGAGTCAACCTAGGGGGTGGGTACCCAGAACCGACTCCGATATTGCTCGCCATTGTTATCCATCCGTGGCCAGAAATCAAACTCTCGTCGCCAGGGCCGTGGCACGGTGCGGTGACTGCACCACAGACAGGGGCAGAAGCACCACACCAGCCGCCATTTGCCACTAAGTGGCGGCTACGCCAACGCTGCTACCAGGCTAGAGGGCCGCTTGGGAGGCAACGTAAAGTGCCAAGAGGCTCGCACTGGCTGGAGACGACGAGACACACCCAGGTGTTAAAGGTTGACTGGGTGAGTTGACCGGTAGATGCACCCCTTGTGCACACATTACGTTCATGTTTTGTCACCTTCAAGTTCCTAATGGTGAGGTTCAAGCTCGGCTGCCACTCCCAGGGCCTCGGATTCCCAATGATGAGGGTGACGGTTGCATTCCCTCGCACCAGCTTGCCGTACGTGTACCTTCGGGGAACATGAACGCACGCAAACACACACACACGTGTCCGCATGTGCCCTGCACACCAGCTTAACTCTCTGCGTGATTGCAGAGGAAGGACCGGGTGCGTGCGTGCCCTCTCACTTGGCCTCGATAGTCCCAGAAACCCCTTGGCCATCCTCCCTGGCCACGAACGACGGCAGCTTGAGAAGCACCTCGAACTTAGGCAGCACTGCGGCGGCACCCAGACGGGACGAGGTGGAGAATATGGGGCAAGGTGGGGTTGGGGAGGGGTGGTGGAGAGGATCAAATCAGAAAAATCGCTCCTTTGCTGCTCCATGCGCTCTCCGCACCGTCTGCAACAACGCCCCCTCCCAACGCTCCCCACCACCTCGCTCTCAGGCTCACAGCACTGGGGAAGCCATCCCGAACACCGGCTCTCCGGGCACAGCACGCACCGTCACGCCAACGCACGCGACTGGCAGTTACCGCGACGAAGCCAGAGCCCCACCACAGCAGCACACCATCACCACCACCACTACCGCAGCAGTGCCACACCACCACCACCACCAACTCCCAGCACCACCACCATGTCCCTCACTCACCATACTCCGCCACGGTGAAGGGCTGCTCTTTGTCCACCCCCTGCAGCAGAAGAGACACCGTCACTACCGCGCAGCACTTGGCAATGTAAAGGTTTGGTATCAGCTCCAGCCACAGTGATCTCATTAGCATAGTGCTATAAACTTAATACAGACACACGCCAAGCAAACACACAACCCAATTCACTTCAGGTCACACGCTCACTGGCGGTCAGTCACCTCCTCGTTGCTACTGGCATGGTTACTGTTCAACCACCACACTGCAGGTCACAACAACACATCCCACCCGCTGCACTTCTCTCTCTGCATCTTACTTGCCACTGCTTCACTTTGGAATTGCCTCCCATCACCTCTTTTCCCAAAGCACTTCAAGCTTGCGCAATTTCAACTTAAAAGTTAACGCTCATCTATTACAACTTTGGAAGTGCTGCTTGTTGCTGGCTGTTTTAAGATTCAGGTCTGTGCTCAGCAACTAATGTATTTAATTTTAGGCAAGAAATCTATTTTGTTTGTATAATTTCCCATCATTCACCCTGAGGTGCCGACCTACGGCCTCCACGAATTCATTTCACGGGACCCGCAGGCGCACGAGGCCTACCACTTTCAAATCTTCCACAAACAAGAATGAACCGTCACTGCGAGCATCTCAGCTGCACTGACCACGTACCAGGGAGGGAATGTGTGCCACCTGGAGACAGCACCGATCTAACCAGGTGGCTCAGCAGTACAGAGAGCAGCTCGCGAATCAGAAAGATGAGATTTCAAATTCTGGTTGGGGGACGACTCAGCCCATCATCCCTCCAGAGTCGATAAGACAAATACCACTGTAGGGAAGTCAACAGTGGTTGTCCTATGGATACTCGCCCTTACCATATGAATCTGGAGTTGATCACTGGCTCATGGCTGCAAATAGGAGATGGGCATCAATGCCTCAATGATCATTCAAACCGAAAATCACTGATTTTAACAATAACACCATTTAGAACTTGCATTGACTTGTATTGACAGTCACCTCTGTCAATACAAGAGGCCCTTGCAGTGACAGTGTGGGCCTTGCAAAAGAGTGGTTGAAGTCCCACTGCCCCCCCTTCCTCCCACATGGACTAGTCCAGATCCCTCGCATCGGCACGTGAATCACGGCCGTCCCACCGCCAAGCGGGGGTGGGCAAGGGCACGGTGCTTGTCCCTCACCTCGCCGTGCACAATGATCTGCCACTGCCCCAGCAGGGGCTGGTCGGACACCGGGAAGTCCGCGCTCACCACACCGCTGGCAGAGGTCAGGCCACGCCACTGCTGCACCCGGTTGCCCACTGGGTCCTGCATGGGAGGCGGGCACAGGAGCGGCACAGGCAGGGTGGCGGCGCTCAGAGAACGGCACGGCAGAGGGACGCCCGAGAGAAGTAGAGCGCCACACAGATGGTGGCACCGGGCACTCCCCATCAGGTTCAGGACCGGAGTGATATACCCTCCAAATGTTGACACCGTGAGAGCGAAGCGGTTTTCCAGCAGATAAAAAAGCACCGCAGTAATTTTAGAAACACCGCACAATCTTTAATGCTGACTCATAGGGCGTGCACGATTTACTGTTTTCGCCTGTTTTTTCCTTAGTTTGACCGGGGCAGGGGCTTGGCAAGGCAAACAGTCAAGCAGGGGCGATGATTGCTGCGTTTCTCAAACAGAGCCGTTCTCAACGAGGCCGACACATTGGCCTACTCTTCTTCTGCGAATGGCATCACAGACCTTGAACGTCCACCGCGAGGCCTACTGCGCGGAGTATTTTTTAGGGGCAATACACCGCGTTGCGGCGTTAACCAGGAGGGTCCGCCAAGATTCGAACTGCGAACCCCTGCAATAAGCTCCCATCGTGCGGCAGGTCTACGTGGCGAGCGAGCGAGCAGTAGCAGGGTTGCACCTTCACCTCCCCCGGTCCCCACCACACCTGAATCTCGATGTCGTAGGCGCCACCGAGGTGAGGCCGCAGACTAGAGTCCACGGAGAACGCGCGGAAGTGCACCGTCTGCCCCGGCTTGTAGACGGCCTTGTCCGTCTGCACGAAGAGCAGCAGCGCTTGGCTGTCGAAGATCAGCGTGGAACTGTTGACGAAGAGGAGCCCCGAGGAGTCGACGCCGTGGACCCACAGCTCATAGAGCCCCGGGCTGGCCGTCAGAGGCAGCTACGACGAGAGAACGAGCGAGCAGCCACGGCGGAGAGCGTCACACACGGGAACTCTCCCCCCCTCCAATGTTGACCCCTGCACCGAGGCCCATGCCAACCTCTCTACACCGCTCACTACTGGTGCCCAACTGGCAGCGCGCGATGCCGGGATGAAGCCATGGAATGCACACGGCGAGATCTGCGGCCAACGGTTGAGACAGTGAAGTGCAGCGCAGAAACATTGCACATGTCGGGATTCTGGAAAGGAATCCAGACGAGTCGAGGTCAAGTCCCCACACCGTGCCACATTCAGGGTACAGCAATTCACCACAACAATACTAGCAAGTCTCACGGTTCAATTCTTTTGAACAATGTGGTGAATTTTAGCACCTCTACTGGGTGCAGGGGAGAAGTAAAACGTATCACAAACGTGGGATAATAAAGCCGTCAAAATTCTACAATTCAATGCAAGCAATCGTGATCTGAACAGCTATTTTTTAATCATGATGAACACAAGCCTCATTCAGGTTTCCACACGAGATATACATTATTTTGAGCTTCATGCAAACATTCAGCTCTGATTTTGTTATCCCAGGACCTCGTCCAAAAAGAGGCAAATTCCTGCGCTCTAGAATTCGTGTAAAAGAGGTTGGGATTTTTTTTTAAACCAGCTGTCAATCACAGCCAGCAGACAGCAACAAACAGCACTCTTGACAGTGCAATAATAGAACAGCAAAAACACACTTTGTGCCTGCAGGTTTCTTCACATGTCCCATCTCAACTCGACAGAATCGTGGGAGTGTCCGGGCTCGTGCCCTGCCCAGCGGCGTTCGCAATGCGCTGGCAGCCCGTCCCGGCGCGCGTCGTTAGGCGTGGTCGCGCGGTCCGCGCTGATGAATTTAGAGCTCACGCATCATCAAAGATCAAAGATCCCCCGTGTAGCCTTAACAGACTGGAGGGGCAAGTGCTGTTAGCGAGCACCTATGAAGGCCGGAACGGTACACGAGGGGATGGGTGGCCAGCACCACGCCCGACCGCCTTTGTCTCCCTAGTGGCAATGTTTACACACCGCACCAGGTACTCATTTGAGGCTGAGTCGACCTAGGGGAGGCCCGGGACCGGTTCAGATAATCGTCACTGGTGTTGGCCAGCAACAAGCAGCATCGTTAAAGAAGTAACGTATACGCTTAGAGAATTGAGACCAAGTTATTCTAAGAACTTGGGGGAACGGAGAGACGACAGGAGGAGGGAATTCCCAAGCGGAGCAGTGCAAGGGAGGCAATGGAAAGAGAACCTGCGGCGTGTTGCATGAACGCCATCTGGATGAGATAAGTGTCCGCTACAGAGTCCTCCACATGGGTGGAAGAGGGGATGCAATGATTTAACTCCAGGGGATCGGCAGCCATCGTAGTCGCGATGGAAGGGCGATACGGAGGTGACTGACCGCCGGCGAGCAAGCGATTCTATCGATCCACTGCTGGATGAGGGCCTCCCCAAGCCGTGCGCGTCGTGGAAGGCATTACAGACTGCACGCGAATTCAAAGGAAACAGAGACCGCCTGGGCTAATTACAGGAGGCGTTGAGACTCTCCAGCAATAGCGGCCGCTGTGTCTAGTCACACGCACGGCGGCAGGAGCAGCTGCCCCTCAGTGAACTCCCAAGACGCACGCAGCCAATGCCCTGCACCCCCCACCCAGGCCACAACCGACTCTCACCCAGCACTGGGTGGACACACGAGGCTGTGCGTATGTGCAGAGCTATGTTTAAACACGTAGGCTATGGGTGGGGGAGAAACGGCGCTTGGGACCCCAGCATTAGAAACCCTCTCGTGGCTAACAGTGGCAAATAACTGAACTGGTTCTGGCGCTCCCCTAGGTCCACTAGGCCGTGTGTACGATGTGTGAAGATGAGCACTGGAGAGAAATAACGTGGCCGGGCGTAGCAACGTCCACACACTTAGAGGGTGGGGCAGCTTCTTGCGTTGGTTGGGGGGAAAAAAATGTTTGGACCGTGAACAATCGAGTTTAAAAATGTTAGCAGCTCGCCGCGAGAGAGAGAACGTCTACAACAACAACAACGATGGCTGTAAGCACCGTGGCCAAGAGAGACTCTGGCGGGCATCAGGCAGGAGGCTGCCAGACACCAACCGATGACGACTCGGGGCATTTCGATTGGATGACTTCACGCTTTTAGTCGCAGCCAGGAATGGGCGGGCGAGCGAGCGGGACGGCGAGCAGGAGGAGAGGGATCAACGGCACGAGCGTCGATGGTGGCAGCTGCCACAGCCTGGCAATGCGATGCCGACAAAGCACCCCGCTGTGCTGCGGTGCCCGGCAGAGGGAGGTTTACTCCGGGGGAAGCGGCGAGTGAAAAACACGACCCACAGGGGGTTCTCGTTCCTTTGGCAAGCGTCTCACGAACCCAACTGCGATGGATTAACGCACAATGGGCTTGGGTTAAAAAACAACATAGTTCTACCTGCGATGACACGTATCAGAAACATGGACATTGAACAAGAAAATGTAACACGCGTGTGAGACATCAAGGGCGGAGGGAGATGCCGGCTTTAGAATTGCAGCGACACGAAGCGACGCGTGGATCGGGGAGCAGAATGTGGCGAGCGGGATCGCTCGAGCGGTCCGGCCGTGGCCGTGGGCAGCACACGCCGCAGCTCGAAGCGGGGACGGCCGACGGGCAAACAGAGAACGGAACAAGCAGAAAGTACTTCCAAAACTGGATATGGGCGCAATTAAAATCAGCTCCTTGCGTTAGCCACGCGGCAACATCGTAGAGAGAGGATGGCAGATTGAGGGCACCCTCATGCAAGCAGTGGATCGACCACGGCCATCGATAATGCGACGTCTTCGGTTTTGAAGGTGGCTCTGTGCGGGTGCGGTGATGAGGACCGCGGAAACGCGCTCCCCCACCCCACAGGAGAAGGCACGCACGGGACACGCACGGGACACGCACGGACGAGGCCCCTTGCACGGGGGCCCCTAATAGCGGGGGTGGGGCGGGAGGTTTCCGTACAAAGGGGCCCAGCCCCTGCCAAGGCGTTTGGACAGAATCACCGAGGGGTTCCGCTCATTACCAGCGCAACGTAACAGATATTTATAACCCAAAAGGCCATTTCGTCTTCCCACCCTCCTGGTGCTGTGCCCCCCCCCCCGCCTGATGTACCCATCCCCGAAAGCCAAGGAAGCAGCACCCACTCCTTTAAGAACATGCAACAACAATCTCCAGACGGCGGTCGTAGAGTACTTCCCGTCTACACCGAAGTCCGGCCTTCCGGCCGCACAGAGAGAGAGAAACCCCCGTGGAAAACTCCTGCAGCTTACATGTCAATTAGAATGGCCGTAAAAGAAAATATCGGGAACGTTTCGGGCAATGGCCCTTCATCGTGCAATGGCCCTTCATCGTGCATTGCCAGATTTGTTTGAGTTGTCATTTTTGTGCACAACTGCACCGCCAATAATTTGTTTAATTTTGAAGTCACCAAAATCACTTAGAGTAACGACCAGGAGCCTCTAGCAGATATGGACGGGGGGTCGTAGTGAACCACTGTTGGGGTGCTGCCGGGGAGTGATGGGGAGCGCAGTACGAACAACAACAACTTGCGGGACGCCCACGCTTCTCTTGCTAATGATTCATCCGCCCCCCCTCTTGCTCACTCTTCCACGCTCTCCCCGTGGAGCGCATTGTTTTCTTGGCTCCGCAGGAGGCAGATTCCCACCTGCAGGAGTAACCCATTAAACAGTGACGAGGATCCTCATCAGCCACGACCCATCAACTGCTGAACAAAGGCCTCCGAGCAACCACCCGTCTCCATCCTGCAATGTATCACACCACCTCAGCTCCCGCACGAGATGGTTTCATGGATCCATCTCCACGGTAGGCACGTCTCTAAGCTGTCACTGTCATTTGTCTCCACTGCCGGCCGCCACCGCTTCTACCGACGGACCTGGCCCAAGCTGCCCGCTTCTCCTTCAGGGTCAACACGACGTGCGACCTTGCGAAGGTTCGAATCCACGCAGCCCACTCCTCTGTGCCATCATTGGTACTGTTTGTGAACGCCATTGTTCCCATCCATGCGTCAGGTGGTCGTGTACAAAAATTAATCACTTTTGGTAGTTCAGGTTTCCAAAACCACTCATACCTGCTCCATCGTTTTTAATTCGCAAGGCCACTTTGCGGATCCTGCTTTGTGGTCATGCAGCCCTCCACGCCCCGTCTGCCTGCCCAGGCCTGTGTTTTATTACAAGGGGCATCGGGGAAACCCCTTCCCTAGCACAGATCAACACTACAAGCCAGCGGTGATGAACGTGGCAATTTAAAATGGGTGGGGGCGCATCGCACGCCTGCGGCAGACAGCGCCAGCCGTGCTGCGAAACACCCGAGTGGGAGGAGGCCGGGTGGCTCGGAGCGCAGAGCTCACGCCACCGAGATTCTGGCTTCAATTCCACTGCCTGCGATTGAACCAGGCTCGAGTGCAAGGGAGTTAGGTCTCAGCCCGGTCATGAATGGGTCACACAAAACCAACCACATTTAAATAATTCGGGTTTTGAACTTAATTTGGTAAAAAATCCAGCACCGAAAATTAAATATTGGTTTGACGGCGAGGCAACAAACATTCCTCTCTCATAGGCAGAGCAGTTGGAAGAGTACTGCCCTCTACCAAGTGGATCAGAAGTCACTTGAACGGATCTCAGAAAAAGCGAAGTTCTGCGATATCCACGTTTGGCAGCCACTCCATCACGGAGGGTTGCTCTGCTTTACGGATTTTTTAATATTTTTTTTTTACAAAAAACATCTTTGGTGAAATTCCACACAGTCACGGGGCATGGAGAGCAGCAGACAATACGCACCGCAGGAAGGACGAGGGCAGTCGTGGTGCCTGAAAAAAAAAAAGAAGCACAAAAACCCAATTAAAACTAAAATATGTACAATTGTGTTGCATTAAACAGGATATCTGCCCCCCCCCCCCTTGCAATGACATCCGGCACCACAGCAGGACTTGCTTACCCTCCGCCCCTGGCCTGTTGTTTCGAACTTCTCGGTCTCACCAGCAGTCGGGTTTGTTAAAAAAAACATCGTTTGACACGTCCAAAAAGCAAACAGGCCGGGGACTAAAAATAACTTTTTGGTTTGGTGAACACATACGCACAACGGAAGTGCACACATTTCAGACGCCAAATCCAGGTACTCCAAAACAAAAACCATTGCCGCAAGGCGCTCCCATGGCATCGCGACGCATGCACGGTCACCGCATTGCGGGTGGCATCGGCACAGGGGTCTCCGCTAACGCTCGTCACCCACGTGCCTACCAGTCGGTCACCCACGTGCGTACCAGTCGGTCACCCACGTGCGTACCCGTCGGTCACCCACGTGCGTACCCGTCGGTCACCCACGTGCGTACCCGTCGGTCACCCACGTGGGTACCCGTCGGTCACCCACGTGCGTACCCGTCGGTCACCCACGTGGGTACCAGTCGGTCACCCACGTGGGTACCCGTCGGTCACCCACGTGCGTACCCGTCGGTCACCCACGTGGGTACCCGTCGGTCACCCACGTGCGTACCCGTCGGTCACCCACGTGGGTACCCGTCGGTCACCCACGTGCGTACCCGTCGGTCACCCACGTGGGTACCCGTCGGTCACCCACGTGGGTACCCGTCGGTCACCCACGTGCGTACCCGTCGGTCACCCACGTGGGTACCCGTCGGTCACCCACGTGGGTACCCGTCGGTAGGCGTCATTGCTTGCAGGCACGTCAAAAGCCGCGTGTGTTTTGGCGAGTGTGGCGAGAGGTGGACACGGGCGTGTCGCGTACGCAACTCCATAAAAATCGACAAGCAGCGATATAAACGGACACGCGTAGTCATAGTCCTATTAAGAGGCCTGCGCACAGAATAAAAATATCAGCCATGGTGATGAGCCTACCATTAAAAAGCACGAACCAAATTAATTGATTCACATTGCAACAATGTAACATTGTCCATTATGAGCAACAGCACCAGTGACGCACAAGGCCACCGCTGCCATGCCGGTCGCCCATCACCGCAAGCCTCAATTGGCCACAGCGGTGTGAATCCGCGTGGCCGTCGTAGAATTTCTCACGATGCTACGATAAAAAAAAGGTGCAGCCCTGCAAATCACGCGCTCAACGCCACTTGCGTCTTCACGACAGACTTGTGCCGTGAGAATGGCACGAACGCCAAAATGTAGCAATCGCCTTCGGCCTCTGGGCGCCCACGGGGGTAATTGCCGCACGCTTGTGGTTTTGGATGTGCGGAGGGTGCAACCTTGGGTGGAGCCACGTACACGGGCTTCGCCCTGAGATGGCAAGCCGAATATTAATATCACAGCAGCCTGCGTCACTGAGAGCCCTTTGACGAGCAGATTTGAAAAATCACACAGTTCGTTAGGCGGGGGGCGAGTTTGTACACAGTGCAAAAACAAACTTGAGATGACGCCACCAGCACCACCCATGAAAAGCGTCACCACCTCTATTAGAATTTGACAGCATCACCTCTGTACTTTTTACACCCCTGCAACGATCCATTATGGCCAGAACAACGACTCCGGGATTGAACACCAACGTGCAAAGAAGCAGGACTCATTTCATTTTCTTACACAAAGTTATCCAAATCGTGCCATCGGGGTCTCACGTCACGAGACAAAGAATCCATTCAGATCTCTCGCAGAACAGTGCACCCTTGGTGTTAGCAAACGGCCCATGGAAGTGGATATTACAGAACCACCTCCGTGACCCCTTCAAAGTGACCTGTTATCCACAATAGGGGTATTGTACTTTCCCACATAGCCTACTATAGGAGATGTTTCTGCATGGTAGCCAATGCAAACTTTAGTTTCCAATTCTCAGCTGCGAATTTAGCCACAGTGACAATCCAACTTCAATATGGAGTTGATTATTTTATAGTGATTGGTGAACTGGCCCGAGACCCATCAACCTCGTACACTTCGGAACCCAGTTTCAGCACGGGCAGCTGAAGCCTGGACTCGAACCCAGGTGGTCAGCGGTGCCGGCTCCACGCCACCCTCAAAAGCTGGGCGCCCACCATGCATGGGAATTTCAAAATGGCCCTCGTGCCAGGACTCGGCCCTCCCAGGGGATGGGGAGGAGATGATGGAGGCCACAAACAAACTCTGGCATCGGTGCAACTCTACAGCTCAACTCGCAAATATTTTTTAAAAAATGAGCAATTAAAAAATCTGGGATAATAGAAACAATTGTGCAACATGAAAACGATTTTGAAGAAAGTTAATAGTTTAAAAGAAAAGTAATGCCAATTTTTTATTTGAAGCTTTCGTGACTGCAGGAATCCATACTCTTTGGTTCTTTCGGTAAAGTCACGTAGTTAGAAATAAAATAAAATAAACGTTTGGATCGCCCATCCCCAAACCCTTATAAACAGTTTGCCTTTAGAGGCTGACTCCTTTGCCTGATGACGACCGCTTGTGTTGCGATCGAAACATCGTGATTTGTTTCATTTTATTTTATTTCTAACTAAGTGACTTTACCGAAAAAAACAGAGTATAGAGAGACGACACCGGGAGGCCTCAATCCAGCAGTGGATTGATGAAGTAGCCGTTTATCATCAGGTAGGTAGGAGGCATTCAAAAACACAAGTTGTGTACAGCTGTTCACGAGCAGAGGCTCGTGTCCTGCGCGATGACACAGCCCTGCTCTGAGTGCAGTTCGGCACCACAGGCAGTGCCAACAATGCAAACAATGGGGATTAAAACAAAAACACAGGACAACTAGGTCGGTCCGATGCACTGCATGTACTGTATGTAAGAATTTGCCGATGGCCTGTACTGGAGCGAACATGAGAGAGGCATCTGGTTCCATTATTTCCACGTTGACCAGACATGTTGGAATAGGTGGAGGAAATTAAAGAAACATGCCGTGTTGTTTCAACTGCAACGCCAAGGAGATGCAATCGAACCGGCGACCCCTGAATTGCAAGTCCAGCGCACGGACTATTACACCACGCCTGAGTTCTACTCATGTAACACACGTTGCTTACTGTGCGTAGGGTACAAGCGAGGGAGGCACAGTGTGGAGTGAGTGCTGCCTGTCCCGGATCGCCCTGAAACGAAAACCTGCCAGACGAGGGAGCAAGCACCCTAAGGGCAGAGATCGTCAATTTGGATGGGAGGGATCAAACATTCCCATGCCAATCTACATCCTGGACGGACTGCATTTATACGGGCGACCACACACGAGCAGGCACACCGCTCCGGGCGCATGAGTAACTGGACACGCATCTTGCAGCGGCAGCGCTGACGGGTTTTGAGTTTCCCAGGGGTGGCACAAAGGAGCAGAGCCGCAACACTCGCAATTATGATCTTGCAAACCGGCGACCCCATCCTTCCACCATAGCAGAGGCCCCTAACCGTGTGTCTCGCTGCCGAACAGAGAGCGAGCTCCAGTCATCGACGCCATAAATTACACACAGACTTGTAGCGCATCTTCACAAGACGGGCGTTGGCGTCATTGACAGTCGTTATCAGTCACGGTAGAACCAATGCTGGACGATTGCCTTCCCAAGCCACCACCACAACCCTGTTAAGTAATTAACCTTTCAGCAACCGCACCCTTGTAAATTTCATTGCTCTAGCTCTCCAAGAAGGATGGCACCTTGGGCACGTTCCATTCTTAGTGGCTATTCTGCAATTCCTGGCCAAATCTGCAATTCCTGGCCAAATCTGCAATTATACCCTTCTAGCAACAAATGGTGCCCGAGCTCACTTCGAGCGAGCTCACTCCGACTTGAGCTCAGAGTGAGCTCGCTCGTTCTTCCTCTCTCTATATAGGACAGCGAGTGAACAGCGCGGTGGCACGTTACAAGTTGAAATTATTATTGGGAGTCGTACAGTGAAACGCAAGATTGTGAAAGCCTAAGAACAGCGGAGAGCGTTGTGCGAGTGTTTACGCACAGCGCACGGTGCCCGTAACGTCAGCCTTGACGCACGCGCCGCATTTCTCTTTTAGACCCCCCACCACCACCCCTCAAACCAAAACCACAGCTCTAGGTGCGTCAGGGGAAGATGAAGAACCAACAATCCTGACGGTCAACATTACACAAATACTTTCAAAATATTTTTGCCTGGAGAAAACAAAGAAAATGTGGACAGGTGGACAAACTGGCACGACAGAGCGGTGGGTCCCAGCCTGTGGCCTTGTGCAGCCTCCCAAGTTCTGGATATGCGAGGCTTCCCCTGGTAACATGCATGAGGATTATGTTAATTGCGAGTCAATCCTTCATTGGACGAATGTCTCCTCACGGCGCGTCAGTCGTGGGGATCATTTCGACTATATTTCACCACGCTGGTCAGCGCGAGTTGGTCATACAGAGCATTGTTCGGTAGGACGGCCGACGCGTCGCTCCCCGTGCTGGGAGCTTCTTCGGGAGCGAGTTTCCAAATTCGATTTGTTTTAACATCGCGGCCAATGGTAGCACCTCTCGTGATCACACGAACCCATGACATAACATGACACATGAGCATATTATACGTTGTCAGGTCATTGAAGCCACTCGCTGCATCAAGTTTCCTCTAACAGCAACCTTCGTTAAGTAAACAAGGTTGTTAACGGCTTGCGGTGAGGAGCCAAATCAAGTCGTGTGCATCTGCTCGTGGATGGCTCCTTTGTTATCTCGCTGCAACAAATACACATTGTGTCGCCCATAAACAGCCGCGGGCCATTTCTGGTTAAACCGTGCCAACATTCATAGTCCATTGAAAGTGCCTCGCCCACACGCCCCGGATTAAAAAAAAAACTCAACCGCCAATGCCCCAACGCGGACGCACCAGCATAGTCATCGAGTGCGCAGGCGGTGCAACTGCACCGGGGCACACGGGACGGAGGGGCCCAGAAGGTGCTGAGCTAGGAATCGAGGGGACATGTTCCAGTGGGCATTGTTTATCCTTCGTGGCGGGGCCCCTGGCGAGCGCGCCACTCCACCGGTGCCACCCGAGGCGAGGCAGGCAGCGCCATGAACACGCCATGGGACTCGCGGCTCCACAGGCACGCACGAGCCGGGGCCAGCGGCATGCGCTTGCCCTCCAGCGCTTTGAGGAAGCAAGGGTTGGGGGGGGGGTCACGGTGAGACTTGGGAGCCACCAAGCTTGCGAGGCGACCAGGACACGCAGTACAGGAAGTGGGTTTGTGCGGACCCATTTGGGTGGTGTCAGCGCGTGCGTCGGTTCTTGAGGGCCGCCGGTTTCAGCTCCTACGCCGAGAAATTATCTGGCCAAACTTTCCATGCAGGTCTCGCCTTAAAAAAAGCAGCTTCTTTGAAATAAAGATTCTGATTCACAGCAAAGCTTATAAATTACCAAGTATGGTCTTCCTCATAATAAAGGTTTTTGGGTTAGATCGCGTTATTTATAAATGTGTCGTAACCCTCCACCACCCGACATGGCCAATCAGCAAAAAAGTATCACGTTGACAAATGACAATTAGATCACTACTTTAGCCCAGCGGTGTGTTGAAGAGTGAATCCACAACATTTACAGTTTGAATACGACGTTTCGCTGGTAATTACATCCAGCATCATCGGGCAATTCGCCAGAATGGTAAAGCCCTCACTTGCGAAAGCCTACGTGTTAAACTATGGTCTTCCTCCATGCACTGCGGTCTCTAATAACGCTAGCAGATTATCTCCGTCTGCCTATTCAGACGCGTTAACGTCGTGGCGTCATCGCGGCGCGTCGGCCTTGTGGTGGGTGGCAGTCGGTAGCCATAGCAAACAAACATGGTGAGGAAGTATTTTTCACGAACGAAATTTGGCCAACAAGACGAACCCTGCTTGGGCGGACTCATGGTGAAGGCTGACGGAGGTGTCGCAGGCTGCCGCGATGAGGACATCCCGGCTCGCCGAAGCCAAACACCGACGACGCACGGCTCGCTGCGCCAACCCCTACCCCCAATCCAGCAACAAAAAATGTCTGGTTCCCAACGGCATCTGACCTGCTTTTAATTAAACAGTTTAATTAACGATGAACCCGGAAGGGAATAACGAGCCCTCTGGGCGGTACAATAGGTCACGAGGAGCCTCGCACAGTGCTCAGAATCTTTACACAGAGCAGCAAAGAACCTCAAGACGACGGCATAGAGCCCCCAGACAGGAAGGCAACGAGCCACAGCTGCTCACCTCTGGAGAGCACGGCCTGCTTCCTGAGGACCTCTTGGCCGTCGGCGGTGACGTTGGCCACCACGGTGACGTCCCCCTTGCCACCGCCGCCGTTCAGGAGGGAGATGCTCAGGGCGAGGCCCTGCCCGGGCCGGATGGTCGAGGGCGCCGTGATGAAGAAGGTGGCACTGCAGGGAGGGAGGGAGGTCACATTTACACGTGGGCTCGACGATGGACGGTCGCTCGCATCGCCTGCACATTTTATTTTGAAAGAGTCGAACGTTGTCCACTTCTTAACCATAACAGGTCCCTGCAGGGTGGGCTGGTAGGAACATTGGAATTTTGCGCAATTTTATTACACCCAACAGCACGAGATTTCACTTCGTTAAAGTATTGAAAGGGGACGGACGGACACATTAATCTATTGCAGGCTGGTACACTCAGTTTACAACTTCGTTCCTACCAGTAAAAGTATTTTTTTTTGTCTGTGTCTGTCTGTGTGTGGACGCCAATCCTTGTAACGCTTTTGACTGACAAACTGTTGGGTCTACGTTTTAACAAAGTACACATACAACAAACTAAGCCCCCGGATGAAAACTCGCTATTTGTTTTTGCCCTTGGTCCAATGTAAACTAAGAAAAGTCGCACTTTGTCATAATGTACGCTGATCAAGCACGCATCTGCGCATGCGCGGAAACGCCGACTCGCGGTTGCCCCTAGCAACACAAACGAGCTCGCTGATGGGAAGGAGGTTCTCATTCGTGTAAAAAAATGCCAAAAATAAAAAACATCAAGCACAGTTACTGCTGCACAACCACATGCTAAGGTCAATCCTGAACAGTGTGATGTCTCCCCCACAATGTGTGCAGTTACTACTATGGAGCCAGTAGATACTACTATAGTCAGTAGATACTATTACAGTCAGTAGATGCGACTGCAGAGCCAGTAGATACTACTGACTATTGTATGTAGGGTGTGTAGGTATATATGCCTACAAAATAAACATTGGGTGGGGGGGTTAAAAACTAATTTTGAGGGGTTGACAATTTATAGAAACCTTTTAGATCAACTATTTACCCCCCACTTTCTATAACGTCTTACTTCTGAAAGGCTCTTATAATTTTGTTGACGGACCAATGGACAGAAAAACGGAATGCCGGGCATTCACAATAGCTTAGTATTTGTGGATATGTTATGTTTTTTAAGAGAAGAAAAGTTTTCCATAATAGTGGTTTTGGGTTAGATCACGTAAACCCAAAACCTCTATTATGGATGATATATTGATCGCGAAAGCCTACGTGTTAATAAGACAAGTTTTTAAATCTATTTTCTCCCCAGGTAAAGCCGGGAACTTTCGGAAGCGGTCAATACTCGATGAATGTTTGATTTAAACCACACGTCACCTTAGCTGAGAGTTCACGCCCACGATGTTACCACGACTGAGTTTGAGGTGCGGTGCGCTAACCGCTGTCCCATCGCTCCACCCGTAGCAGTTTGCACATTGCAATTTCCCCTTCCGCAAAACGCAGGGCTCCTTCACTTAAGGTGATCCAATCCATAGGGCCGAGTGTAGTAGGTCGCCATGGTAAGTGCGTGGAGGGGGCAGGCGGTGAGTTTATGGGTCACAGCAAGGGTCAGGGGTTACGTACTTTGACGCGTGGCTGGGGCCCAGAAGTGCCAGCAAGAAGACGAGGAGAGTGACCGCGGCTTTCATGGTTTTCTGCGGCAGAGCACACGCCAGAGAGTTTACGAGCGCCGTTTGGTATTTACGACGTCGTGACCACAGCCGTCACCGGCAATTTCCCCAGTTCCAGACCGCCTCATCCTCGTCGTCGTCGTCATCGTTAAAAGGCGTCTTCTGTTCCACAACAAACCACAGCAGGGTTGCTGCGCAGATGCCGGCACAGGCCAGAATGTCCAGGCCCGCCTTGAAGGAATCAACATCACTTGCAAGCACACAGTTAAAAATAAAATAAACAATGGGAATTCCGCTGCGTATTGTTTCGGGTGGGAAAGATGTATAAACAAGGGTGAGGGTGCAGATCTGCAATTGCTACTGCTGGCAGAAGGAGCTCCATAGGGAGAGGCCACTAGAGCCGCTCTGGAGGGAAATCGGTCCCGGCTGCCACACAGGCCATGCGTTTTGGGGAAGGCGTGGGGAAGATTGAATACACTTTGCCTCGCGTTTCAATTGCTGCGTCGGTAGATAGAATGGAACCGGCGAACCTGCTGATGGCAAGGATATTTTCGTCACCAATTCCGTTAAAAAACCACAACTCAGAAACCAGGATTGGCACAGACAATGGACGCCGATTCACAGACCCCAACAACAGACGGGGCAAGAGAATGGACAATCGCCACCGATGATTGCCTCCACTCAGAATAGGGCAGCGTGCATCACTCGAACTAGACAGTGCAGGACAGCTTTAGTTTAAAGCCTACATCGGCAAGCGGTACGAATGTAAAATGCGCAGCGCTACAATGTCTTGCTCACGCCACTGCTGGCCTCGCAATGAGGGTATCCTGGCCAGACGACTTGGAAGAGGTGAGAGTTCCCAGACTTTACCCCACCACACACGGCCTGCCAATTAACTCACCGTTAAATTTCGATTTAAAGCTTTCGTGACTGCAATGATTCATCTTCTTTGGTTCTTTTGGTAAAGTCACGTAGAATGAGAATAAAATAATAAATTGATAAAATAAAATAACACAATAATATTCTCACGACGTTTCGGCCACAACACAAGCGGTCTTCATCAGGTGAAGGGACGAGACTGTCTGGTAGAACAGCGCTGGAGTGAAAGAGCCGTGATCTGAACGTGGCTCTTTCACTTGCTATTGTAGGGACACTGTCTCGTGAAAGAGCCGTGATCTGAACGTGGCTCTTTCACTCCAGCGCTGTTCTACCAGACAGTCTCGTCCCTTCACCTGATGAAGGCCGCTTGTGTTGTGGCCGAAACGTCGTGAGAATATTATTGTGTTATTTTATTTTATCAATTTATTATTTTATTCTCATTCTACGTGACTTTACCGAAAGAACCAAAGAAGATAACTCACCGTTGTTCAGATTTATACTGCTCCCGAAGCAGAGGGAGGGGGTGGGCTGTTTTAGGACACACGCTCCATTGTCTCAACTGCCGCCCCGGGAGATCGAGTCGACTTCCTGATTGCAAGTCCAGTGCGCTTACCGCTGGGAACCTAACGCACAGCAACGTCTCCTGGTCAAGCCTCAATGATGAACAACTAGGTGAAAATGTTGTGGTCAGATGAGACCAAAATGGAGCTCCTAGGCATCAACTCAACTCGCCATGTTTGGAGGAGGAGGGAATGCTGCCTGTGACCCCAAGAACACCATCCCCACCGTCAAACATGGAGGTGGAAACATTATGCTTTGGGGGTGTTTTTCTGCTAAGGGGACAGGACAACTTCACCGCATGAAAGGGACGATGGACGGAGCCATGTACCGTCAAATCTTGGGTGAGAACCTCCTTCCCTCAGCCAGGGCATTGAAAATGGGTCGTCGATGGGTATTCCAGCATGGCAATGACCCAAAACACACGGCCAAGGCAACAAAGAAGTGGCTCAAGAAGAAGCACATTAAGGTCCTGGAGTGGCCTCGCCAGTCTCCAGACCTTAATCCCATAGAAATTCTGTGGAAGCTGAAGGTTCGAGTTGCCAAACGTCAGCCTCGAAACCTTAATGACTTGGAGAAGATCTGCAAAGAGGAGTGGAACAAAATCCCTCCTGAGATGTGTGCAAACCTGGTGGCCAACTACAAGAAACGTCTGACCTCTGTGATTGCCAACAAGGGTTTTGCCACCAAGTACTAAGTCATGTTTTGCAGAGGGGTCAAATACTTATTTCCCTCATTAAAATGCAAATCAATTTATAAAATTTTTGACATGCGTTTTTCTGGATTTTTTGTTGGATTTTTTGTTGTTATTCCGTCTCTCACTGTTCAAATAAACCTACCATTAAAATTATAGACCGACCATTTCTTCGTCAGTGGGCAAACGTACAAAATCAGCAGGGGATAAAATATTTTTTCCATCACTATACATCCCACTCACTACTCACCAGCCAGTCAGCTACATCCCACTCACTACTCACCACTCACCAGCCAGCCAGCTACTCACCACTCACCAGCCAGGTAGCTACATCCCACTCACCACTCACCAGCCAGGCAGCTACATCCCACTCACCACTCACCAGCCCGCAGCTACATCCCACTCACTACTCACCACTCACCAGCCAGTCAGCTACATCCCACTCACTACTCACCACTCACCAGCCAGCAGCTACATCCCATTCACCACTCACCAGCCAGACAGCTACATCCCACTCACCACTCACCAGTCCGTCAGCTACATCCCACTCACTACTCACCACTCACCAGCCAGACAGCTACATCCCACTCACCACTCACCAGCCCGTCAGCTACATCCCACTCACTACTCACCACTCACCAGCCAGCCAGCTACTCACCACTCACCAGCCAGGTAGCTACATCCCACTCACCACTCACCAGCCAGGCAGCTACATCCCACTGACCACTCACCAGCCCGCAGCTACATCCCACTCACTACTCACCACTCACCAGCCAGTCAGCTACATCCCACTCACTACTCACCACTCACCAGCCAGTAAGCTACATCCCAATCACCACTCACCAGCCAGACAGCTACATCTCACTCACCACTCACCAGCCCGTTAGCTACATCCCACTCACTACTCACCACTCACCAGCCAGTCAGATACTCACCAGCCAGGCAGCTACTCACTACTCACCACTCACCAGCCAGTCAGATACTCACCACTCACCGAGTAACTGCGTGTGTATCCCAGTGGAGAGGTCGTGTCGACTCCTCGTGTGTCGCTGTTGTTGCTGCTGCTGCTGCAGTCCCTGACAAAGTGGCCGCTGCCGCTGCTGCAGTCCCTGACAAAGTGGCCGCTGCCGCTGCTGCTGCAGTCCCTGACAAAGTGGCCGCTGCTGCTGCAGTCCCTGACAAAGTGGCCGCTGCCGCTGCTGCTGCTGCGAGCTGAGGGTGGCGCCCACGCGACTCGCCTATGAAGGAGGAGGAGGTGGCTGAGACGCCCGGTCAGCCAGAGCGGAACTCCCTCCACCCCCCCCCACCCCGGGCGTGTGTGGGGGGGGTTGTGTGTGGGGGGGGGGTTGTGTGTGGGGTGTGTGGGGGGGTTGTGTGTGGGGGGGGGTGTGTGTGGGGTGTGGGGGGGGTGTGTGTGGGGGTGTAGGGGGGTTGTGTGTGGGTGTGTGGGGGGGTTGTGTGTGTGGGGGGGGGGGGGGGTTGTGTGTGGGGGGGGGGTTGTGTGTGGGGGTGTGTGGGGGGGTTGTGTGTGGGGGGGGTGTGTGTGGGGTGTGGGGGGGGGGGTGTGTGTGGGGGTGTAGGGGGGTTGTGTGTGGGGGTGTGGGGGGGTTGTGTGTGTGGGGGGGGGTGTGTGTGGGGTGTGGGGGGGGGTGTGTGTGGGGGGGTTGTGTGGAGGGGTTGTGTGTGGGGGTGTGGGGGGGTTGTGTGTGGGGGGGTTGTGTGTGGGTGTGTTGGGGGGGTTGTGTGTGGGGGGGGGGGTGTGTGGGGTGTGGGGGGGGGGTGTGTGTGGGGGGGTTGTGTGGAGGGGTTGTGTGTGGGGGTGTGGGGGGTTGTGTGTGGGGGTGTCAGGGGGTTGTGTGTGGGGGTGTGGGGGGGTTGTGTGTGGGGGGGTTGTGTGTGGGGGTGTGGGGGGGTTGTGTGTGGGGGGGTTGTGTGTGGGTGTGTTGGGGGGTTGTGTGTGGGGGGGTTGTGTGGAGGGGTTGTGTGTGGGGGTGTGGGGGGGTTGTGTGTGGGGGGGTTGTGTGTGGGTGTGTTGGGGGGGGTTGTGTGTGGGGGGGGGGGTGTGTGTGGGGTGTGGGGGGGGGGTGTGTGTGGGGGGGTTGTGTGGAGGGGTTGTGTGTGGGGGTGTGGGGGGGTTGTGTGTGGGGGTGTCAGGGGGGTTGTGTGTGGGGGTGTGGGGGGGTTGTGTGTGGGGGGGGTTGTGTGTGGGGGTGTGGGGGGGGTTGGTGTGTGGGGGGGTTGTGTGTGGGTGTGTTGGGGGGTTGTGTGTGGGGGGGGTTGTGTGGAGGGGTTGTGTGTGGGGGGTGTGGGGGGGTTGTGTGTGGGGGTGTCAGGGGGGTGTGTGTGGGGGTGTGGGGGGGTTGTGTGTGGGGGGGTTGTGTGGTGGGTGTGTTGGGGGGTTGTGTGTGGGGGGGGGTTGTGTGTGGGTGTGTGGGGGGTTGTGTGTGGGGGGGTTGTGTGTGGGTGTGTTGGGGGGTGGTGTGTGGGGGGTTGTGTGTGGGGGGGTTGTGTGTGTGTGGAGGTTGTGTGTGGGGGGAGGTTGTGTGTGGGTGGAGGTTGTGTGTGGGTGTGTTGGGGGGTTGTGTGTGGGGGGGTTGTGTGTGGGGGTGTGGGGGGGGTTGTGTGTGGGGGGGGGGGGGTTGTGTGTGGGGTGTGGGGGGGTTGTGTGTTGGGGGGTTGTGTGTGGGTGTGTTGGGGGGTTGTGTGTGGGGGGGGGGGGTTGTGTGTGGGTGTGTGGGGGGGGTGTGTGTGGGGGGGTGTGTGTGGGTGTGTTGGGGGGTTGTGTGTGGGGGGGTTGGTGTGTGGGTGTGTTGGGGGGTGTGTGTGGGGGGGGGGGGGTTGTGTGTGGGTGTGTGGGGGGTTGTGTGTGGGGGGGTTGTGTGTGGGTGTGTTGGGGGGTTGTGTGTGGGGGGGTTGTGTGTGGGGGGTTGTGTGTGGGTGTGTGGGGGGGTTGTGTGTGGGGGGGTTGTGTGTGGGGATGGGGGGGGGTTGTGTGGGGTGGGTGGGGGGTGGTGTGTGAGGGGGGTGGGTGATGGGGTTGGGGGGGTGTGGGGGGGGTGTGTTGGGTGTGTGGGGTTGGTGTGGGGGGGGGGTTGGGGTGGGGGGGTGTGGGTGGGGGTGTGGGGGGGTGGGTGTGGGGGGGTGGGGGGGGTTGTGTGTGGGGGGGTGGGTGGTGGGTGGGGGGGGGGGGGGGGGGGTGGGGGGGGGGTGTGTGGGGGGGGGTGTGTGGGGTGTGTGGGGGGGTTGTTGTGTGGGGGGGTTGTGTGTGGGGATGTGGGGGGTTTGTGTGGGGGTTGTTGGGGGGTTGGTGTGTGGGGGGTTGGTAGTGGGGGGGGGGGGGGGGGGGGGGTGTGTGGGGGGGGTTGTGTGTGGGGGGGTGTGTGTGGGGGTGGGTGGGGGGGTTGTGTGGGTGTGTTGGGGGGTTGTGTGGTGGGGGGGTTGTGTGTGGGTGTGTTGGGGGGTTGTGTGGGGTTGTTGGGGGGTTGTGTGTGGGGGGGGTTTGTGTGTGGGGGTTGTGTGTGGGGGTGTGGGGGGGTTGTGTGTGGGGGTGTGGGGGGTTGTGTGTGGGGGGGTTGTGTGTGGGTGTGTTGGGGGGTTGTGTGTGTGGGGGTTGTGTGTGGGGGTGTGGGGGGGTTGTGTGGGGGGGTAGTGTGTGGAGGGGTTGTGTGTGGGGGTGTGGGGGGGTTGTGTGTGGAGGGGTTGGGGGGTTATGTGTGGGGGGGTTGTGTATGGGGGGTGGTTGTGTGTGTGAGGGGAGGTTGTGTGTGTCCGGCAAAACAACTCCCTACCTCCTCGCGGTGCCGGACGGGCAACTCTGTCGTGGACAGTGCTGTGGGGGGAGGGCGAATTCCGATTGGCTCCTCCCCTCATGGCGTCTGTGGCCACCACAGTGGCTAAACGGGGGCTCTGGACGGGTGCGAGGGGCTGGTTAACCCCTCCACCTTCAAAAATTTACCACTAAACCACGTATAAAATATCTAACTAATAAGCTTGTGCCGGAGGCTCCGGGGGGACAGGTGTCTATGACGTCTCCTGGCCAAACCCCAATTGGCGGAGCCAGGAGATTGAATCTCTACCCTCGGGGCTTCTCCAGAAACAACGAAAAGCCACTTCGTGTGGCCACGTGGAATGTTCGAACGCTCACTGCGGAGGAGAGGCTGCCACTCCTCTGTCGGGAGCTGGACCGGTACCGCCTGGATCTCTGTGGCATTCAGGAGGTCCGGTGGACCGGTTCTAGCTCCTGCCACCATGAGGGGTGGACAGTCCTCTACTCGGGGCAGCAGACTGCCAAACAACAGGGTGTGGCTCTTCTTTTGAACAAATAATGAAGGGGGCATGGGGGCGTGGCGGTGAGGTGTGGGAAGCTGTAAGCCCCAGGCTACTTTGGGCTCGCCTTCCCATCAACCGGAGGAGGGGAGTGGCGGTCGTGGTTACTTATGCCCCCACAGAAGACAAGGGATGCAGGCAAAGCCGATGAGTCAGATGCCTTCTATGACCTCCTGTCACAGGTGCTAACTAAAGTGGTCCCTCGGGATAGAGTCATCTTGTTGGGTGACTTCAATGCCCGCGTTGGTCATGATGCTGGCATCTGGTCTGGAGTGATTGGAGGACATGGGCCAGATCAGCTCAATAACAACGGTAGGAGGCTGCTAGATTTTTGTGCAGCCCATGGGCTTATAATTACCAACACGCTGTTCCGGCATCGACGCATCCACACAACATCATGGATGCATGCCGGGTCCAAGCAAGAACATCTGCTGGACTACATAGTGACAGACCAGCGGATGCGAGCCCATGTCCTTGACACCAGGACCTACTGTGGAGCTGATCTGCCCTCTGACCATCGACTAGTCATCTGTAAGATGCGCCTGCCATTCTTCCACCTCGGTGGTGAGTGTACACCCAGGACCCCATTCCAACCTAAAGTGGCCTGGTGTCAGTTATCTGATGAAAGTTGCAAGCGAGAATTTCATCATCGCTTGCGGCTGGGGTTGGCATCGTCCCCCACTCCTCCTGATGTCGAGGGTAAATGGGCGAGGTTTAGGACTGTGACTCATGCAGCTGCAATGGCTGCTTTGGGTACACGGTCCAGACCTCCCCAGAGACCCTGACTGACAGAGGAGGTGTTCAGGATGGTTGAAAAAAAGCAAAAAGCCCACTGTCATCGGCTACAGAATCCCACGTCAGAGAATGAGGAGGCTTACCGCAGCCTTCGCTCAGAGGTTCGGAGAACCGTGAGGCGCTGCAAGGATGAGTGGTGGTCGCGGGTTGCTGAGGAGATGGAGTCTGCCTCAGTGGCCTGCGATCACAAATCTCTATTTAACTCCATCAAAAAAGTAACCTGCAGCACCACACCTATTGCGAAACGTGGACCCCTCTAATGGAACATCTTCGTCGGTTAGAGACATTTAGGCTAGCCTGCCTACGATCCATCCTGGGTTTAACTAGGCTGGATTGTGTGAGGAGCTCACAAATCTTTAAAAGATCTGGGCAAGGTCCCATCGGTGAGCTCCTCCGGCAGGCAAGGCTGCGTTGGCTGGGTCATGTAGCCCGCATGCCCAGCCACCGCATGCTGAAACAGTTTTTGTTTGGCCGGATTGAGGGGGCTAAGTGGGCGCGGCACGAGCTAGAGAAGAGATGGAGTGATGTGGTACAGGAGGACGTGGAGCTGAGTGGACTTGCCGATGACTGGTACCAGCGGTGTCAAGATCGGCCTCTGTAGAGGAGGCTCGTGCAGGACGCTACTGGGCAGTTGGAGGCAGTCGCCCTCCTACAACAACGGAGGGCGGAGGAGCGACGTTCACAACAACAAGCGGAGCGCCGGGTGGCTAAAGCACAGCAAGTTGGCACAGTAGGGCGCACAGTAGGGGGCACAGGTGGTGCATCAGCCAGTCATCTTAGTCATCTTAGTCAGTCGACCCGTGGCACTTGGGTCTGCCCCGTGACCTCCTGCCAGCGGGCGTTCGACATTTCACGTGGCCTCAAAGTGCACATGGCCTGGCACAAGCGTCGTGGTGAGGTCACCGCCACTTCGTGGCGAATGGCGGTTGTTGTTGTTGTTGGGGTGTGTGTGGAGGGGTGTGTGTCGGGGAGTGGGAGAGTGTGCGGGGTGTGTACGCGTCAGTCAGCACCACCACCTCTGCCTGCATCGCGTCACGTGCACGTCAATCAACATCGCAATCACCAATTATCATCACCACGACCGTCGCCATGGGGAACGTGGTCATCATCAGAATCATCGCTAGGGTTTCGGAGAGGTTGTTGAAGGGTGAGGACTGAGCTATTAAGATCCGACTGCAATGGAATGCACAGACCCATCATTTAACTCCATATTTAACAGCTAAAGCCCACGGGAGCTATGCGCTCTTTTTTCAGAGGTGAGCCTGGCCACACACGGTAGCTCATTGAAGTGACATCATCACCACCACCACATGTGGGAATTTATCGTAGCAGTCAAACACTCTCAACGCAAGTTTATAAATGTGGAGGGCAAACCAGGGGGACCTGAATAACAATCCATGTGACCATGGCGAGAGAGAGAACACGCGGACTTCAATGACACAACCAGCATCGGCAGGCTCCTGGGATCGAGTCCCCACAGCCGCCTCCCTACCATGTGCGAGCGATAACATCCCCTCGGCATCGCCGCGCGTAAATCATGAACAACCAAACATCAACACCACCACCAACGGCTGTAGCGACAGCTGCTGGCAGGCAGCGAGTGGCCAGGTTTCCTGTTGGGCGAGTATTTAATTAAAAGACGTCGCCAACCCACACTGCCCAGCGTGGTGAAGTATGGTCCAGCGACATTCCCATGACCGGCACTGCCAGGGTCCTGCTACGTCTGTGGGGTGTTTGGTCAAATCCACAGATTAGAGAGTTTCGGTTCCTGGAGGGGGAATCCGGTGACCATCCACTAACATAGGAGGGGGTGGCGCTGAAAGCTCCGCACAGACAGATTTAACAATAAGCTGTGGTTCTTTCGGTAAAGTCACGTAAATAGAAAAAATAATAAAAGAAAACACGACGTTTCAGTCGCAACAGAAGCGTCCGTCTTCAGGTGAGAAAATGATCTGCTGTTGTGACTTCATATAGGCACGGGAGGGGGGGCAAAGGGGGGGGGGGAAGGAGTTTTGTCGAGTCGTGGCTGTCGGAGTTCACGGGGGGGAGGGGGGTGTGCAGGGACGGGTGGGGCTGTCACGGGGGGGGAGGGGGGGTGTGCAGGGACGGGTGGGAGCTGTCACGGGGGGAGAGGGGGGAGGGGGTGTGCAGGGACGGGTGGGGCTGTCACGGGGGGGGAGGGGGGGTGTGCAGGGACGGGTGGGGCTGTCACGGGGGGGGAGGGGGGGTGTGCAGGGACGGGTGGGGGCTGTCACGGGGGGGAGAGGGGGGAGGGGGAGTGCAGGGACGGGTGGGGCTGTCACGGGGGGAGGGGGGGTGTGCAGGGACGGGTGGGGCTGTCACGGGGGGAGGGGGGTGTGGTGTGCAGGGACGGTGGGGCTGGAGAAATTAGCAAGGAGCTCGAATTAGTAATTGGACGACGACAACCGGGTGGGTGAGTGAAAATCATAGCAGTTGAAACTTGGCGCGGTTTATCACATCCTTCCAATGATTGCTCAATCTAAATCCATCTTCTCGATTAAAGTTTTGTCTGTGTTTGTATATCTGGATGGCTTCATGAACCAATCTCTGATGGTGGCCAGAGGGTTTGCAGAGCACCTTGGTCTCGGAGAAAACAATGTCACGTGTGCCCACAGCGTTGAAACAATGATCCACCACTGCCGAGGTGTTGGTTCTGCCATGTTTCAAATCCGCTTTGTGTTTGCGAACCTGGTCTGAGACACGTCGCTTCGTTTCACAAATGTAACTACTGGCACAGACACAACTCAGCTTATAGACACCAGGACATTGCATGTCCGGAATCGCATCCTTCACTGATGGGATCAAATCACGGATTTTGTGTAATATATTGAACCGAACTTGGATCTTATGTTGGTTCAAGATTTTGGCAATCCTTTTGGTAACCCCTGCTATGTATGGCAAGGTGATGGTTTTGATTGGGTCCTCAGATGGTTCTCTACCCATGGTTGGGGATGCAGCTTTGCGGATTGTGCGGTCAGAATATCCAATCCCCCTGAGAGCCTGGCATACGTGTTCAAGCTCACTGGCTAGGTGGTGCTGGTCGGAAATGCAACGGGCCCTATGGTGTAGTGTTTTGATGAGGGAATTCTTCTGGGCTGGATGGTGGTGGGAGTCAGGCTTTAGATCGGAATCCGTGTGGGTGGCTCTCCTATAGACAGAGTGCCCCAACTTGCCATCATTTTCCACTTCCTGGATGTTTTGATCGAGAAGAGAACTGATGGCTCGTGGGAGCGTTCCTGCTGCTGAAACGCAGTTGCATTTAAACCGCTCTGAAGAAGCTTACAGCGCGTGCAGCAAAACGTCGGACACCGTGCCGAACAGCACGCGGTGGCACAACCCGAAAACTCGCGCAGCGATGGGAGCGACTCATGCGCAGATACTGGATGGATAGCTACACCGCAGGGCCGAAACCTCACGACTTTCATAAAACCTCCATCCAGCAGCAGATCGCTCATGGGCGACGGTGAATTAAAATGAGATATTGTTTTCCGGAAGCACAGCACACCTGCCCAAACCATTACACACTGAATGGGGGTGGCGGGGGGTGGTGTGCACCAGTGACGTGCGGTGAGGTCAATGGCTGGGGAGGCACTGGGTGAGTATCAGAGCCAGATTCACACACTTAGGGGGCGTGGCCTCACTGAGGGGGCGTGGCCTCACTGAGGGGGCGTGGCATCACTGAGGGGGCGTGTTATTCTCATTCTACGTGACTTTACCGAAAGAACGCCCCCCTCAGTGAGGCAGATATGATAGCTGCCTCCCCTGGTGCTTTTTCATTGCAGTTTCGTGACGAGACCAGCGAGCCTAAATATCTTTATACACAATACGTCAAATAAGTTACTTGGAGTATGGAAGGCGAGGACATGAAATGAAGGGGTCTACAAACATTACATTGGTGACATACTGAGATAGTAACAGGCACGCGCTTATTGCCCGTGCTCCATCCAGCTACTGAGGGGTTGCGCAATCAAAGGGGAGGCTGTGCTCGTCGCTGTCTCACCTCTCGTCTCTTCCTGTATTCGAAGCGGAGCTCCGCAAATTTGGCGATTTTGACCAAAAAAATGATTGTAATCGTACAGAAATGACATTTATAACACAGATCAGTGGAAAAAAATCTTTATATTTATTTTATTTATTCTTTTTTTTACTTTTCGTAAAAGCTATTTTCATTGGAGTATATGACAGGTGAGGCTCTGCCTCCCCTGACCGCACGTCCCTGGTGTGCACGCTCCCCACCCAACACGGATCCAGCAGAACAAGAGCGGCATCGCATCAAATCAAAATCCTTTATTTACACAAAGCATCAGGGCCACGGTTCATAACAACCACACAGCAGACGTTTGTACGAATAACTTTCGCGTGGTACGTAGCCAACCACAGATGTGGGATTTGGTCCTTAATTAATGTACAGCAATGTGGGATGCCTGTTGGTATGAATGACGCTATATGAAATGGGGCCCCTTTGAGCTGACAAGATGACCTTCGCAGCCGATTGGGCCTTCTCTCTCTCTCACCAGCAATTGTGATAGAGGTAAAGGCACAGCCCTGCACGCCCAGGAGCTGGAAGGAGCCTTGCTGGAGGTGTTTGTCCGGCTGTTCCAAGCTGGGCAGTTGTGGGGGTACCCACACTTTACCCCACCACACACAACCTGCCAATTGCCTAACTAGTAACTAGCTGTACAACTTAAGACGGCAAAGAAAATAGCAATACAATAGGAGGAGTTACACGTGGTTAAAACCTTAAGCATATACAGGTAGTCCCCGACTTACGATGGAGATGCGTTACGACGACCCCATCGCAAGTCGAAAATATCGTAAGCCGAAGATGGCCTAGCCTACCCAGGAGTCTTAAAGAATGGTGATAATTTAGCAAAACAGAGCAATTTACAGTACCGTACAGTATAAACTATATACTGTATGTATCTATTAATTACAATAATGTATTGCACAGTAAAATTTTAAGTAAAAAAACAAGGTAAATTCTTAGCCTACCTATATGAACTGCAATTTCATATAAAGTTTTTTCAGGAAACAATCCTATCTGCTATAAAAAAAACTTTTAACATGCATTGAACGTATGTATCGTATCGTGGTAACCCTAAAATTGAATCGCTACGTATCATACATGCATTGAATGTATCGTAACGTATCATATTCTACTGTACTCACCAAGATTCTGTCCGTCGTCTGCAAACTTGAACGATGTTAGGTTGCTGATGGCTACATTAACTTAGTTGTCGGAAGAGGAGGATGGCGATGATAAAGTTACAGTATCGTACCTCGTACGCTGCTGCGTTTGCCTGCCGCGTGAAATTGAAAATATTTAACAATTTTGTCATATCACTATCGCCATCGCAAGATCAAAATATCGTAAGTCGGACCATCGTAAGTCGGGGACTACCTGTATACATATATAGCTTGCACGATTAGAGAACGTAAAAATATCACGATCAAGTTATGATACGTGTTGAACTTTTTTTATAACAACAATGAGCATCGAGCACTAAACGATGTCCCCTTGGGGGGGGTGGGCGTCGATTTTTTAAAAACGCAGTCACCGAGCAACGGTCGCCCGAGGGCCAAACGGCGGGCGGGCCGCCGACGTTCAGAGGCCGAGCCAGGCCTGGCCGAGGGTCGTGAGCACAGCCACCCACAGCACGGTGCGGGGCAGCAGCGGCACGACCGCCGAATCCCCGCCGCCTTTCACGTTGCTCTTGCACCTGGCGCAGTCGGGCCCGCACAGCGAGCACAGCTCGAGCGTGGAGAGCGGCGCCGACGAGTACACCCGCTCCACCCTGCGCCCTGGGGGGGGGGGGGGCGGCGACACGAGGAGCGGCGCGGCATTGGCGGGGACGGCACCGGCGGGGGGAGGACACAGATTCCCGCGCCGGTCGGCGACGCCGTGGAAGGGAGAGCAAATGGGATTGGGCCGGGACGCGTCGCTCCGAGAAACGACGGCACAGTGGTCGAGAATTAACTACGGAGTGGCGGTCGAAGGTAAGAATGTGTCCCTGAGAGTGCGTTCACCGCGGAGACGGAGCGATTAAATCGGATCGTGTGCAGGTGCCAGGTGGCTTTGGGAGGCCATCATAATCCAACAGTGGATTGATCGTGGCTGATGACGACGTTCAATTATCATTGCGTTTCAAGTCTCGAGACTTTTTCGGAGGGTGCTGCTGAACGTTAAATCATAAGAGAGTAATCTGCAGGTTCATTTTCAACATTGGGATGTTTGTCCAAATGGAACAACCCAGAAGATACCCATGTAGGACTGGGGAGAAACTTTTCACAGAAAAGGCACCCGAGTCAGGAATAAAACCCAATCCCCGCTTGCGGTGAGGCATGAGCGTTAGTCTTGTGCTGCCCGCCAGGGTGAATGCACTCACTTGGTTCGTAGTAATCGCTGATGGCAACCGATCCCTCCTTGGCTTTGGCTACGAAGGCCACTCGGTAATGTGGGATGAACACGCACGTCTGGCTGCCTGTCAGCTGAAAACGCAACCAGAAACACTATGCATAAACATCCAATGTAAAAAAAAAAAATCACTTTGTTTTTTCTTTGCTTAAAATCTAATGAGTACAATATATTAATTACCTCAAGCTTGTGCACTGCGTTTGAATGTCGCAAACACATCGCATCAGCTGTGCTGGACAAATGCAAGCAAGAGAGGGTTCGCGATTGAACGTGTGCATTGCGATTGGCCGGGTGGTTCAGCGGTAGAGCAAGTGGCTCACAATGGAAACTCTGCGAGTTCAATTGCAGGGAAGTCAATAACCATGGTTGTACTATGGATAGCCTCGCCCTCTCCATAGGAATTGGGCATTTCCACCGCTGGCTCGTGGATGTAAACGGGAGATGATTGGTGGGAGACGTGTAGAAGCTTTAAAAACAGGATGTTGATATCTATAGAATTTATCCCGATCGTTTCAGTGGGGGTTGGGGGGGAAGAGAATCTATGAATGCATCACGCCGAAACATCTGCATGTACGGCTCTCCGATGGGCTTCCCTTGGTTCCTGAAAAAGCTCCCTTTGCGCGTATCGAAACGTCGGACATCACGCCGAGCAAAGACATGCGTCATGGCCGGAAAAACAGCGGAGAGCTGCACAGCAGCACGACCGTGACCTTCTGCTTCTCCTCGTGCACCGTGGACGCGCGTTGCAGCACGCGGCCGTCACGCGCGACCTGGGTCACACACGCCACGCGCTCCACGTGCTTGTAACGTACTTTCACCAAGTAGAGGTAGAGCTTCCCCGGAGATTCCTCCACCAGCTTGAGGTTACTGATCATCACTATCTGGTCCTTGGCCGCCACGAAGCCACTGAGCAGGTTCACCTCCATGAGCGCCATGCCGGACTCGCCATCGCCCTTCCAGCTGGTGTGGGGACACGGGGTCATGCCGATGCGGAGACACGCACGGTAAACCCAGCACCAAGAGGTGACGCAGCTCAAGAACGACTGCCGACCCGGACGAGCACCGCACATGCCATCGCAGCCGCATTGCAAACCTCGCTCGCTTCTGGAAGGCTCGTAATTTAAGAGCAAAAGTTGGGAATGCATCTCAATCCGATAGACACGTGCAGATGTGTTGTGTGGAGCTGTGGTATAGCAGTTAGCGAGCAGAGCTGTATTCCCACTCGGGAGACAAAGGTGGTTGTGCATGGTGCTGGCCACCCACCTCGTGTACTGTGCAGGCCTTTATAAAGATCTTCGCTAACAGTACTCGCCCCAACAGTTCGTTAAGGCTACATGGGGGATCTTTATAGTGTCAAATTTGCATAGATTTATGGACACTGGGTACAAGATCGAGGTGCATATTTGCAGAGCATCTCATAATCCATAGGATATGGTATCACTTTTCCACTGGCACATCCAAGCCAAGTCAGCGTGTGGCTCTCATTGTACGGGGTGGTTTACCACTGATCATTTTCCAAGCCAGTCCAGAACCAAACCTCCGACACCTAAACTATGGCCTGAGGCCAAGCAGGGCAAGGACTTTCCATCGCACGTTGCATCAGTCTCTACACTTGAACGTACATATGTACGGAGAGCTTATTTCCCACCGTACATAGGCAACCATGCTAAAATCGGAGGTGAACGCGTGACACGGACGTCACACGTTCATTGCGTCCGACGTCAGCAGCACGGCTAGACTCCCACAGGGGAAAAACAACTGGGTGCCTCGCTCTTCCATTCCAGCTCCACGTGGCCCGGGCATCGTTTGGCTGTGCAGCGGAAAAAAGATGAGAGCTGAACCTCCTTTCCCCCGTCCGCCCTGCGCGCGTGGCGCCCGTACCTCGTGCACACCTTCAGCTGCATCATCTCCCCAATGGAACCGTTGGCATGTCTGTCGTCGAGCCCCACCACCAGCTCGAAGCTCGGGACGGGAGCCGCGGCGCGGGCGCTGCGCCGAGCCACCGCCGGGTGCACGTTGTAGAAAACGTTCAGCTGCGGAGAGAGCACGGTCGCGCCGGGTGGACGATGAGCAATGCGCACGCGCATAAGCTCGCGATTGTTGGCCCGAGGGGGGGCCACCGAAGACAAATCGTTTTTGGCGCCAGTTTGACTGTGCCCCCCCCATCCCCTAAACTGTGACAAGCCCCCAGTTTCCCCCCCAGCCGCCCGTGCTGTCAACTCCTTGCCCCTGTTCAAATCCAGGCTCAAGGCCTCACCCTATATTCGTTTCGGCGCGAGCTTAACCCGCGTCGTGCCGTCTCGTACCTGCGCGATGATAGTGGCAGACCCATTCGTGGACAGCGTCACGTTCATGTTGGGTCTTGGGGGAATCTGTTGAAAAATATAACAAAGGAATTAGAGACGTTTGTAACCAAAACCGGTTTTGTGAAGGAAGAAGAATTCGAGAATTCCGGACTGACACTGCTGATCAGTGTGTAGCTGTTTTCGCAACACAAATGAAACATTTAATCTTTCATAATTTCATATTTTTCCACCCACGTGATCCCAATTGTGCAATTGGCGATGCGTCACGAGACAAAGAATCATCTTGGATCTCTCGCAGAGCAATGCGGCCATTCGTGTTGGATCACGACCCGTGGAAGCGCACATTAAAGAGCTACTTCTGATATTCCCTCGAGTGCCGTCTGGTCCACACACAGTAGGGGGCAGCATTCACACGCCTGCCACGCCCACGGCATGACCGGCGGATGGATATTTGTAACTTTCAGAGCTGGAATTTAGCCAAATTAAGTGCAGAACCAGAGAATAGACTCCCACAGACTCACACATTTATCCTGTGATACGGTGGGGAGTTGATCAACAGCTTTGGTACATACATGTCGAGATTAGTGAATGGACCAGTCGATGGCTTCAGGAGCAGCCTGGTGAATATCCGAAATGATGCTCGTGAATGATCAGAGCAGGCAATGGCGTTGCTACATGGTCCACGGTTTAATACAGAGACTTAGACCCCACAGACTCGCAGAGACCCACAGACTTAAGACCCAGGCGGGCAGTGGCGGTTGTGCCATCGCGCAGGGGGAGATCTCCACCACGTTTGCAGAGCTAGGGAACTGCGGCACCACGCACACCTCAATGCTGTGTCTCTCCATGACACTCGTGCCAGTGAGCTGAAAGGTGCGTGGGACGCCCAGGCCCGGCGCCGACACCGTCACCGCGCCGGCCGCCTGCATCGACGACGCCACCGTGAACTCCGACAGGGCCTGCAGCGCCACGACCGTGTCCTGGAAGAGATGCGACGATCAACGTGAGCAGAGCCTATAATCGATCCTTGCGCTTTAAATCAAATTTGAGTCCATCTATGTTCGGAAAAGAGGAGGGGGGAGACGAAAATAATGGATGCGGTCTGAAAGCCACCATAACCGTGATCAATCAATTAAGACCCGAAATGGTTTATCAAATCCTTCCAATGATTGCTAAGCCAGAATCCATCTTCTCGGTTGAAATTGTCTCTGTGTTTGTATATGTGGATAGCCTCATGAACGAATCTCTCATTGTAGCCAGATGGCTTGCAGAGAACCTCTGTCTTTTGTTTGCGCGATCCTCCCTTATACAAAGCAAATTCGATTCTGCCGATGGTGGAGCCTGTAAGCACAGAGTACGGCCCTCACCTGGGTGGAGGAGTATCCTCCCAGGTGGTTCCGCTGCTGACTCAGCCACTTCATGATGGGCGTTCCTTCGATGACCTTGCCCTGGTGCAGGTGAGCGAGCAGCGCGTACGCAGTGGCCTCAATGGTGACGGCCGATGGCTGCCACGAGTACTGCAGCTGACCCGACGTCGTGTCCTCCCAAAACTTGAGGCCATCTGCCAGAACATACGGGCCGAGTCGGCACAACTCCATCGCGACGTTCTCGAACAAACAAACGTCGGTCACAACTTCCGTCGAGTATCAGGCAACCTAGCGCACCGAGATTGGAAACTGTTGGAAGTATTCCCCTCTCGCACACAATTGAGTGTGGCTAAAAATACTTGCAGTGACACACAAATTGATTGTGTGGGCCCATTCCAACTGCTAGGCCTCACGTGGCCACGGGCCATTTGCAGCGAAGTCACAGGGCCACGTGAAATGAAGTCGCGGGCCGCAGCTTCCCCACCCCTGGTTTTGGACGGCGGGTGCCCCGGGCCTCACCTTTTTCGGTAGCGCGTGCGTTGAGCAGCGCCAGCGCCGCGCCGGCATGGCTGCTGTTGGCGAGCGCCAGGGCGTACGCGGTGAGCGCCAGGGGAAGGTTCGTCGCTGCACCGCCCCCGGTGACGTTCGCCTCCAGGAATTGAACGGATCTCACGTACGTGGCCGTGTTGGCCTTCCACGCGGACACGCGCAGGAAGAAAAAAACGACAATGTCAGCAGCGACGCCCGATCAATGTCAAATCCAAAACGGACAAGCGCTTTGTACGACGAGCGCTCGAACCGCTACCGCCACCATAGTCAAGGCGAATTTCTAAATTGTGATTGTAAATTATAGAGGGAAGTCTGTCAAGCACAATTTAACTTGATAGTCGATTGATTGTTTGGTTAGGTTGCATTGGTAATGATCCGGCCACCACCCGACAGTCAAGCAAATAAAAATTGTTATGCGACAAGTGTTTAACAATTCACCAGTTACTAAAATCAACTCCACCACCGCTGAGTTTAGCAGCGCCCAGACGCACGACGTTTCGCTTGAAACTGCCTCAAAACAGCTAGGAGGAAGGTTTTCTGACAGAATTTTAAAAACTCAATTAAGGATCACTCACATTTGGCTGCGAAATCTACCTGCGTGTGCAGTTCACAAATTCACTTAAAGAGCAGGCGAGAGCCCGACCAGGACACGTCTATTTTGCGAGTGAGCGACGCTTGCAAGCAGCCCTCGTGAGAGGGCCCGCTCCCCGGGTCAGTGCACCATGTACCGTGGGGTCCTCCAGGAAGGCGAGCAGCGTGTAGGCCGTGAGACTGATGGCCCCGGCGGAGCCGCCCTGCAGCTCCTTGTGGATGACGTTGCCACGCTCCACGAACTTCCCAGATGGCAGCAAGGCACCCAGCAGGAAGTTGCGGGCCCGGAAGACCACCTGCTCGTCCACCGAGATGTAGCGCCGGGCCTGCATCAAACTCCGCAGGACGAACGCCGTGAGCCTGCGCAGGTGGGACGAGGCGGAGGGGGAGAGGTGGCGCAGATATGGAATGAGCACCGGTTTAAACGGCGACGTTCTGGTTTGGCGGCGAGGTGCGTGGCCACCAGGGGAGCAGCATTTCGACGCCCCGGCACCTCAATGAACCGAAGCGCAAGGCCATGGATGCAATAATAAAAAAGATGTTTTACATTCTGCTGAATATAGCGGCCTCTAGTGGCTGCAGGGGTCATTTGAACCAATACAATTTTACAGCGCCTTGGGTCAATCCATCGCTGGGTGAAGGCTCCTCACGCCGTGTGGAGCGTGGAGGTATCTGTGGCCGGAAATGGGGTTTGTTTGCCCAGTGGGCTAACCACTGCCCCATCACTCCGCGTACAGATCGAGAGGGTCGGTTTTGAGTTGCACAATTCGCCGCGCGTTTCGCCAGCTTGGAGAATTGATGCGAGCGCCGCTCCACCCCTAGGGTCCCGTGGTGCGGTTGGGCGTCTGCGCACGCCACCACTTGCCATGTGCTGCCCACGCTGTCCCTGTTTCCAAAGGCGCTGAAGGACCCGTCATTCCTCGCGAAGGTGAGCTCACGCTGGTAGCCTATAAGAACAAAACAAAGATAAAGAACGCCACCATTTAGCAGCAACATCCTTTGCGGAAGTACTGTTAGCGCCTATGAAGGCCCGCATGGCACACGAGGGGATGGGTGGCCAGTACCACGTGCGGCTGTCTTTATCTCCACAGTGCCGATACTTACACACCGCACCAGCTACTCATTTGAGACCGGGTCAACCTAGGATAGGCCTAGGAGCTGTTGCCTGTGAGAAGGAATCGAACTCGGGTTACTGGGTTCGTAGGGCAGCACGCTAACCGCTGCACCACCGCTCTCCACACTAGCATATACCGGTCCGTTAGCCAGCGCATGACCACAGACGTTTCTCTATATGTGGGACTTATGAATCAAAATATTGGCTGCGAAAACCTCCATCTTAACATAATGGAACTTTACAAACTAGATTCATGTCTGCATCACACCTTCAGTGAAAGGATCACCCCCCAAGGGATCGCTCACTCTGCATCATAATTATGATTGACGATCCTGAACTCACCGATTCACTCGTCACTTGCTCACCAGCGGTCAGTCACCTCCTTGTCACTCTTCTATCGCAACTGCTACCATGGTTACTACTCCCGTGAGCTTCACTCCACCCATGTTGAGGACTCTCTCCCAGATTGACAGACTCGTTTCATCCGCACTGTTCAACCACCACACTGTAGGCCATAACACTCACGTCCATTACAACTCTGACGGTGCTGTTTGTTGGTCGCTACTTGGCGTTTCGGCCCTTTGGTCCTTTGCTCAGATACAGTGATGTTAATAAATGATAATAAGAAGAAGAACGGTGTACTCTGTTCACTGGCTAAATCACGTAGCACAGGCGGTGGGCTCGCAACGTCGGCGGACGCTCTTCCCGCGGCGGATCTGGCGTAAAACTCCTGGCGGAGGAGCCAGGCCACGGGGCCACACGCGGCAGAGGGGATTGGCCCACGTTGCGCAGGGAGCCTGTGCCTCCATGCGGGGACCATTCCTGCATCAGCGCCATCGACGAGCGGTCGGTCGTCGCGGATTGCGTCAAATACGACTCGGCGACGATCGGAGGGCACCGCTCGCCAGCTGGCTCCTGGCGGCTTCCACGCGAGCCGCATTAATTAGAAGCCACGAGCTCTTGTCTCACGATCCCCACGCCGCCCGCCTGTCACCTGACGTCATGTAGTTCTGCGACTTCTCCCGGACAGAGATCGTGATCTGCATCGTGAGCTCCAGGTAGATGCGGATGTAGATCCCGGGAGCTAGGTAGATCATGGTCTGCTCGCCGCAGCCGCACGGCATTTGCAGCAGGTTCTCGAGTCCGACTATCGACGGCCCCATGATGCTGCCTGGGGAGGAAGAAGGCGCGCCGCATGTGGGCGAGTCAGAGTAGGAGACGATGCCGTACCCGCACGAGTGCGATTACGGGCCGCGATCATCGAGGCGGCCGGGAGTCGTGTGGAAGGATTAAGGAGAGGAGTGCGGAACTTTTCCCGACCGAGCGCCTCACAGGACTTCTCGGATAAGTTTGGTAGCCCACCACACATTTAGACGCCGTACATTTGGATTATGCGCGTTCTTGTTTGCCACCGGGCATTGGTCCATTGTGGACAGAATCGATAAATGCGAAGTAACGCAACTTCCATTCGTATGGCAGCGTCTAAAACGCAACCGCGTCTCCACATGCTTCACCAGAGAAAAAGCATTTGGTGCCATGGACATGAACAAAGACAACGGGAGCAGAAGTCGAGAAGGAGCGACTTCTCCCCACGGAACAAAGATAAGCAGAATCTTTCGCGCTTCAGAAGACATGCACACACCCCCCCACGCCCGCCCGCCCTCACTGTAGATGTAGATGATGGCGGTGCCGCTGCCGTCCACGAAGTTGAACGGGAAGACGAAGAGGAAGTTGAAGGTGGCATTTGTGGGCGACAGAATGATCATCGCGCTCTGCGAGTGAGTCTGTGGGAATCCTGGGAACTGCGGAGACCAACGATACCAAACCCCCCCCCACCATCGCGAGTCATAAATTGAATCGTGGCTCCCCATATCGCGACGATTCAATCGATCGGGGGAGCGTCAATGCAACTCGTAACGCGCCGCTCATCCGCTTATCGCTCACGTAGAGAGAGGACAACTAGGAGGCGCGAGGATGAACCACAGATGAGCCGGAAGGCAGCAGCTACGCGGTGAACCGGCACTAACAACATTGCCCAAGCTCTGCAGTCCCCGATATATTAAATTGTTTTCAGCCAATTAAAGAGCATTCACATGTGGGAGGAAACCGGAGCACCCAGAGAAAACCCACCGGTGTGGCAACCCTCCATCCCATACAGATGGAATGAATGAGGTCCACATTTTTCCTTGACTGCATTTTCCTGGAGAGCCAAGGTAGGGCGCCTCCATGACATCTATGGGAAGGGAGCTTCCACCAACCCTCGCCTCCTCCACAGTGCTGGTTACAGGCCACGTGCGTAGCCACCACTGCCCGACTATCATCATCAGCAACACCACTCAAACGTTCATCGATACCACGAGCCACTAGGCACCGGCTCCTCAGCGGGTGAGAGGAAGGGTGGTGCGATAACGTGTGATGATGTGAGATGGCGCACGGTGCGATGGCATGTCAAGGCAATTTATTTTCCGTTGACACGTGGTGCCTTTCTGGCACAAATCTGCCACCCAAACCGATGATGCGTGCCGGCACGTGGCTCACGATGACGACAGCGGTGCCCGCGCCAGCTCACCTTCACGACGACGCGCGCCGTCACGGTGTAGTTGATGCCCTGGTAGGAGACGACCACTGTGAAGGAGACCTCGCCCACGACGAGCAGCGACACGGCGAATGACGCGGTCCTGAGCTCGCCCGCGGGCACCACGAGGCCGCGCTGGTTGGCGACGGTGCCGGCCGACGGGAAGAGCACGGTGAAGTTGGCATCGCTCTCCTGCAGCGTCGCCACGACCTGCGGAGGCGGCGATCGACCGAGCTCCAGGTTAGGGAAAATGAGCGCACGACCTGCACCGGGCCTCTAGTGTCAATCAGTGAAGGCGGGAAGCACAAGGGTGACAGCAAAGAAGGGCACCACAGCTGTAGCATTTGTTACACTGGTCCCACCAAGTAGCATGTTGCCATGCAAGGTCCTCACTCACCCAAACAAAATCCGCTTAGCTTTCAAGATCTGGCGAGACTGGACACGGGTGCTTTGGTTGAGTCATTTGAACTTTCAATTTTACTCTATTTAATCGTTAGAGGTTCTGGGGTGGCATGGGCCCTGCTGCATAAAGTTTAAACGAGGCCCTCCCTGGCAACATCACCCACGACTGCAAGGAGGATGCATTCCCCACCCCCCAACACTGCCCCCTTGCACCCCCCCCCCCCTCATGTTACCTCGGCCGCCCCTGTCTCTTGGTTGTTGAAGACGGTGGCCACCACGATGAACTCCTCCCCCAGAATGGCGACTTCCGGAACGTTCATGGAGATGTGCAACGGCGAAAACACCTTCAGCTACAACAACAACATCATCAACAAATTTTGATTTAAAGCTTTCGTGACTGCAGTAATTCATATTCTTAGTTCTTTCGGTAAAGTCACGTTGAAGGGAAACAATAAAATAATAAAAGATATCATTATATTATTGGTAATGTCACGTTGAAGGGAAACAATAAAATAATAGAACATTATTATTTTATTGTTTTCCTTCAACGTGACTTTACTGAAAGAACTAAGGATATAACATCATCAACAATGTATCGCACACCTTCCTCCACAAACGCGTCGGTCATTGCGCGACGCCACATTGCAGAAACGATGCTTTCAGCCTTGCCTAGTACGTGCAACGTGGGGTACACGTGACATGCGCGCAAGGCATCATGGGAGTCGTCCACGTGAGCGGCGAACTCTGCCTTGCGCCGCACCCTCCACGGCGGGTGCTCTCCCGCCTTCTCCACAAACGGAGCGAGAGGAGCGACCCCAACGCGACTGCGGCGCACCGCGACGAGTGGCGGATCGCATCGTACGCCACCGCAGTCTCTCCGCGCGAGTCTCTGGGTCTCGAGGCGGGGGTGGTTCACGCGCGCCATCCCACGGGAGGCAGCGGCAAGACGTCTCGATTTGTTGCGAAGCTACTCAATCCATACCCGTACGGAAGAAGCAGCAGCAGCTGTGTGCAAGCGCAGCTTTGTGGGTACGCGAGAGGTTGCTGTACCTGGGTGCCGGTCTTTGCCAGGCCGAGGCCATTGGTATTGGACATAGACAGGGCATAGCCCTCCCACACCGTGTTGATTCCCGGGACGGTGTCTGTGAACGTGCTCCTCCTGTTAGGTCTGGACAAGAGAAGGGTGGGGGCGAGGGGGAGGTGCAGTCTCAAGTCGGCACCAAGGGCGTCCATCCACGGACGAGGTCTTTCTGCGACGTTTTCACTCGGGACATCGATGATCCCCTCCCTCTACGATTCCACTGCTAAAATGCTCGGCCATAAATGGGTTACGAATCTATCATCACAGATGATGACGATGATGCCCGGGGGTTGGTGGACCACGCAAAATTTGTGAAACCCTCTATATGTGGGCTGCGAGGAGTGAGCAAATACCGTGCGGTGCATTACAAGGCGAAATAATAACTCTTATCCTCATCAGCCAGGATCCATCCACTGCTGGATGAAGTCCTCCCCTGCCTTAGTGCACCGCAGTCTTTAATCGTGTTGCAAAACTTTCTCAGTCTGCGTCTCCGGACTCGAGACTTTCGTCTTAGCCGCTCGTCACCATCGCGGCTAAAACAAGAAAGCACTCCAATGGTGAACACGAAGCTTTGTTGATGAATATTCCATCCAAGATAGAACCGTTAATGCCCGAATCTTGGGCATAAAAAAAAAAAAATCGGTGAGAGTGAAAGAGCCTCTTCAGCCAAGGCGGTGACATCACCGCCCCCTCCCTCAATGTCTCCCACCCTCCACGACACTCTGTTAAGGACTTACCCCAGAATGCCCGTCTGCCACAACCAAAACTCCGAGTTGGAGACTTGAACGTCCGGTTGAGGCGCCATCTCCCCCATTTGCTCCACCTCCCCCATTTGTGCAAGATGGTCAATGCCTGCAGGGGGGAAGACGACGAGGTCACGCGACGAGGTCACGCGACGAGGTCACGCGACGAGGTCACGCGACGAGGTCACGCGACGAGGTCACGCGACGAGGTCACGCGACGAGGTCACGCGACGAGGTCGTTGTTCGCCCACCCACCCATCTGTTCATCTACGCCTCTGTATGCAAGGTCTCTATCTATGTAAGTCTATGCTTTCCTAAGGAAGTATATGGGTCTCTGTAAGCCTCCGAGTCTCTGCATAAGCCTATGGGTCTAGGCTCAGAGCCTGGGATAGAAGATAGCCCAGCCAACACCACAGGAGCCAGACTACAGCCACCTGTGATTAAAACCGGGCTCTTTATGGCAGCGAGTTGATGGTCTCAGTCTGACTGCACACAAAAAAACATCAGGTCTGAGAATTATACAAATTAGTTTGATCATTGTGCGATAAACTTTACTCTTATTTTGTAGAGCAAACAAAAGCAAAGCAATCTTGTGAAGATTACGACAGCAAGCAGAGATCTCACCACAACTCTCCACTCATTTCTCAGAACCGGGTTGCATTTGTTCAAGACGAGTCCATTTGTCGTCCAATTTTCTCTTGAACGGACATTTAACAGAAGCCGGTGGCACAGAGAGGAAAAGGTTGAGGCAGCCGCCCCGCGGCCACGTCACTCACCCCAGCCCTGCAGGTCCCCGTCCAAGAGGTATTCCAGGCCGGCCGCCTGTGGGGAGACGGTGGCAACACAAACGGTCAACGTCCCCATCCCATCGCTCGTCGATCATTGCCGAGGTGAAGCGGTCGTCGCCCTGTGCATGCAATCCAGAGGTCACCGCTTCGATTCCATCTCCCTGCAAGGCAGCTGAAACTCGGGGCGAGGTCTTTGAATCCTCCCGCCACCGCTGTCGACCCACACGAGGGAGCTTCCGAGAGCTCGATCTGGAGTGCGCTTGGCCTACTCTTCCGTGCTGGCTGGACGTCTCTCGGAAAGACGTGGGAGCACCCACACTTAACCCCACCACATGCCCACGTACACCGATGGGTGGAGAGAGGCGGCGGGGGTGTGCGAATTACGGAGCCTGGCACCGCGGCGTTTCCATTGCGGGGTGTGCGGTGCTGGGCAATGAAACCTCAAGCGGTTGATCGGTGTCCCCTAAAATGACGCGCCCCCTCCAAATTGTGATTGTAGCATTGCCCAGCCGGAGGGGCGGGGTGGCAGGGGGCCGGGAGAGGCAACCCGCGAGCAGAGGCGGTCTGGTGGAGCGGCCTTACCTCGAACTTGACGTGCATCCAGTTTTGCAAATCAGAGTCCAGCTGATAGATAACCTGATGGCAGGAGCAGAAGACAACACAAAAGTAGATATTTCGGCGCCAAATTATGCATTTGTAAACACAACCATTTGGCAACAAGTTTTCTTTTCCAGGCAGTATTACTGACTAAGCATGTGGAATGTGTGTATTATTAAACAAAGAATACAAACGAAGCGCACTCATGGACTCCGTAACATCGTGCAATGCGCGCTCATCCTCGGGGAGGTGTACGATTCGCGACACGGCGGTGACTTCCGAGCGGCGCGACGGGACAGCGCAAGACGTAGCAACGCCAGCTCGTCTAGCACTGTCCCGTAGCACCGTCCCGTAGCGACGCCAACTCGCTATGGGACGGCGTGAGACGTAGCGGCACCAGCTCGTGACGGCGTCACCGGGAGAGGCGGCCAGGCACGTGCATGGTGTGTGACATCACCTTTGCCGAAAAGGGGTTATCCATTATGTCAGATTTAACATATCGTACAAGCAAATTAACTCTGATTCATTTGCCCGGTTTTATTTTGAGCGATAGAATGTTGTGCTAATAATGTAATTATTAGTAGAACAACTTGACGAGAGTAACCGTGACCCCACGGTGTTGGCAGAGGTACAGACGGAGGCAGCGAACGCATTCGCACGTTAATCCCTTTCTTTGGAAGGTTTTCAAATGTGAAACTCACGTGTGCACACAGCCACGGGGAGCCTCTGCTCCCGTGATTCTATCACACTACAACAGACCGCAGTCCCAACGACAACCAGCAACAAGACAATGCCTAACGACGTGCCGTTCAAATGATCTCCGCTCGTTTAATTTTGTCTGGCGCAACTTTTTCAGCTAAAGGTCAGAAAGGATGGCGGGAGCTTGACCCAAGGGCATGCCACAAATTACTCAACTGAGATTCAACGTAGTAATTATTGCCTCCTACTGGCAGACTAATGCCCCAGGAACCTCTTGTAAATGAGACTCATCCTGGCCTCTTGAGTTCTTACCTGTTTCAAGTTAACTTGAAGTACTACTTGCCATTTGGCAGAGGACTAAACAAGAAGAACCCCCTCTTAAATAAATGTGACCGAAGATCAAAGCATGTAAAGAAGCAGAGATAGGTGCATGCTTGATATTATGTGGAGAGATTTGAATTTGTGAAAACGTCTGGCCAAAAGCGTTGCTCGAAATGACAATGGCCAATGGTCAAGACTAACGACTGAGCAGCAGTCGGAGGAGGGAACACCCGAGAGGACATCCACCGTAGGAACGGAGCGATGAAAGAGTCTCGTGTGCAAGCGCTAGATGGATCACAACGGAAACTTATGGCAATGGCTTGGGAAGGCCTTCAGCCAACAGTAAATGGATGATCGCTCACCGTGTTCTCCATGTCCAAGTTACTTGCCCTTCCGTCCGTGGAGTACGGGGACACGGCGACTCCCACAAACGACCCGGGGTCAGAGGCCCTCACCTCCAGGCTCACATTATCTCCAGGCATAGCCGTGGCCTTGCTCCAGGTCACGGTCACCTGTAAGAAGAGCACAAACGCGTTCACGGCGCCAGACATCCACCAGCACCGCCACCACCGCCGACACCCCTGGCTCTTCACCAAAGTCAAAAAGATAAAGCTGTCAAATATCAACCAAGACAGCCGAGCATCTGTCAGCCTCTGCCTTCTTCGGCACCGCATACTTATGTATAGCCACGCCTACTCAGCCACGAGCTCCACGCACACAGGGGAGCGGCCTTCTCAAGCCTTCGAGTTGGTTCCACCTACTGCCCAGAGGCCCTGCCCACCCATCAGCTCTACCCACAGATAGCGCCCTTTTTTCTACATCACCAGTTGAGCAGGAGACCAGGAAATGTTAAAGCAGGGATAAAACAGTCGAACAACTCAAAAATGTCAAGATGAAAAATAAAAGACTTTCCGAAACTACCGGGACTGTCCTGGGTGAACCGGAACTTTTTGTAGCTTTAGCCACACGCTCAACAGACACCACAACTGCTGTACAGGAAGACGGTCGCTCAATAATAATATGTGCTGCCACCCTCGGTCACTTGCATTTGGCCGATATAAATGCGATAGCTTTGGTCACAAACGGTTCACCGAACCGACGTGCATCACCACTTCCATCGCGTGCATACCTCGCACTCGAAATTCCGAACGAATAAACAGGGACAATGCGTCATAAAACATCCCTCGCCTCTCTTGTTCCCGCCACGTCTCTCCTTGTAGCGAGAATCGTCAAAAACCGTGAGAGCCGCACGGCGCGACCGCAACGTGAGGGGGAGGGACGCCCGTCATCGCCACACTCGCACTCACCTCGTTGAGGAGGTAACCCAGCACTGGCAGCGAGACCATGTCGTGGACGATCATGTTGCTGCTGTCTGTGTAATACGCGATGACGTGGGCCACGGGGCCCCAGGCCCGCGACGGCGTCAGCAAGAACCGCGGCATGGCCGCCGTGCCGGCCTCCACCAGTTGGCCCCTCGACACCACCTGGCACGCGGGGACGTCCGCCGCTCGGCAAATGAGCGCTACGTTCAGAACGCGTGCTCCCGGAGACGTCAGCCGGGTGCCGCTGCTCCACGCCGAAGTCCTCTCTTCCGTGCAACGCAAAAGCAAGGCGTGCGCACGCAGCAGCGTCCAAGCATAAGTACTACGTCTCAAGGCACCGTCCCGAACCCATGAGCCTCGTTGTTTATAGAGCGAAAGAGAAGGGGGGGGGGGTGGTCAGAAATAGGCAGAGGAGGTCTGGAGCCTGGTCTGGAGCCTGGACTGGAACGGGGGCAGGGAGTCAACAGCACAGACGGCTGGGGGAAGGGAGTTGCTGATAATTGGCAGGAGAGGAGAACCAGTGAGCTCCCACTGTGCGAAGGTTGTTCCGAGGTCTTCCGCAAGTGCGTGAAGGGGAGTAGACTGAGATGAGAGAGGCAGGAGAGTATGGAGATGAGCAGAGGGAGACATATAGGACGCACACAGAGATCCATACACAGGCCTGTAGACTTGCACAGAGACCCATCGGACTCCCTGCCCCTGCTCTAGCTGGTGCCCTTTGTGGTAATGGCCGTGTTGGGCGCACGCGTTACCTGGTAGGACACCTCTGTGATGTTATCCAGAGTTTCCACCGTGAAGGGAACAGGCATCCCAACCTGGAGACACAGCACACACCCACCCTGCAGTTACAGGGGACGCCATCCAAGCCAGAGCAGCACCTGGCTCCCGGCGTCACGCGGCCGGCATCGCACCGGTTCGACCCAGCGGCAGGAGCACCACAGAGCCCGCGTTGGTTTCGATGGCGCAGCCAGGACTCTGCTGAAATGACAGCTCCTTCAAGCACAACCCCCCCCCCACCTATTTTACATAGGCACACCCACTCGGGCACTAGCCACACCCACTCGGGCACTAGCCCCGCCAATACAGGGAGTGGCCCGACACTTGCTCTGCCCACTACTCGGGTTGCCCCACCTTTCACTTGTATTGTGAGTCGGGCATAAGGCTGCACTGCGTGGAACATGGGACACCGTGTGGCACCGCGTGGCAGGAGGTTCTCACCCTGGCGACGGACTGATTGGCGGTGAAATCCAAGCTGAGGCCGAGACGGAAATTCATGTTCATATACACCGAATGACAAAATTCGACCTCTCCAAATCGAGCCTAGTCATGCACAGACACGGAGACACATGAACACACAGGCACCGCGCTGTTAGTAGCAGCAGCAGCAGAGGTCGGGCTGGGTTTGCCACCTGAGATACAAAAAGAGCGGGACATTGTGAGAAGATCTCACAGCACTGCGTGTAAGCGGGTTGAGAGCCTGGATCGGGCCCCGTTGGCCAGCATGTGTACCAAGACCGGTGCGTGGTGCGTGTTCTGGGCAGCAGCAGGAGGCGCTGCAGTGAAATCCGTTGCTGTTCTGCACGCCCCGCACCTTCATCCTCACCCACACTCCATTGCACCACCACACTGCTAGACCACAACAACTCACTCACGCAACCACCACACTGCTAGACCACAAAAACTCACTCACGCAACCACCACACTGCTAGAGCACAACAACTCACTCACGCAACCACCACACTGCTAGACCACAACAACTCACTCACGCAACCACCACACTGCTACGTCACAACAACTCACTCACGCAACCACCACACTGCTACGTCACAACTCACTCACGCAACCACCACACTGCAGGTCGCCTCACTTCTCTCCCTCAGCTTCTTCCCCCTCGCACCGCTCCACTTTGGAATTCCCACCCATCGTCTATTTTCCCAAGCCTCCAAAATAACCTCGCTCAAATCAGAAAATAGCGTTACATTATTTATCTAAGATCCACGTTTATTCAAGCGCTCTTTGATGCCGTCCACTTGGCATGTGGGGCCTTTGGCTCCGCGCTCGGTGACGAGCCGGGTCCCGCGCTGCAGGGAGAACGCTTTGCAGGGCAACGTTCGAGAGAAACGCGGGAGAAGACGGAGCCCATGGGTTTTACCTCCACGAAGAGCACGATGGAGTCGCGAGACGTCGGTACGTCCACAGAAACGACCCCGCTGGCAGGGACCATGTAATTTCTTTGAAATCTTTGGTCGTTCAAAGATTGGTTGAGAAGCTTGCACCCATTCCTAGGCATCAATGATGAGGCCTGAGTTACCGTCACCATGAGCTTTGTGCCTAGATCCTGGGCCGTGAGTGGCTGGTCATCTGCGAGAGATACCCAGATCTGGAAAACACCGGACATTTGTCATACACTGTGACCCTAAAGCATTCGGCGTCTCTTTTTTTCATATATACACGCCATGTACACTTGTTAACAACAACAACAACAACAACTGTATGGGACTGAGTTACACAGTCAAGGGGTGAGCCCCTTGTGTGGAAATCCCAGCCGTGTTTCCCAACCCAGGTCTGGGAAGCCACATGGAGAAGCTAACGAGGGGGGTGTCACAAGACAGAGGGAGAATGACAGGAGGCGAGATAATGTGATACGGAGAAGGGTGTGGGGCATATCCGGTTAAATTCACCAAATGGGGAAAAGGATGGGATTGAGAGCCAATCAACAAAGAGGAACCAAGTCTCTAAATCTCTGACCTGGACCCAGCTTGGTAAAGGATTGGAGGTCGAACGTTGCCCTCCAAACCCAGAACTAACACCAATGGATGTCACACATTGGGGACCAGGCTAAGATGATCAACTCACTACTTGTGAGAAGCTGGTTTAAAAACACAGGCAACAGAACTCTCTAATTGAGCCCAGCTTCACAGGGGAGTTAGCTTCATGGATCTGGTCTCGTATCAGCCCTCTGATCGACCGACCACCTAAAATAAATGAGTAAAAATACTTTGTCATGCACTTACTTCTTGGTGGTAATGAAGACCCGGCTTGAGTTGCGAGCTTTTCACATTGGTGAGCTTCACTCTATGTTGTACAAGGCGAATTGTATCGGTGTGGCTTACTGTCCTGGCTTTGGAGCCACAAACAAAGTGAACAGGAAGAGGAGTCAATCACAACAACAAAATAAATTAATACATTACATTCATAAAACACCTTTCTACAAAGTGCTCCGATGCTGTAAATCAGAGAAACGCAAGCAGCGCACGGCTGCCTGGATGCCGCACAGCCCCAAGCAGCACCCCAGACAGTGGGTAGCGTCACAGACATGCAGCACAACAGAAGAAAGTACGGACACCCATCGTGCAGAGTCGTCGTCAAAGAACAAAGACTTTGACAAGGCCACGCACTTGGGGGGCTCAATGACTCGGGGTGATAAACTCTGTCCACTTTTTAGAGGCTCATCAGGTCAGAGTGAGAAACTTAATCTCGACAGGAACGAGCCACCCGTGAAAAAGAGCTTCATAGCTAATCGGATTCGTGCAGGCTAAATAAAGATTCTGAAGGAGGCACCAAGGCCGCACCAATTCGATTGCACGGCTCCAGACAGCCCCTCGGGGTCAGGGGTTATGCCCTTACTCTTTCATGGTAGTCGGATGTTTTAGAAGACCTACACTTTACCACACCACACGTGGCATGTGGCCTGCCCCGGAACTGCGGTGTACCTATTTATACTTATGAATGGAAGTAGGTGGAGGGGTATTTTTGTTTAGAAACATGCCCGAAGTTTTACAGCCGTGCCGGGAGATCAAACGGAACCGGTGAGAAGTCGAGTGTGCGCACCAGTGGTTGTATGTTGTACGCCGTGTGTTTGCCGTTAGTCGTGCGAGTGTTGTATGTTGTACGCCGTGTTTGCCGTTAATCGTGCGAGTGTTGTATGTTGTACGCCGTGTGTTTGCCGTTAGTCGTGCGAGTGTTGTATGTTGTACGCCGTGTTTGCCGTTAGTCGTGCGAGTGTTGTATTTTGCACGCCGTGTTTGCCGTTAGTCGTGCGAGTGTTGTATGTTGTACGCCGTGTTTGCCGTTAATCGTGCGAGTGTTGTATGTTGTACGCCGTGTGTTTCCCGTTAGTCGTGCGAGTGTTGTATGTTGTACGCCGCGTTTGCCGTTAGTCGTACGAGTGTTGTATGTTGTGTACAGTGTGTTTGGTGTTAGTAAGGAGTTTGCATCGTGTTGCGTACAAGTTATTGTGTTCGTGTAAAAGAGGTCTACACGTCCTTTCTTGGGGGTGCTTTGTTCCAGCAAAGTATACGGCACACTACGCGTGCGCTCTTTGCGAGCCGACGTTCCGGCCCACGTCTCCTCTTCAGTCGTTCCCGCAAGAGCATTACACCCACGTAAATTAGCACGGTTGGCTATGTACAGTGCGAGAGTACAACATACATATCTTTCCAGATGAGGGTCCCAAAAGATGCGGGGGAACGCAGGGGTCAGAGGTCAGGGGTCAGATTTAAATTGCGTTGAACAAAAGGCCCCGGCCCTACCTGTCTGGTCATCCTTGACCTCAACGGTGACGTAGAATGCTCTACGACCCTCCTGATTCCACTGATAATTGTTGAGCAGGGTCAGGATGTCATTACGTCTGATGATGACGTTTGTCGTTCCAGAAATCTGCAACTAAAAACGTCGTGTTATCGGGAATCCTAAAACATCATGTGGTTCCCCTCACCCCCCTGTCCCCCGCCTGCAAACTCGATAGCCACGCCACTGAATGCCACAGTGATTGAGGGGAAAGGGTTGGGGAATCATGATCGGGTTGCAACCTATCCAGGTTTGACCCAGACAGTTCAGGGATTGGCATTGGTGTTTAGGCAGCAGGAATTAATTTGTACCAAGATCCAGTACTCTTGTTGTATTGAACTTCATCACAGTCAAGTGGAATTTTGATAATAAACCTCGCGTTGATTGAGATGTATCTCCAGGTTTGGTCAGTGGGATAGGTGGCAACCCTTGATCAAGCACATTTGTGAACTTTACAACCTCACTGGGCTAACTCCAACACGTGTGTTTTAACTTCATTCAAAATATTTGACTGTGCCAGCATTCCCGATGACTCCGAGTAGAGTTCCAGAGGCAGGGAGCAGCACAACTCAGTTTTACTTCAAATTATAGGAACCACCAAGAGTTCACTCACGGATCTCAAAGTGCGGAGCACAAAGATGTCAATGGTTGCTGTAAATACAAAGGCCCAATACCGTCTCGAGCCTTTAAATGACTTCTAAAAAAAAATCTTGAACTTAACAGGAAGCCAGTGCAGCGATTCAACATATGGACAAGCACATACCACAGACAGAGCGCGCAGATGTACACGGTGCAAACGTGATGTGTCATACCGTTACGTTCATCCTGATGGACGCGTCGCTGAAAAACGTGCCGACGGTGACTTGTGCGATGCCTTGCCGAGGCTGACCTCGGCTCCTGCACACGACAAATATTTTTAGAATGAACGCAGTCGTGCGACCTTACATAACATGTGGGGCTACGACACAGCCAGCGTGTCGCAAAATCCGAACAAATGTTACAAGTTAAACAGGATGCCTAGCGATGTGTACTGCTGACATCTGTCCGTGCGCCCAGCTCTGGCTCCCACTCCTGTGTGTGTACGGGGATCAACCGCGACGCTCATCACTTCGTGGTTACAATTGCTGCATCGTGTCCAGCCCCCTCTGACCCCCCACACTCCTCCAACCCCAGTCCTAGACCTCCCTTAGGATGACTCGGCCTCAAATGACCACCTGGTGCGGGGTGTAAAATCAGCACCAGCCCTCACCATGCAGTTATCGTCACTGAAGCATCATCGCTGCCATCGAGGGAGAAGTAGCTCGGGAGTTCGACGATCAACTCACTGGTGCGGCGACCTGCTCGGTGGACAAAGGGTGGGGGGGGGGGGGGGGGGGGGGAGGGATGACACCGCGGCTGAGAGCAGAGCTCCATGGTCGCTCCCAATTGCGGGCAGCAGCTGGCAAGTTCGGGCCTATCCGAGCCAGCTCTGGTCTGCCTGGAGTGGTCAACTGGGTCGGTTGCCACCGTGACAGACACACACTTTGCAAGCGGTTCACAATCACGATTCGGAACTACATCGCGAATGCGACCGTGGTGTGGTCGTGGTAAGATTGCCGCCGGTTTGTCACGATTTGGGTGACGGTGATCGAGCGTTGCTGCTGCTCTAGAACAGTGGTGGTCATTACGTGCATCGTAAAAGATGTTGTCGTGGATCTCAGGACCAATCAGAGCAAACAATGACATCCAGCATAAGCACACAGCAATGGTTCATCTCCATATATAAAAGGCAAAGTTGTGAATGTGTCTGTTCAAAATGTTTAGCATACTTCCCGACATGCAACAAACTGGAAATTTGCCATGTGGGTACTTTCCAGACTGTACACCATGCAAAAGTTATAAAAATACACTTTTTTTGGGGGGGGGCTCAATAAAAAAAATGCACGGCAAGTGAGCTGTGACGTCAAATCTGTCACGTGACCCGCACATGTGGAAGCGTAACGCATTGTAGTGTAGCGGTTAGCACGCTGTGTGTGTAATCTGTGTGTGTGTGTGTAATCTGTGTGTGTGTAATCTGTGTGTGTGTGGAAGCGTAACGCGTTGTAGTGTAGCGGTTAGCACGCTGTGTGTGTGTAATCTGTGTGTGTAATCTGTGTGTGTGTGTAATAGGTGTGTGTGTGGAAGCGTAACGCATTGTAGTGTAGTGGTTAGCGCGCTGTGTGTGTGTCATCTGTGTGTGTGTAATCTGTGTGTGTATCTGTGTGTGTAATCTGTGTGTGTAATCTGTGTGTGTGTAATCTGTGTGTTAGTGTAGTGGTTAGCGCTACGCCGCCCCTCGAACCCGGCGACCCGAGTTCGATTCCCGCTCACGGCCACCACCGGTGACGATTATTTGAACCGGTCCTGGGCCTCCCCTACGTAGACTCAGCCTCAAAACGAGTAACTGCTGTGGTATGTGAACATCGCCACTGGGGAGACAAAGGCGGCCGGGCGTGGTGAATCCAAGTCCCTGGCGAAGCCGGGTTGTAAAGCTCGTGGCAAATAAAAATCAGAGACCTCAGAACGGATTCATTAAAAACAGAACTATCTCTACCAATAGATGGCGCTGGTACTTGTTACGTGACACGGGCAGTCCTCGGCTTTGGAACCTAAATCGTTTGAGACCCGTTCGTAAGTCGAACGCTTCGTAAGTGGAAACACAATGCGCTGTATTTAAATGCCCATACAGTCAGTGTCATTAAATGTGTTACGTCTCAACAAAAAGGGAATCATATTTATGATTAAGAAATAAGTATTGTACATTGGCATGTAACACTGTAAAAAAATGCTGTATCGTAAATAAAATATCAAATACATTGAGGCTTGATGCCGGCTTGCTTTACGGAATGGGAACAATGAGTCGGCACACACACGGGGCACGCGTGCACACGCAAAGACACACACACACCGAAATCACAACAATACCCCCCCCCCCCCCCCCGTGTAGCCTGTAACAGACTGTTGGGGCAAGTGCTGTTAGCGAGCAGCACCTGTGAAGGCCGGCACGGCACACGAGGGGGTGGGTGGTCAGCACCACGCCCGACCACCTTTGTCTCCCTCATGATGTTTACACACCGCACCAGGTAATCATTTGAGGCCGAGTCGGTTCAGATAACAGTTACTGGTGTTGGCCGTGAGCAGGACTCAAAACTCGGGTCGCCGCTTTTGTAGCGCTCCCCACACACACACACAAACACTCGCTCCAGCGTGAGGCCCACCCATTACATCTTGTAGAGGATCGCTCTCCACAACAAAATAGTTACACGCTTCGGTTTGCAAGTGCGAGTTCGCATTTTAAGTCAATGTAAAAATGTGTATATGCCATGGAAGCTGTTTCGTAAGTAGGGGTGTTCGTAAGTCGAGTGTTCGTAAATCCATGACTGATTGTGTCTATTATTAGAGGGTAATACAGGGTGCTTCAAAAAATGTTAACACTTATATGGGACAATCGTTTTTAATGGAAAAATAACGGATAATACTACACTGTAACATGATAAAATGTGAATGGCTTCAAAAAGTCAAAGAGTCTCCACTTGTTCGCCATCATTGTCAACACGTGGCCTAGAATCTTCTCCAGGTGGTCTCCGGATCCAGGAGGCAGCAAATTTCTGTGGTATTGTTGCAAATTCTCACAAGTGTTAAAAACAATTTGAAGCACCCTGTACATCTGTCAGGGTCATTGTTGGTCCTAACGTTCAGGTGGTCGATCACGGAGACCGTCAAGATCGACCAGAAGGAACCATCACGGACGGTGCTTGGAGGATTGGCAACCTCGGCACTAGAATGTGGATTTTCACAACAGTGCCCACATGCCACAGCATCTCAAGGCACTCTACAGAGACTGCAAAAAGTTTATTGATGGAGAGGCAGTCGATCACTGGACTTGAAGGAAGTCAACAGCAGGGCTGGCTGGGGGAGCGGAGTTCCAGACCATGAGGGGGGGGGGGGCTTGAGCAGAAGGCTGTAGCGTCTGCAGTGGAGAATGCGTGGAGGGGAGTAGAGTGAGATGAGAGGGGAGAAGGAGAGTGCATGGAGGGGGTAGAGTGAGATGAGAGGTAGGCGAGTGTGTGGAGGGGAGTAGAGTGAGATGAGAGGGCAGAGGAAGGAGAGTGCATGGAGGGGGTAGAGTGAGATGAGAGGGGAGAAGGAGAGTGCATGGAGGGGAGTAGAGTGAGATGAGAGGTAGGCGAGTGCGTGGAGGGGAGTAGAGTGAGATGAGAGGGGAGAGGAGAGTGCATGGAGGGGGTAGAGTGAGATAACGGTTAGGCGAGTGCGTGGAGGGGAGTAGAGTGAGATGAGAGGGGAGAGGAGAGTGCATGAAGGGGGTAGAGTGAGATGACAGGTAGGCGAGTGCGTGGAGGGGAGTAGAGTGAGATGAGAGGGGAGAGGAGAGTGCGTGGAGGGGGTAGAGTGAGATGAGAGGTAGGCGAGTGCGTGGAGGGGGTAGAGTGAGATGAGATGGGAGAGGAGAGTGCGTGGAGGGGGTAGAGTGAGATGAGAGGGCAGAGGAAGGAGAGTGCGTGGAGGGGAGTAGAGTGAGATGAGAGGGTGTATGCAGAGACGAATCCATGGAGGATCATTGTCCTGCATTTCACTCTGAACATAGGTTTGCAGTTCAGGTCCAGCCGGTAGCACTGGTTAATACTGTGGATGTATTAACCTTAGAAAACTACGTGCAGTCTGCTTCACAATGGACATTGAGGATCACTGACATTCAAAGAAGAATAGATGATTGTGCGCCAGCATCATGGTCCAAATTTGTCAAATTTATCCGCAAAATTGGGATTACACATCGTGAAACACAGCAGTGCAATGATCACCTTGCGCTATAAGAATGGCGCAGACACCAAAACGCACTCCCGATTTTATTTGAGTTGAGTGAACTGCGATCAGCACTTACTGTTGTTGTTAACTGTGAACTGGGTAACAGTCTGGAATCTCTACACACAGACAAAAACAACAAAAACAGCGTCACACAACACCGTCTTTAAATCCATTCAAGCAAATCACGCTGCGCCCTCGTGAACTTTATGAAGTGCGATCCGCTCATCGCACTACCAACCCAGGAGGCGAGAACGCTGCCATTGGATGGATCACCACTGTTACAAAGACTAAGCGTCATCTGCGCAAGTCTCCACTCGTTCACCGCGCGTGACGACAGCGGCCCGGCTCCATCTCTGCAGTGGAGAAATAACCCGAAGGCTCCTGAGCAGTGCTAGACTGGCTCAGCACGACTCGATTGTGCAATGGAAAAATAAGTTATTAGCATTGGGACAACTTCGTCTTTAGCAGCGCACATCTGAGCTGCCCCCTCCCCCACTGCTATTCCACTGCCCGTGCCACCCCCACCCCTGACACTCGCCTCGGCCTCCACGTGTATTCTCCATCGGTTTTTTTCCGCCAGCACGGACAGAGGGAAGTGCAGGGAGATGGCGCCGTTCTTTGCTTGCACGTCCTTCCACGACTGCACCAGCAACCCCACTGGGTTCTGCAAAGAAAAATATCCCTCGTATAGCCTTAACAGACTTTTAGGGCTGTTAGCGAGCACCTACGAAGGCCGGCACGGCACACGAGGGGTCTGTGTGGCTAACTCCACACCTTGCCTCCTTTCTCTCCCCAGTGGTCAGGCTCATACCCAGCGCCAGGTACTCATTTAAGGTCGAGTTGACTTAGGGTAGGCCCTTGGCCGGTTAGGACATTCGTCACCAATGTGAGTCTTGAACAACAATTAAACTCTGCTCGCCGGGTTCGTAGCGCGGCGCGCACACGCGCAGATGCACGCTCAGGTGCACGTACCCACACGGAGACGTTGAAAGACCCGTGGTAGGGCAAGAGGTTCCGGTAGACGCCGATCACGTTGAAGTGCACCTCGTCGCCCGGCGCGTAGACCAAGCGGTTGAGCTGCACCAAGATGCCTACGTCCCGTGGGGCCACATTGCGGCGCAGCTGCGTGAAGAAAAGCTCCCTGCCGTCGGCCTTGCCTGTGATGGTTATGTCGTAGCGTCTGGTGTTACCTGTCAGGATCTCGGCCTGCATAAGCGAGAATGCACGGAGGGGTCACGGGAAGCGGCAGGGGGCCCTCGCGCGACGTCGATAGCGGCCGGGTCATTAGAACCTCCTCGGTCTCTCCTGCTCCTATCTCTCAGTGGACCTCCTGCAGTGGCCACGTGACTCCTTCAGATACGACTTTCAAAAGCATCCCCGACCTGCTATAAGCTACCTCTTTATTTGTTTAATTTATTTACGCTGAGTTTGTTTGTCCAGGTGTGGCCACAAGAGACCAAAATAGGAGTCTCATTTGCAAGAGTGACCTGGGTCACCACAAGGACAAAAGTAGTCAAGTAAAAACAAATATAGCAATGATGCCAAACAGACTTCGGCGCAAGAACAACCGCCTTACAGAAGAAAATCGAAAACGGTGCCCAAACACAAATATTTCAGACAGGACATGGCAGTCTCAACGTGCACAACCTCATGATGTGGCTAACCCAGGGCGCATCGGGGCATCTTGAAAGTAGTTCTGAGGATTGTTTTTTTTGTTTGTCCTGAGCGAGGAGGGCAAGAGGCCCATCGTTGGTCATGCTCTGAGGAGAACATCCCGCCGTGGTCCTTCCAAGGACCACGTCTCACGCTCTCGAGGAGGGTGGCATGTGCAGAGAAGACTCACCTCACTGAAGGTCACTTTTCTGGTTGAACCTGCGAACACAAAACGCCACGTTACACCCTGCACCAATGGAATGCGCGCAATCAATAAGAGAAGAGTTCCACACACAGCTTACAATTTTTATATTCCGTCTTGTCTATGGTGCATTGTTTAGGAGCATCGTAAATGGTCTGCAAGTATTAGGGAAACAAACAGGGCTCACAGATGCTGCTGCTGTTGTTAATGCCAAGGAAATCGAGTGTAATTGGGCAGCTGTGATGCCACAGCAGCGAAGCCGCTCTGTCGGCGCCGCGCCTGCGAGGCCACCGCAACAAAGCAGCCTGGCCGACGCTGTTTTTCCTCCACCACCCCCCACATGAGCCCACACACACACCCCCATGTAGGACCTCGTAGGGAAGTCACCTGGCCTCCAGATTTTCACCCAGGAGCCCAGCCATAGTGGAAATTGGCCGACTTCCTCCAGGTTGAATTACACTGCGGCGACGTGAATTGACGTGCAATTGCATGGTCACGACGAGGCCACTCCGCCACCGGGTTAAAGACACACACAACACAAGGGGGGTTAGGAGGGAGGGGGTGGGGCCACAAGCTGCGGGGCGAGCGTGAGCGTGCTTGAATGCCCCCAACGGCGCGGCGGCCCCTTTGATGCGGAACGGAGGACGCGGAGGCCGCCGAGGACATCGGCCCGAATGATGTGACTTTACAGGGGAACTCTCTGATTGGCTGGGGACCCCCTAGGATTAGCGGCGGCTCCCTGATTGGCCAGGAAGACCGCAGGATTAACCGAACGAGCCCTTTGCTGCAGACGAGGATAAAATGGGAGAGGAGAGCGCGATGTTCAGTTCGTGTTTTTCTCAAGTCAGCGAGCCACGCGATCAGCCTCCCCGCGACTCGTGCGTCCGAGTGGCGCTCCGAGTGCAGCTGGGACCCACAAGCAGGGAGGATTCTACAACACCCTCGTCTCCCCAACTCTTAACGCAGACACGAAAAATCGTGAGTACGTACGAAGGGCTTAGTGGACAATAGCGTGAGAACTCCTCGGGAGATTCATTCGAAATAGGCGGGACTGATTGGGTCTTAGACCGTCGAGAATAGGTTAGTTATTCTACTAATATTGACTCCGGGCTACGTAATATTCAGCTTCGGACTCGCCGAGAATAAACTGTTAGTGATTTCTGTGAGGGTGGAGAGAGTGTGGACGCAGTGTGGGCACGTGCGTCACGTATTCAGTGATAAAGCTGCCGCGCGCCGGTGACCAATATTTGCGCTCGAGGGCGTTAAGTGGATCGGCGTGTGCGAGATTCAAGCAAGCGGTGGTGGTTATTGCGATGGTGGTTGTGGTGGATGTTGCTTAGGTGTAGAGCTCCACCGCGAGGTACACGGCTGCACACGTGCATATTCATGCAGCTATTTTTAGCGCGTGCGTGTGGTGAGCGACGGTAGGCTCGCATGGGTACGCACGAGATTATCCATACGGCCTGTGTTTAGCGTGTGCCCGTGGTGAGCGACGGTGGACTCGCACGGGTACACGTGGGATTATTCATACAGCCCTTTAAATCATCTCCGAGGCCCCCCTCCAATCGGCTACGCATGTACGAGTGACGTCGCTGCCCTTTGACCCCTGCCCCCCCCATCCCACGCGTGCGATTGGTGCGCATCGTTGTGGGAGCAGCCGCGTCGGGTTGGAGCTGCAGCGGGTATACGAGTGTGAGCAGGAGCGTACGGGGAGTCTCCTACCAACGTTTGGAGGAGTGTGCGCAGAGAGTGTGTGAATTAACCTCTGGTGGCTAAGTGCCAGCCGCGAGTCATGCCCCACACAGAGGACGTGGAGGCGGCGAGGCCGTGGACTCGCGGCAAGAGGAGGGGAGTCGGGGAGCAGCAACCCTCCCCAGGAAGAGAAAGAGGGGAGCAGCGGATCTCACACGAGTGAGGAGCCGGGGGTCAGCCTCCCCCACACAGGACTCCCCAAGATAATAGCTAACGAGAGATGAGAGAGGAAACGAACTCCGTTGGAGCAGAGACCGAGAGAAGGGAGAAGCAGAAAAAAAAGGAGGGGATTGGGAAGATAATTGGGGAGGCCTTCACCCCGGTGAGTGAGGAGTTACCGGCCACCCACCTCGACCTGTACTGCATAGCAGGCGCGGTGTGAATAATTCCCCATGACCACGGTGCACGTGTCGCTGGAGGGTTTGCGTCCCAGGGTCGCCCGCCGATGAGGGGTCAGGCAGTCGCTTACCCACACGCAGGCCGCTAAGCTCCTTGCGAATGCCGTTGGGCTGAAGCTGCAGGGTCACGTCCGCTTGGGTCTCGCTGCCGTTGATCCAAAGGAGGGAGACGGCCATCGTGAAGTCGCCGCTGCTCCACTTGCGTGGGTAGGTGACGAAGTATGAGCTGGCGGGGACGGGCGCAATCGGCAGAGTTCGCGAGCGGCGATTAGTGCACGGATTCATACTCCTCAACCACAGGTGGATCTCGATGCTTCAAGAGGGATAGTGGCCCCACATTTGTCAACGGTTTTAAAACAGGCCCCTGCATTAACAGCAATAATACAAACACAGCCAATCTATTTTCTCTGATAAATATCAAGAGTGGAATGCGCTCCTACTCCATATTCACCAACTTAATCCTTTCCACTATTTATTTCCCAATTTAAAAAAATGTTTGCTGCAGCATTTCATTGAGTTGACATTGGTTTGGGTGTGCTATGGCTCTTGCGAGTGACAATATATATTTGCACTGTTGTCTTTCACAGCGTTGTGATACGCAGTCGCGTTAACGACGCTATTTTTAAATTAATTATTATTGATAATATTTTGGGGTCTCAGGTGGGCGGCAATTGCTTCCTCCCCTCCCCCAGCTTGGATCTGCCACAGACTTCAATGATCAGGTCACAGGTTAAAGGGTCGCCTCCCATTTGTGCCTTGGCAATGCGACACGTTTGCATGCACTGGCAAGAGGAGGAGTCGATGAGGAGTGAGATGTGGATGACGAGATGGTCTTGTGATGAGGAGTGAGGTGGTGGTGATGAGGAGCGAGGTGTAGATGACGAGATCGTGTGAGGTGACGAAGTGGAGGTCTCACCCATTGGCCACAGCGACCGAAAGCGTCAGCAGGAAGAAGAGACGCATCTCGAGTGCCTGGATCTACAACACGGAGACGGACACGGAGTGAGACGCGACACACAGGGAGAGGCGACAAAGACTCCCCGTATATATCCTTAATAGACTGTTGGGACAGGAGCTGTTAGCGAGCCGGCACGGCACACGAGGGGGTGGGGGGCCATCACCACGCCCGGCCGCCTTTGTCTCCCTAGTGGCGATGTTCACGCACCACACCAGGTACGCATTTGAGGCAGTCGACCTAGTGGAGGCCCAGGACCGGTTCAGATATTCGCCACTGTCGTTGGTCGTGAGCAGGAATCGAACTCGTGTCGCCGGGTTTGTAGCGCAGCGCGCTAACCACTCTGCCGCTACCTCCCACTCGAGACGGACACGCGCCCACAGCCTCTCCCTTCCATCACCAACTCCATCTCATTTCCCAACTTCCCTACCCATGGGGCCGTCCATAAATCACGTCACGCGATTTTGGCTGATATTTTACCCCCCCTCGTCACACGGCGTCACAAAGAGTCAGACCCCCCAATTATAACGAACACATATTCATTTCATAGAATTAAAAGCCCTGGTAAAATCATTCGAATCAAAATGTTTTAATAACAATCATTTTAAAAAATTACAAAATGTATGCTTCTCCATTCTCCCATGGAGAAGCAAAATGCTCCTTCATCGAATAAATAAAAGGTGACCTTAGTAAATGTAAATAATCAAATAGTAATGAAAATTAATACAAATTAGTGTTGTTATAACAATTCGATGTAATTAATATTTATTTAAAGTTGCGCATTTTGGTGTGACGTCACATTTCTCAAACCCCCCCCTCGTCGAACGTCACAAATATCTGACCCCCCCCCCTCGGTGCGTGACGTCATTTATGGACGGCCCCCATCCATTACTCATCCGTCATTGAACACTCATTGTCACTTTCATCATCGTCTATGTCACACCATCACATTGATGTAGCACCACCCCTCCCGTCGACTCATCTCACCACACTATCCTGCTGCAAACAGATCTCATAATTGTTCAGCGCCTTAGTCAAGGCGCTGTGTAAATTAAAATAAGAGGAGACTCGTACAAAAACATAGATCTACAGACGGAGACACACGCAGACGCATGTCCGATGAACACGGTTGACTACGTAATGTGCGAAAGAAGTTCAACTTACGTAAAGAGATGAATGTAGAAAGGAGACAAAGGCAGACGATCTCGCCCACACACAGAGACACCAATAGGCACAGACTGAGTAGGCACGCAGGCACGGGAAGAGCGACGCAAGGAACGGCGGCGCAGTGCGATCTGTCGAGTCCCTGGGCTCTCGCCGCTCCTCTCCCTTGCCTCGACAGCTCGCGCCATCACCCGCACTGCTCACCAACTCGTAAGTAAACTGTTCAATACCAGGATGGGTTTTTTTCGAGTTTCTATATCTTAATCACGCGATAGCGACACAAATTAACCATCTCCAGAGCACAATCTTCACCGGTAAGGTTGTCACGCGCGCACGCGCGCGTGCAAAGCACAATCAATAAAAATCTCTCTCGCTAAAGTCTAACTTCACAGTCTCTGCGCAGACGGGCTGGCCATTGTGAGCGCGCTCGATCCGTGGCACACATTCCAAGCCGACTCGGCACGTACTTCAGCCGCATTCCCATCCTCGCGAGAGGTCCTCGACGTGCAACGAATTTGGCAGAAAACGCCCCGAGATTCTCCTCTCCACCTCCTCCAGCAACAATGGAACAAATCGTTGACCATACTTCACCACGCTGGTCAGAGCATGGTTGGTGAAGACGGGAAGGCATATAGAGACTCGAGAGCGTAGAAGCACAGTACAACAATGGATATTGCTGCACTGCCCTCTTGCGCAACCAGGTAGCAGCCCATCCCAGAAGCCACCTATACCACCTGTTACTTGTTGTGCCCTTCCAACCGCTGCTTAGCTTCCGATATCGGGCGTTGTCAGGCGTTGTCTCCCCGTACCACCACCACCTGCTTCATCAGCGACTTATCTCACCGCGCAGCCTTCAGGGGAACGGTTGGAGCCTCTGTCCTGGCTGCAGAGCTGTGGATAGATGCGCGCCTCGCGGTGGACAAACGTGAACTCGCCTCCCGCTGTTTCCTGTTTATATAGAGCGGCGGTGTTGGTGGTGGCTCAGGGGGTGGCAGGGAAGGATCAGGGTGGGTGGGATAATTTAAACAGGCAGCCAGTTCACGCCTATTATGTAACGTAACAGGGTGAAGGTGGTGGTTGGGAGTTGCGCAATCTCCCGTAGTCAAATTTCCTCTGCTTTGCCCCTTTTTAAAAAAAAAATCCAACGCCCCTTGGTGGCTGTTGTCAACCAGTTCCCTCGCTTTCCTGCAATTAATTGACCCCCATGCACAGAGACGGCAGCGCCAGCCATCGGCAACCCAAGCAAGAGCTGAGGTTCCCCAAGTAGATCAAGGGGTGTCCAGATTCGTGTAAAAATAAGGCGCCAAATTTAAGCTCTCCCTCAAATACTTCTTAATATGTAAAGCTCATCGTTCTAATCGTTCTAATAGCATTGTTAAATTGACTCATTAAATCAATATTAGCATTTTTTTTCCACGTAACTAATAGATATATACTATTACTGGTAGGAAACGTAGTGGACTGGCAGCCCAACCGGGATTCATTCACCGGAATACACCACGCCGCCGTTGACCCTGGCCATTGACCGAGCAACCCAACGTTCCTACCAGCTCCCTCCGCAAAAATGTGTTAACAACAAGCTCCAAACATTCGTTAATAGCAGCACGTGTGAGATATAATTAAACTACTTATGTGGCAATGATGCTGCTTTGGCAGTGGTGCACGAGCCCAATTAACAAACTCAACACGTCCCGTGCCAATAAAAGAAAAACAAATATAGAATAGGTGACGTTCCGGGCAATGGCCCTTCTTCATAGCACGTGGATAGAGAGGCTGGTAGAGATACCAAAGGGATGAAAGGAGTTGGAGACTGCGCTTGTTTAGACCATGGGGTCTGATGAGATATACATTTTAATGTTTCCAGACTTCTGTTTTTTAATTGCCATATGAAGTTACTTATTTACTAGTTAACTGTTATATGGTTAATAGGCTGTTAATATGTATTAAAATTTAAAACTATTAATGGGGAAATACTTTAAAGTATATATAATTATCAGGCATAATGTAAACAATTCGTGTCCACTTTGTCTCTCTGACCTATTTGTGTCCTATGAATCAGGATAATTTCCCGAAACGTCGCCTGTTACAATATATTTTCCTTTAAAAGGCCACAAACGTGTTGAGTATATTTTGATGGATGAAGTTAGCAAGCCTGTCCACACATGTGCAGTCATGTTGACGCGCACAGATTACCGTCTGCGTGAGGCCCACCCACGAGCTCCCACCACCGCAGATTCCGCAGCTCACGCGAGGTGACGGAGGAGCATCGCGGTCATTCACAAGCGCTCAACGCATAATTCATCAAGAACACTGACACTACAGGAAATATAAACAAATGAAATGAGGTTAACAATAGGGTTATTTCATTTGTTTTGTCACTGGCTTTGAAACATTTTGTTTATTATTTCAATTAATATTTTATTTATTACCATGTTTAATATAAATTTGTTCTCCTTCCCTTTCAGGTAACGTTTAGAAATGAGTTCGCTTAGTATGTATGTATGCTGAAGCGGGCAGCTGTAATCTTAAAAAGTCCTAAATTAATTTCAAAAGATAATTCATGTATTCATGTTAATTGGTAGTCGGTTTGAACATTTGTTGAAATAAATTATATGAACCCTATGTTGAATTTATATTCTTGGTTCTTTCGGTAAAGTCACGTAGAAGGGAAGCAATAAAATACAAAATATATCAAACAATGCAATTCTCGGTTTAAAGCTTTCGTGACTGCAGGGATTCATCTTCTGGGTTCTTTCGGTAAAGTCACGTAGAATGGAGATTAAATAATAAAAAATGATGTTGGTGCTCATCCCTCACACCAACATCATGCTAATCCCCCAGTTACATGCTAATTTATATGTAAACTCCTTTGTCAAGGTGCTCTGTTCCTCCCACACAGCTTAAAAGACGCTGTCAAGCTTGGCAGGGTTCACTCAAGCGCTGTCTCTAGGACAGTCCTGTTTCTTCACCTGAGGAAGGCTACTTGTGTTGTGGCCGAAACGTCGTGAGAATTTTATTGTTATTATTATTTGTATTATTTTATCTCCATTCTACGTGACTTTACCGAAAGAACCCAGACGATTAATACAATTCTCACCTGATGATGATTGCTTGTGTTGCAGTCGAAACGTCGTGAGAATTTGTAAATTGTATTGTTTTATATTTTTTATTTAATTGTTTCCCTTCTACGTGACTTTACCGAAAGAACCAAGAATATGAACCATGTTGCTTCATAGTTTATTTCATACTCGTATCTCCAGTCTCTTCAACAATCTACTCCACCCCCCAGACCCGCTGGGTGCACCACTCCGACATTGTGTCACACCGTCGGTGTCGTTGACCAGGTGGCTGATCCACCCCCCTACTCCACACCCCGTCCCCCGGCCTCGGCATCTCTCCCAGCTCCGGCATTGTTCGCAACAGCCGTGTTGCGTACCAAGTGGCTGATGCTCACTCAACCCCCCTCCCCTACTCCCCCCCCTCCCCGCCCTCTACTTCTCTTCCCCCTGGCTCCTCCCCCCCTCTTGCCTTATATAATATCCTTGTTACAAGCAGCTCTTGTCCACGACAGCAAATTACTTATTCATATTCTTAGTTCTTTCGGTAAAGTCACGTTGAAGGGAAACAATAAAATAATAAAATATATATAAAACAATAAAAATTCTCACGACGTTTCGACCATAACACAAACGGTCGTCATCAGGTGTGTCGGTTTGCATAAATTTATTTATTTTAAAACGGTGTATTTATTTATTTATAACAAACGTTAGCGCCACGCGCAGCGATTTGGCAATTTATTTAGAAGGACGAGTCCATCTATGTTCTGAAAAGAGGAGGGGGGAGACGAAAAATTTAATGTATGCTGTCTGAAAGCCACTGTAAGTGTGAACAATCAATTAAGATCTGAAATGGTTTATCAAATCTTTCCAATGATTGCTAAGCCAGAATCCATCTTCTCGGTTGAAATTGTCTCTGTGCTTGTATATGTGGATAACCTCATGAACGAATCTCTCATGGTAGCCAGATGGCTTACAAAGAACCTCTGTCTTGGAAAAGTCAATGTCATGTGAGCCTACTGAATTATAACAATGATCTGCCACGGCCGAGGTGTTGGTCCTACCGTGTTTAAGGTCTGCTTTGTGTTCACGAATGCGGTCCGAGACATGGCGTTTGGTTTCTCCAATGTAACTACTACCACAGAGGCAACTTAGTTTGTAGACACCAGGGTACTGTATGTCCGGAATCACATCTTTTACAGACGGAACCAGATCACGGATTTTATGTAATGTGTTGAAACGGACCTGGATCTTGTGTTTATTCAAGATTTTGGAGATCTTTTTTGTGATCCCCGCAATGTAGGGTAAAGTGATGGTTTTGAAAGGCTCCTCAAGAGGGTCCTTCTTCATGGTTTGAGTGATAGCTTTGCAGATTGTATAGTCGGAGTAACCATTAGCCTTAAGAGCTTGGTGTACGTGCTTGAGTTCACTGCCTATGTGTTCCTGGTCGGATATGCATTGGGCTCTATGATACAGAGTCTTGATGAGAGAATTCTTCTGTGATGGATGGTGGTGGGAATCCGGTTTCAGATAAGCATCCGTATGGGTAGCTTTCCTGTAGACAGAGTGGCTCATTGAACCATTAGGTCTCTTTTTAATTAGGACATTGGAAATCAGGTTGTCCTTACATTTGGCAACAATGTCCACATCGGATTGGGAACATGTAGACAATATGACTGCTTCTTCAGCTGCTACTATGTCGACCAAATGTAAGGACAACCTGATTTCCAAATTTAACCTCCTCTTCAACAAAAGACCGGACCCACACACCAAAAAGTTAGACGTTAACAAAGTCGTAATTAATCGCAGTAACAGTTCTATTTCCGATGGTCTGAAATCCGTTTTAGCTAAAGGTCTAAACTTTGCAGTCACACCTAAACACATACCAGTTAATGATATAATTGCCCAAGTAGACGTTGCTCTCAGGGGCCTGGGTCACATCGCTGCAGACGTAGCAAGATCTGAAATCGCTGCAACCCTCAAAAACGCTAAGATGCCAGCTAGCAACCTCAGCAAAGATGAGTGTTTTGAATTATATAAATTAAAAAAGAGGGATGATATTGTAGTCCTCTCAGCTGACAAGGGCAATGCTACTGTCATCATGGATAAAATAGAATACAACAACAAAATTAAAGAATTACTCGACGATGGTAGTTATACAAAAATAAAAAGAGATCCCACCAACAGCCTCGTCACACAAACCAACAAAATAATTTCTGATTCAACCGCATTAATTGATCAATCTAAACAGTTTTCGTTGAAACCTTCTGCTGCCAGGCCACCAAGATTATATGGCTTACCAAAAATACATAAAGTAGATACACCCCTTCGTCCCATCGTCTCTACTATCAACTCCCCCACCTGCAAACTGGCTCGTTTTTTGTCTGAAATCCTGCGTCCTTTCACTGGAAAAACCACCTCTGCGGTACAAAATTCTACTCACCTGGTATCGACAATCAAGGGTATTTCCCTGTCCCCAGACGACCTGCTTGTCAGTTTTGATGTAGTTTCCTTATTCACCAAGGTTCCTGTACCTGACACCATCGCAATCATTGAAGACTTGGTTCATCAAGGACTAAACACTGAGGTACCCCCCCTGGTGAGACACTGTTTAACCAATACATCCTTCACTTGGAATGGAACTTTCTACAAACAAACTGAGGGCACCCCAATGGGCTCCCCCCTATCTCCGGTTATAGCTAACATTTTCATGGATAAATTTGAGACTGACGCCATCCAGACTGCCACTCTGCGCCCAACCTTATGGAAGAGGTACGTGGATGACACTTTTGTCATCTGGCCATATGGCCGGCCTGCTCTAGACCAATTCTTCGACCACATCAATTCCATACACCCAGCTATCAGATTTACCATGGAAGTCGAAAAAGATGGCTAGCTACCTTTTTTGGATGTCCTAATTAAAAAGAGACCTAATGGTTCAATGAACCACTCTGTCTACAGGAAAGCTACCCATACGGATGCTTATCTGAAACCGGATTCCCACCACCATCCATCACAGAAGAATTCTCTCATCAAGACTCTGTATCATAGAGCCCAATGCA